TTTTCTCCCCTCTTCTCCTTCCCAACTTGTCGATGCCGGCCGATTACTACGATACTGACCACGCCCAGCGCGAGAGGTCTCGTTCTCCCCGTCGTCGTTCGCGCAGCCCCCGACGTAGCCGTCGCTCCTATTCTCCTCGGAGTCGCTCTCGCAGCCGTGACGATTATCGCCGCAGTGAACGTCGTTCTCGTTCGCCTATGAGTGCTGCACCTGGCCCTTCTGGAGGACATTCTGGTTCTGGTTACGGTGGGCGCAACAGCTACCCGCCTCCTCCCAGATCGTTTGAGGATCGCGCAGTCGCCAAAGAACAAATGATGCAAGCAGTGCGCGAGTCTTCCCAGCAGGACCGTCGGGTCTATGTGGGAAACCTTTCCTACGATGTCAAATGGCATCACTTGAAAGATTTTATGAGACAGGGTGAGCAGGGTCATATTGTGTCGGACGTGTGATGCGCTTCTTTTTTATTTTTATTTTTATTGTTTTTTTTTTGTTGGATTGGAATCCGTGGCTGACTTGGAGGGGGACTATCTTTCCGCGCCGTTTTACAGCTGGTGAGGTTATCTTTGCCGACGTCTTATTACTTCCCAATGGAATGTCGAAGGTGGGCGCCAATGCGTAGTGTGGCTGGTTCCTTTTTTCCCCTTTGTGTTTCTGGCCTTTTTTTCCCCCCATTTCCCCCGTTGGTTTGTTTTGATGGACTGTTTGGGTTGACGGGCTGGGCCTGGCCGTCCGGGATATTGTAGGGATGCGGGTATGTTTCTGCGCAAGTACACGGATTTTCACTTGGAAAGCGTTACTGACTGTCCGGCAGGATTGTGGAATACGCGACCAGGGAGCAAGCGCAGAATGCGGTCAACACGCTTAGCAACCAGAATCTTATGGGACGTCTAGTTTACGTTCGTGAGGTACGTCGGGCCTACTCTCTCATGCCCGCGAGCTCTTCCTTGTATTGACAATTTTCCAGGACCGTGAACCCGAACCTCGTTTCACCGGTGGCCCTTCTCGTGGGGATTTCGGCGGCGGTGCTGGCGGTCGCGGTGGCGGCGGCGGCTTTGGTTACGGCGGTGGAGCTGGTGGAAGACAGCTCTACGTGTCCAATGTTTGTTCCCCCTTCCTCGGATCCTGAATGTAGTGCGATATTGCGTGAGACAGAAACATTAACTCAAGGACGTTTAGCTTCCTTTCAATGTTGGTTGGCAGGACCTGAAAGACCTCTTCCGCCAAGCTGGTAAGTCCGATGCAAAGGCTTTCATCCAACGGCCTTGCCAATTTTCACTCTCCTCCCCATTCAAGAATGGAACCTGTGATTGACCCAACATTACCTCAGCTCAACAAGGCGCCGTCATCCGTGCCGATGTCCATACCGATGCTACTGGACGTCCCAAGGGCTCAGGCATTGTCGCCTTTGAATCTCCCGATGACGCCCGTAATGCTATCCAGCAGTTCAATGGCTACGACTGGCAGGGCCGGGCTTTGGAGGTTCGTGAGGATCGCTTTGCCGGTTCCGGACCGGGCGGCTTCGGTGGCCGCGGTGGTTTCGGTGGTGGATTCGGTGGCCGTGGTGGCTTCGGCGGTCGTGGTGGTTTCGGCGGTGGCCGTGGTGGCTTCGGTCCTGGCTTCGGTGGTCGTGGCGGCTTCGGTGGCTATGGTGGCCCTGGCGGGCCTGGCGGTCCTGGCTTTGAGGGCGCTCCCTCGGTGCCTCCCAACCCATTCACCGATTTTGCTACCTCTGGCGGCGAGAAGAGCCCGGTTATCTATGTCCGAAATGTAAGCCTCGTGCCACGCCCAACTGTTGCTTTGGGATAATGTACTGATTTTTGGGAACCGTAGCTGCCTTGGTCCACCTGCAACGAGGATCTAGTGGATCTGTTCTCGACTATCGGAAAGGTTGACCGCGCGGAGATTCAGTATGAGCCAAATGGACGCTCTCGCGGTACGGGTGTGGTTCAGTTTGATGACGGAGACACAGCCGAAACTGCGATCGGTATACTTTCCAGGTCTCTATTTAGGATGCAAACGCTGACGCTTTCACAGCCAAATTCACCGGATATCAATACGGCGGCCGTCCGCTTGGCATCACCTTTGTCAAGTACACGAACGTGGCGGGTGCTGGTCAGGGAGACGCCATGGAGGGCGCTGAGCCCACCGGCGGAATTACACAGGACCAGATCATGTAACAGTATCGTACTCTTTCCCTTTGCGGTGGACCCCATGTGGTCGAAAAGTTTGCGATGTTGTTACTCCTAGGCTGGATGATTTGCATGACCTCCGCATTCGTGTGAACGCGATGATGCTATTCTACCACTTTTGCGATGTCTTTGTTTTTGTCTTGTTATCTTCTCCGGCGATCTGGTTCATGTGTGGGACAAATCGAACCTCGATTCTACTTGCTTCATGTTTTTCTTTCGGGTGGGTTTGTGATTGACCATGGTCTGGTTTCGATCTGTATCCCACATGCTGGGTGGGGTTTCCACTAGAAAATCTCGGGCTCTGGAGAGGTTCTTTTACTTCGTTTTGATCTGGCTTTGGTAGAAATTGCAATACCCGGTCGTTTAATGTTACACCAATGCCAATATCCCTGCCGTCTGCGGTCTTAGTTCTGGTTACTTATGCTTTTAGTATTCTACCGTCTACTTGTACCATGGCTAACCATCTACCACAAGTTCAAACTTGAGGTACTTTACGTAACAGAGTATATAGACCACCAAGCGATAGAGGAACATGCATCATAAACTGAATTTCATACCAAACGTTGTATATATTTCCATATCATAACTTATTTTTCTTTTTAACTCATAGCCGCTTATTGAACAAAGAGCAAAGATAACGATCTAGATTGATTGATCGTGTCGAAATCAAAAAAACTTCCGAATGTCCATCTCAAGGCAGTCGATAGCAGGGGTAAACATAAAGCGATAAACCGCAAAGGAAAGATCAATACAACGAAACGAAACGCCAGCGAAAGACAACAAAAAAAGAAAGGGAATATAAATATAATTACATACGAAGAGAAATCCGACGAGTGACAAAGGAGAGAAAAACAAAGGAAAAGGACATAACACCCCCAACTAAAACCCTAACCCACAACCTCATGGACAAGTATCCTGTACGCCTGTTCATCTGATCATGAACCTGACCTGTGACTCGAACGCGAGAATATGATATGATGATGATGTTGATAACCCATCCTGTGTTTCTTTGTGGTATCTGAAAACTTACTGGCCGTTAACAACAAAGGAAAGACATCACAAAAACATGATAGAACAAAGGAGTGAAAGAGCATGCATGTCATTTCCGAAGACATGCATGCTGCTGGTCAGTAGAGGTAAAATATATACAGAAGAATGGAAAAGTGACGGGTGAGAGAATGTCACCCGCCAATGGAGCCAGCTTCATTGCTCGTCCAAGCTTCTACGCAGGGACGTTGGCTGGTGGGTAATGGCCCGGGATCTTTAACTCGAGGGTGGATACGCTGTTCTTGGACTGAGCGGATGGACGTTTCATGCCTTCGTTAGACTGGGTGACGCCTGAATTTGGGGCATTGATGGGCACTGCAGTGGTTGATGAAGCGGTATAGGTTGAGGGAGGCCCTTGGCCTTTCTTCCAGGCATCAGTCCTGAGTTCATCGGCATCAGGCGAGAATGATTTTGGGGCTTCGTCTATTGATGTGGGAACGCTGTTGTGAGTGTGATCTGTCACATTTGTGGTGGTGGGTGCAGTCGATGTGCTTTCGCCCCGATACCTCTGCCGCGTCAGAGACTGATCACGAGAGTCTGTCGACTTCATTCCTGCGATCAAATTCGGAGCCGTACTCCCTTTCTCGGATCCAGCGGCCTCCCGAGTATCATAAGAACCGTAACCTTGCTGACGGTTGGCTGGGTTCATCCAGTTGCCATAATAGCTGTCGTGTCTTTCGAAGGACTGACGTTGGGCTTCACTTGAGGGCCGCATCTGTTCCATATCCACATCGCGCTCGGACATGGAGCGACGAGTGCCGTTGAGAGGCGACTTCCCATCCGGCAACGATCCGACTGCAGCTAATAGGTCTCTCTCGCCGGAGCTCTCACCACTTGATGGCGACAGTGGGGCCTGTAAATGGCGGTCTATCTGCACATCACTGGGGAAACGGCCCCCAGGTTCACGCGGTTGAGATGCCGGCCGCTCTTGGTTTAAAATCACTGATCCTGCTGAGTAGGGTGTTCGGTCGGCTTCATCTTCGTCCATAACTCCGTCACTACTGGCAGACGTCCTCCCGGCAGCACTTGCACCACTCACAGTGCGTACGTGTCTCCTGACAAATGCATTCCTTGCTTCACCGGTCTTGGAGATCAGGCTTTCGACATCCTCATACCATGCCTTCATCGTCTCGTGCGACTCCGCTCGGAAGACCCATGAGTGACCACGATGCATCGCCCCCGTTTGCCGCCCTTTCAGCATAAACTTATGAGACGTGGAGTTCGGCTGGGAGTGCGACCCCAGTTTCTGCTCTGGGAGGTACAATGACATCACCGGCGTCTGCCATGCCACTCGATCGGCAGACTTGAACTCGTGAAGATGAGTTGGTGACAAGACATACCTATGTTATGTTAGTATAAGAACAGCGCGGAAAAGAGAAAGATAAGACCCACCAGCCCGGCGTGTAGCTCTTGAGATATTTGCTCTTACGTTCGAGCATTCCCGATCTGACCTCTACAGCGGCCGGATGGTCTTTTCCAGGGTAGGAGATATTCTCCACGTCCCGAAGAGGAACGCGGGGATCAACTAGGTCGTCGGTCTCTGCGATGAACGAGTTCCATTCGTGGTCGTGTGGCATTGAAATCGGACCCGCTCGAAGCTTCTCCGCAGTATCGTACGCCTCGTCGGCTTCACGTGTAAGGATGTTCGCGTACGTTTTGTAAGCTTTTTGGATTTCGCTAACAACGATGGACTCTAACTCGCGGCCGGAGCTTTCCAAGTTCAAAAACGCCTGCGGCACAAATCAGCATTTATATCTCCCAGCTAACCCCGACGGTGGAGTTGCATACCCTGTGTAAATAGTTTTCTTCTTCGATCTGCTTTTCAATCTGCTTGTCGACACCCAGACGGACGATGAACGGATCGCCCTTTCCGGCGGTGGCTGCTGGATCCGTGTCGACTAGGCCGAGGGCTTCGTGTAAATGACGGACTGATTTGCGGGTGGCTTCGACTTCCTTATCCACCGAGTTGCGGAAATCGCCCGAAAGACTCCTGATCTCCTTGGTCTTCTTTTGTAGATCGTTCCGGAGTCCCATTAGTTGAGCCACTAATTCATTTTCCACCTCTGCGGCTTTATTCGCTTCTAGGTACGCCTGTTTGTGGAAGTTCCGCAAGATATCGGTCGCGTCTCCAAGACCGCCGGATTTGAGAAAAGTCGGGGGTATCGTCGAGTTGTTGATGATATTGGACGCTGACATGAATAGCTTGGAGCGAGTTTCGTAGGACTTTTGGAGTTCCTTGAAGAACACAATGAGATCCTTCAGGACCTTGCGCCACGCTGATGCAAGTCAGCAAATCACGAATTCCAGCCGTGGAGGGTACACAGCGCCGCTGTGTTACGAAATGATCTCACCTTGAAAGCGATCCGCTAAAACGTCCGTCGGGTTTCCATTCGTAGGAACAGGGATGTAGAACGCGCTATTCTGATCATCGACTCCGTCGACGCTATACTTCTCCTTATCGCCGAGGACCAGGCTCCTCACGCTTCCTGCGCGCAAGCTCCGCTTGCTCCCGCTACGTCGCATACTGCCTCTCTTGCTGAGGGAGGACTTCTTTTTCAAAGTACCGGATCGGGTAGGGGTCGCGGAACGGGAGTTGGACATCTGCGATGCGGAGCGCTGGACGGCGGCGGATGACGGGCCCTCGAAGACGACGGAGCCACGTTGGCTGGCGGCATCAAATTCCTCATGAAAGCGACCGTTTCGGGCGTAAGAAGGCTCCGCGACGGCACCAGTAGCGAGATTGTAACCAGAGTTGGTGGCTATCAAGGAGTTCGGTCTGGAGGCGGACCGTACGCCATAGCCCTGACCTGAGAATAGGGAGTCGGGAGGCTGTGAGATGGCAGCGTAAGCGTCCTGCAGAGGGGTCTGCGACCGGACCACTGTGGCCATGGTTGATAGGGTAGAGGAGGGGGAGGGGTGGCGGCAATGGCTTTCAACAAGGCGAGCAAATTGGGCGGTGCAAACCAGGCCCGTGATCAAATAGCTAATGTCCGAGGAGGTGTTCGATTGCGGGCCGAGAATTTGGGGGGAGAAGTATAGATGTATGTATGTATGTATATGTAGAAAATCAAGATTCCGGATTTTCCAGAAGATAAAAAGAAAAAGAGGAAAATAGGAGAAGAGACTCAAAAGAGAAAAGAAAAAGAAAAAGTAAAAGAACCTTCTATGAAAACTCAAGTAAATCAAATTGTGAGAAAAAAAAAGGAGAGTGATAATTTAAAAAAGGATCCAGATCGGGTAATGCTCCAAATCCCAAGATAGCCACCAGAAACGGTTTTCTGGAATTGGTTACCCAGCGAACGGTGGAAGCGTGACTCCTGGAACTAAGGAGGGTCTGGAGCGAACTGTTTGCGGGGGGCTAGGAGATGCCTCCTAATCGTCGGCGATAGTGTCGCTGTCGTCGTCCTCTGTCCGGCAGTAGTCACGGCCGATCCCTCATTAGAATGAGCCCCACCGGGTCTACTATTAAAAGGATTTGGCGCTGGGATAGGTTCAATAATCAGAAAAGGCGTCGCTGGACTCGACAACCGATCATGCGATATAGGACTTGGTTTGATGGGAGGACAGGAACTAAGGAAGGTCAAGAGCATCGAGAAGAAAAGGGTACGGTCGTTCGTTCGTAAGTAGAGTGGAGGGGTTAGTTGCTATCTATCTGGTTCTTGCTTTCTTGGACGGTTCCGGATGACGTCTACGCCGGGCGGGAAAAAAAAAAAAACGCTTCAAGGCAGATGCGACGTGATGGCGACCAGGAAACTATGGAACCGAGTGCCCCCGGACCGGTAATTTTTGGACGAACTGGCTTCACAAGTTACTGAGCTGAGACGAGAGAAAGAAGGAAGAGGAAGAAGCATAAAATAGAGAGAGAGAGAGCGCGCGCGCGCGCGGGAGACAGAGAATGAATAGAGAGGGACATGGAAGGTGAATACCGAGGTTGAAAAAGAATTTCCTAACATCCAGTACAGAGGGTAATAGCAGCTGAGTGAGAAACTCTGATTGAAAATAAGAATAAAAATCCCAGTTCAAAATGACCTAATGTATGTAACTGAGTTCCAGGTTACTTACCTACTATAGATGGCGTACATACTGACCTGATACTAACGACTTTGTATAGGTTTTTTTTGGAGAAAAAAAAAAAGGAATTAATGACTCAATCTGATCTTATTGTCTGAACAAAATAAAGAAGAACAGGCACGGAGTACATGCATTTCATCTTCCCTACTCGGGGTTAGTGCAGGGATAGTGTCAGTGATTCCTCCTTTTTCCTTTCGACTCCTACTAGGTAAGAGAATGCTACTCTGGGGATTGATTACCATTACTATTATTAAAAATACTCGTAGAATACCTGTGAGATTAAAAATGCCGTTGCCTATTCGCCAGCGACGAACCAAATCGTTTTTTCCGTTTTCTCTTCTTATTCATGCTATATTTATATTTATATTTTAATTATCTTCCAGGAGGGTGCAGTAGTGTCGAGTCTATATTGATTTAATCAATATCCAACCCGACTCTCAGATCTAGTCTATTATTACGGAGCGCCGTCATCACTCCCAGCTGAAAAGTGGCTGGTTCAGCATTTGTGGCTATGGATGGTTCCCCTTCCATCAATTACACCAATCATGACGCCCCAGTGGATCAGATGCAATCACACGAAATCATCACCGACTTGAATCTTCCTAGCGTCTGCATAATCGTTCTTCATGCCTTGGGTATCCTCCCCCCCTTTTTTTTCCCTTCCTTTCCTGTTCTTCCTCCGACCAGTGGCAATATCTCCACCAATTTGACACACTCCTATAGGCGAAAGGGAAAAGGAGATATTCGGGCCGTGCCCTGGATTTCCTCTTCAGGATGCAATGAGGCAGCAATTGCAATTACATACATCCCCGAGAAAAGTCCAAAAACCTTCTCTATTCGACGTCATGCACGGTTCATCACTTTCCATGTCGATCGAGGCGGAAGGTTTCCAGAATGCTGGTCCGGGCAGACTCTCCCGTTCGAACCCTCAGATAATTACTCCTGAAGTATATCTACAAAAGTACCTCTTCTGCACATACTATGCCTCTTCGCCCCCTTTTTGTAATACCTAGTAATTATAGTTAGAGCACCCTCTCTCCAGTGTCCCCACTCCCTTATTCATATTTCTTCTTATGAGATTCCCTAAAAGGGTCTGAGATGATTATGATGGGCCTTGCAGATGGTCATGATGACTCGCTGTAAAGCCTGCTGGTCTGATTCATGGAGTTACATTTCACATAGTCGTACCACAGAATTCCATTACTGCCTTAGAGTTACGGCTACGAGTTTAAAGGGGATGATATCATATCCCCTGAACTTTCTCCCCTGCATGGATTTCCTTGCATATACCGATGGATAGTACGCTGCCATTTTTATCGATCAGATGGATAGTTAGGAGTTCCAAGATGTTAGTCAGCTGTCTCTTACTAACTTAACTATTTAACATATTTATTATTACCTATTGATGGGATTCCTGAATGTCAAGGCTCCCAAAGTGATTTGATAAGCCGACCATGTGATTGGTCAGTCACGCTCTCGGATTCCCAGATATTCCGCCATGGACACTTAGTATACCACATCCTGCGCCTACAGGAAGAAGTGCAAGGATCGTGGCATGTGCCAATTCGCTGCATGGTAAATATTGCATTGATTCTGTCACAGGGAGGGGCCCTGATGATATGTTGAGTTGATTCGAGCCGCATGTGCTTCCTGTCTCAACGATCCCTCGCGGTTTCACTTCCTCTATGCTGTAGTCCGCATTCAACAACAAACATGGCGTGTCCTGGCATGTCATGTGCTAGCACTGCACAGATTGTCCCTTACTTGACAGTTGTAATTATACTACCCATCCTCTTGTATGTTGGCAAGGCAATTTGAGACATATCAATCTCAACAGAAACAAAAACATTCATCCAGTAAGAAATCTTGCCAAAGTTTGCTAGCTAAACGTGTTCGACATATAAGGGTAATTTTACACAAGGATACTGGGAATCGGCAAACCGAGAAAAAAGAGACTTGGAACCAAACTATATTCATGAAGCAGGAACCTGGGATGTGGGAACCTCAATACCGTATGCTTCTTTGATCCTCTCTGCACGTCTCTCTGCGTAGCCAGGGCCGTAGAGTCCTAGAGTCACGTCAGTCACACGGCGACTTTTATCAAAGGGGTATCATTCGATGGACATACCTCGTCCCTCACCCAATTCGGCAAGAGTCTGCTCGCCCGAAGTTCTATATGCTTTCCTCAATTGCTCCCGACGTTCAAACTCATCAATTTCAGGGTTCTTCTTGTATCCATACAACGTTCCACCGGTGTATTCGAAAGCGCCCATGAAGGTTGCCAGAGCAGCGCCGTATCCGAGAAGGGCGGGGAAGGTCCGGGCTGCACAGTTATCAGAATACCATGCCACGATAGAATATTGAAGAAGAATAGGAACACAAACCTCGTAGACCCAAAATTGCACCGGAGAAGAAACCACCCAATGCGACGTTCCAGTGATCCTCCTTCTCCCGTAGGTTGGCGGACGCAGTCTTCACAAACTCATAAGTACCTCCCATTGCCGCTGGGTAAGAATTGTCAGCAGGACCAAACATAGCATTAACCATCTCCAATTGTATCCATACCGAAGACACCGACTGTGCCGCCGCTTCTCACGAACACACCCCATGGCCCAACGTTCTTCCTGACGAGGGTGTTCTGAACCGCCGAGGCGAAGAGGCCCACTCCACCAGTGAGCATAGTGGTCTTCAATGCCGCCTGAATCGCATCCTTAGGATGGTAGCTGTGATCTTCAGTATGTTGTCCAGCCATGGTGGCGGTTGAGACTGCAATGGACTTCTGCTTGTAGTGGGCGAGACGTCTGGACGGTTCGCTGGGATTTTGGGAAGTCGCAGTTTCTGCCATGAGACACCGCCTTCCCCAGGCTTCCCTGGAGCTTCATGTCTGGTGATGTGACATGGCACGGCTTTGTTCACCATAAGACTTTGTCGATCCCGTGTTATGAGGGATCTATTATCAGATACTACGGTAGCCGCCATTCCTGTCAGAACGATTTCACAAGTGAACCGCGCTGGTGGTGGTGAATCTATCACCAAGCTTGCCGCCCACTTGCTCCAATTGCGGTGGGCTCCCCGCCGGTCCAACTGCCAGTGCTCATTCTAACAGAGTCGAATGATTTCTAGGCTCTTGGATGATCTATCACTGAGAATCTTTCGCCCAGAGTTCTAGTGAGAGATACTGACTTTATGGGAGATTATTCTTTGAACATTTCTAGATCCCCCGGTCTGATCCTGCCAACTGTGAGCTTAAACGAGCGTCCCCATGACGTCCTTTCAACAGTCAGGTATGTAGCTTCGTCCAACGCTGGAGCGCATTACTTGACCATGCACGCAGTACTGACATGAACCCAACCGATGCCCAGGCAAGACTGCCCCCCGTCTTGTACAAGATATATGCGACTATGATCCTGCTCAACTGCCAGCTACCGGCCGCAATCTGCTCGCGGACGTCCCTCCAGTGTTTCCCGAATACTATAATGGACCGCTAGAACACATCTCCACAGCCGCGTGCCGCCACAACTTTGTTTCGAAGCCTGCCCAGAGTTATGTACCTCAGCCGGAGCAAGGCAACACGGGGGCCCCTACCAAGGTCTCAGCCATTTGCTCGAGGTGCCGTTATCACTTGCAGGTTGTTGTGAGCTCTACACCCGGCATTGGCCATCCTAGCTCAAGATTTTCCGACCACGTACACCATCTGGTATATAAGTCCGGAAACTACAGAGGCGGCCCGGCCCCGGAGGAGGTTAGCTCCAAAGGACAGATGCTGGAGACATTCCACTATGAATGTTCATACCTTACTTGCTCCATCGCAGTATCTGTACGGTTTGCCTCACCTCTCCTAAATGAGGACCGAACTCGACTGTTAGTCGACCCCAAACTCCTGCGGGAGCGTGCGGACGAAGCATTTGCAGCCCACCCCGACCGTCTGGAAGGGGTTGCTCGGCCCCAGCCTATTAATGTCTTAATGAACTTGCGTGCATATGTCAGTCATGCCCTTCTTGATAGTCAACAAAGCAAGTCAATCTCGGCAGTTAATAAGAGATTCATGACGTGCTTTGGAGTTGAAGGGGAGCCTTGCAGAGACCTGTTAGAATTCCTAGGATTTAGCACCAAGGTTTGTAAACCTGCTTTCTTATGCGTCCCAATGTTATTAATGCTTTGGCCAGAACGAAGGCTTTTGGGAACCTCCTCGACCGAACCCCTGGGCAGAGTTCCCCTACCGCGACCAACTCAAGATATTTCTCGATGACGTTATGCACGAACTTGCCGCGCTCATAGAACAAAGGCCTGTGATAGAAAAGAAGGGTCACCAGCTAGAATTCAATCGTCAACCAGTGTACAATGATCTCCTATATGCCCTGGAGTCTTTGGACTGTAAGTGTATGCCAGAAATTCCTATTCACGACCCACGGGCTAATGGCAGTCAGACCCGAAAGCCTCACGTTCGAATGATTTCCAGATGGCTCCTGCACCGTTTGTCTCACTTGAGAGCTGAATGTTCGTAGATGATTACTGATTACGCAAACAGTTACTATGAAGACCTGGGTGTCGTCGAAGACATGGCGGCTTCTTCAATCGTAGATGCCTTCAATCGGCAGGTGTCGGTGGATCCTGCCAGGGCGCCCATTTACCTTAAGTGTTTAAAGTCGATCGGAAGCCTCAGAGGTGGAGAAGATGGTGCTCTCATAGAGCAGGCAGTTCAGGTAGCTTATGCGGAGGGAAAATACACCGATGAAGACGTCGTGGATGCCTACAAGTACTTCGGTCTAAGTCACAACGACCAGCGACTCACTGAAGACAGCATCATTGGAAAATTTTATGCTTATCTAGGTGCAACTACTGCTGTTCAGGAGATAGAGACCCGCAGACAACTATGGAGGATAGGGGATAGTAGGCGGAGTGAGCGAATCAAGGCAGCAGCGGAAGAAAGTACGATTAAGTTGGCCCGGCTAGAGGATACTGGCAAAGAGGTTGACTGACAGTAATAGGGGTTTCAACCGTTGACCAGGCCCATGTTTTCCTCGGCGTCAGCGCTGATACTTCTGATGACTTTGTTATGGCGGTTTACACTACCAAGGTATTTCTTTCATACTATGTTTCCAGCTTTGAATCATGGTATGCTGACCTTTACTCAAGGTCGATGACAATCCATCGAGCCGGGATCTTGCTCGCCGTGCAGTTCAGCTGATTGCCGAGGCGCGAAAATCGGAGGCCTTGAAACATTTTCTTAAGACAGGCGAAATGACTGCTGGTGAGATGGATGTTGCTGATGCCTACCGTCTTCTTCAGATACCTGACCGAACCGTGGATGAGGGGGCGATTATGGCCGCATACACGATTTGTGTGGATGAAGCTCCAGCACAGGCTGAAACCTACAACCAGGCGTTACGAATCATTGCAAAAGATAAGAACAGCCCTTTGTTAAGCAATATGGTTTCTGGTTCCGTCACGAAACCTGACCGTGACTTGTCGGAATGGCCAGTCGGATTGCAGAACATTGGCAACACCTGCTACCTCAACAGTCTGTTGCAATTTTATTTTTCCATCCGTCCTTACCGTGACATGGTTTTGGATTTTGAGAACTTCAAGATGGAAATCAACGAGGACACTTTGAGCAACAAACAGGTGGGGTCTCGCAAAGTATCCAAAAAGGAGGTTGAGCGATCTCAACGGTGTAGGTGGCGTCCTTGTTCCTTAAATGCGCGTGTTCGATGAGAGAACTGACCAATCTTTCCTTCAGTCCTTGGACAACTGCGGTCCTTGTTTAACGACATGATCACTGCTACAACAACCTATGTCATTCCTAGTCAAGAGCTGGCGCGATTAACTTTGATTAGCCCTTCTAACGAAGCCGCGATTCGTCGCCGATCGACGATATCTGGAATTAGACCTAGCGCCCTTGGGGACATCAATGGTATGCCAATTATGGGACCACTTGGACCCCCACAGCCGACTCCGGAAAGTGAAAGCAAGGGGCCTATAGCTCTCGAACCTGAGAAACCGCAACGCTCAACGACAAGCGATGTTGATAGCGAGGCAACTCTTGTTTCTGATGGTGCTAAAGTCGATGTCACAGTCCCTCCTAGTGACGACAAAGAAACTGAGCTCGCTCGCACAGATTCTGCGGAGACGGCGATACAGGGCGAATCAACCTCCGAGGTAGATGAGCAGCAGTCATCTGATAAAACAGCTTCTGACCAAAATACGCCATCAACTCAACCCCCTCCGGTGCCTCCACGACCTGGCCCACAACTCAACCCACAAAAGCAACTTTTAGACGAGGTTGAGATCGGGGCCCAGCAGGACGTGACAGAAGTAATCAACAATGTACTTTTCCAAAGTCAATGTGCCATCAAGCCGATCTCGCTTGCTTCGGATGGTGAGCAGCTTGATCAGGTGAAAGAGTGAGTTCTGGTACCTATGTGATGACAAGTTATGGGCTGACATTTGCTGTACTTGAATAGCTTGTTTTACGGTAGAGCCAAGTCCTATATCCAAACGGGAGAAGGAGTGCGGTCAAAGGAAGAATGGTGGTGTGATATCAAGATCGACGTCGCGTCTGGATCGCGCGATATCTATGCTGCAATTGACGGGGCTTTTGATGTCCAGAAAGTCAGCGTAGAAAATTCGGTGGCGGAACAGTTCAGCGCTATCAGCAAACTACCGCCTGTTCTTCAAGTCCAGGTCCAGCGTGTCCAGTTCGATCCTGTCAAGAAGCGGTCCTTCAAGTCTACCCACCACTTAGAATTAAAGGAGACTATCTACCTGGATCGGTATATGGACACCCAGCAACCTGATATTTTGAATCGTCGTCGCCAGTGCTGGGAATGGAAAAATACGCTAAGAACGCTTGAGGCTCGTCGAGCAGAGTTGCAACGCCAAAGGGTATGGTTCAAATAAAAGGATACCTTTCATACAAAATGCAAAACATGTGCTGACTTACCACAGGAGGCTGATGGCCTTGATATACCGAGCTTGTTCGACAGTGCCAGGGAAGTGCTAGAAGACCTGAACTCTATGAAGGATGACCCTGAGACCGCGCCAGATGCGGTTCCTGTTAAGTCGGAGCTTATACCTGAACTCAATCAACTTTCTCAGATAGCGAGGGCAGAGCTGACTTGTAAGTGTTACCGCTTTGTTTCCCTTTTCCATCAACTCCTAATCTCCCTTCCTCGTGAAAGCTTATGAGATTGATATGTTGTAAACAACTATACTGACCTACTATTTAAGACATCGACCAAGAGATCAAGGATATACAGACCATGATCTCCAGCCAGTTTGCTGACTACAAACATCTGGCTTATCGTCTCTACGCCGTCTTCGTTCACCATGGCTCCGTCGAATTTGGACACTACTACATCTACATCTTTGATTTCGAACGAAATGTTTGGCGGAAGTACAACGATAACTACGTTACTGAAGTACACGACCTAGATGAGATATTTATGAAACAGAACCGCCAGAACCCTCCCACCCCATACTTCCTGGTATATGTCAATGACACCTTGAAGGACCGTTTAGTCAGTCCTCTTTGCCGGGAGATACTCGAGTCTGCGCCAGAGGATCAACAGGGCGCAGATGAGGCATGCGTTACGGAAGGGGTTGCTGTGCCGACACCAGCAGAAGATGTGGATATGGGCCCACCGACATATGATGAAATATGGACTGACAAAGGCACATCAGGTACGGAAGACAACCATCACATAGAATATAGAATGCGTGCCGCAGATGTAGAACGCAGCGAGGCTCCTGACAGAGGGCCATCAAGCAAAGACACTGACTTCCATGATGTGCAACGGTAGGCTCTGAAACGACATTACCGACCGGTGTCACTACCCCGAATCCATTGAAACGGAAAGGGCGAGATGACGTAGCTGGTTCAACCAGCTAAGCTGGATGGTCCTCTGGGTAGCGACATTTGATGGCGATCCTATACCTGGCGCGCTCTATTTGATAAATCCTGTGTCATAAAACATTCCTTTTTTGTACAGACGAGGTTTGACGATGTTGACTTTGAAGTGAAGGCAACGGAAATGCCTACTGATCAACAGCACCCAGATGACCTGTTCGCCCGGAAAGTGCTCGATGCCAGTGCGGACTCACCTGGTTCGACCCATTTTTGATACATCGATTTCCAGGGCCCCAGGCCTTCCCTGTGACCATGCAAACCTCGAGAATTAAACCCCTTGAACACGCATTTCCAGGATCTTCATGTCATATTTGTGATGTTAGTCATTGTTATTTGTGCATGGCAGCGGGTCGGTACTCATTATTCCCTGTAAATAGCGGGTGATACCATTAGTTATGACTATGATGTGCAACGTCATTTAAATAAATCGAGTGTCTGCTTTGCTTGTACTTTATCCGCATCGATAAGTGCTTAGTAAATCAGCGGATCTGATGCGGGCCGCGGATCGGAACCGGAAGATTCCCTGCCATCGGCAGTCCATGTCGGTAGTGCAACATGTTGCATCAGTTCCTCAATATTGATTCATTACGGATCATATGATTTAGCATTGAGGCAAGAAGTATAGGATACCTTTCAGTGTAGAGATTGAATGAAAGGCGTGTGAAGCAAGGGACCCAAATAAGAATTTTTGTTGTCCTATCTCCAACAAATGCGGGGAAATTCCGGGGTACTACGCTGCCGTCACTGGTGCCTTTCCGCACCTCCGCAGCAAGCCGCCCTAAATATCCGACGACAGCATATATCTCAGCCTACTCGCCGTCTTTAGTCCGTGGGCGTAACTGGCCATATTCTTTCACTCTCAGTGTCTCTGCAAATTCTCGCAAAGAGACTGATATCCGAGCCCATCTGTTGAACGGGTGATCTCTGCGCAATCCCTTGATCTAACCCCGCTAGGCTCTAAATTCGCCATGCCTTCACAAATAGCTACGTGTTTGCGCCTGGCGCGGCAATTTTCTGCTGATCCAAGCAAGGTAGAGCTCTCAACGTATTGAAGTTCAGGCGGGCAATTACTGACGAGTTCCCCACGATTTTAGCATCAGCGATTCCTGGCACGCGCTTTCTCAAGCAGCATCCGCCGCCCCGAAATCAACAAGGTCGTTTCATCTGCAGATCTAGCAATTAAGGACTTGAAATCGAACTCGACCGTGTTGGCAGGTGGTTTTGGTCTTTGCGGTGTACCTGATACTTTAATCAATGCGGTGCGAGCAAATCCTTCCATCACCGGATTGACGGTAGTCAGCAACAATGCCGGTGTTGATGGAGCAGGCCTTGGCCTGCTTCTCCAATCCAAACAAATTAAAAAGATGATCGCCAGTTACGTGGGCGAAAACAAGACCTTCGAGCGCATGTATCTGACGGGGGAGATTGAGTTGGAGTTGACTCCGCAGGGCACCTTGGCCGAGCGTTGCCGATCTGGTGGTCACGGAATCCCAGCCTTTTATACCCCTGCCGCTTTTGGAACAGTTGTCCAGACAGGTGAGCTGCCTGTAAAGCATAATGCAGATGGCACGGTCGCTCTCCGCAGTGAACCCCGCGATGTCAAGGTCTTTGATGGCAAGAGTTATGTCATGGAAGAGTCCATCAAAGGTGATTATGCCTTTGTTAAGGCTTATAAGGCGGATAAGCTGGGAAACTGCCAGTTCCGCTATGCAGCTCAGAACTTCAACGGTGCCATGGGCCGTAATGCTAAGATGACAATTGTTGAGGCTGAGCATATCGTCGAACCCGGCGAGATTGAGCCTGCCGCTATTCACCTGCCGGGTATCTACGTTAAGCGCGTTATTCAGAGCACGACACCGAAGAATATCGAGAAGTACACCTTTGCCAAGGAGGACGGCGAGGACTCTGCTGCCCTGGGCAAGGGCGATACTGCCGCCAAACGTGAGCGTATCGTCCGTCGTGCAGCTAAGGAGTTCAAAAACGGAATGTACGCGAACCTGGGTATTGGGATGCCCATGTTGGCCCCTAACTTCGTCGACCCTTCTGTGGAAGTTCAGCTCCAGTCTGAAAACGGCATCCTAGGATTGGGCCCCTACCCTAAGAAGGGACAAGAAGACCCGGATCTTATCAACGCTGGAAAAGAGACGGTGACCCTTGCACCTGGTGCGGCTTGCTTCGGCAGTGACGAGTCCTTCGGTATGATCCGTTCAGGAAGAATCGATTTGACTATTCTGGGTGCTATGCAGGTGAGCGCCAGAGGTGATTTGGCCAACTGTAAGTCTTACTACACACGCTTATCTTTCGTAATGTTTCAATACCTGTCTTTACTAACTGTGTCCTAGGGATGTTGCCCGGTAAGATAAAGGGCTTTGGCGGTGCCATGGATCTAGTCTCCAACCCCTCCGCGACGAAGGTGGTTGTGACTATGGAGCACACGGACAAGAAGGGCAACCCTAAGGTCGTCAAGCAGTGCGAGTTCCCCTTGACTGGAAAAACCTGTGTTAGCCGCATCATCACCGAGCTCTGCGTTTTCGATGTTGACTTCACCGACGGGCTGACCCTAGTTGAGCTTGCCGATGGCGTCACTGTTGAGGAAGTAAGGAGCAAGACGGAAGCCCCATTCAAAGTTGCCGATGATGTGAAGCCCATGTTGTAATCAAACCCCATTGACTCTTCATTTGTTTAGCCGTCTGGTTTATTACCAATTTGCGAAAATAATCGGTATTTATGAGCGTATAGTTTATTGAATCATGTCGGGTATGGAAGGTGCTGTATATACCCTTATCTTGAGTTATATTTCAGAAAAAAAAGTTGAACATATTCCATGACTCCTTTTTAAAGAGTAGTTGTACATCGAACTAAAAGTGGAAAACAAAAAAGTCACCGATGAGAGTAATCTTCTGTAATCCATATGCCCATCGCAGTAAGTAATAGTACAAATTGTATACACAAACTCCCCAACCCAACCTCAGTTTCCAATAACGCACGAACCTAGCTGAATCTGAAAAGACCCTTCAATCTCGCGCCCACTCTTCCCCAGAAATCTCGTGACGGAGCCTCCGAGAATTCCTTAATCACATTATCGTAATGGTCCGGATTACTCTTCGGCCGCCGGATGTTAGGTGACAATGGGTACTTTCTAGCATAACGGTCTTCCAGTAGCGATGACAGTGCATTTAGCGAGTTTTCCGACAGAGGCAGAGAGGGTGATTGAGGCGGCTGTCGTTGCGGCTGCTTCGAAGGGTTTTCTGGGGTCTGAGGAAGGTGGGACTGGAGGTATGTATGAACGGAGACGGAGGATGGGCGGACGAGATCAGCGGGCCAGTGTTTGAGGAGATGGTTAATGCGCTTGACATATTGGGTCTAACATAGTTGTCAATATACCGCTGGTTGGTCTTGTTCGGTTTAGAGTAACAAATCATGGCTTACTGGTGGCTTAGACATGATGGTGTAATTGATGTCAAGCAAAAGCGGTCTGCTATAAGATCGAATATACGGTAGAAATAAAGTAACAAACAAAAGCGAATGTATCACAGAGATATGTAGTTGAATCTATGGTTGTGATGCCTTGCCCGCGTATCAAACTGCTATCTAGATTCGTTTGATATGATCTACGCGGGCAAAAAGATCGAGTCACGGGGGGGTGGACTTGATGCCCCAGGCAGCAACAGCGATTCGCTCTCTCCGCTTCGTCATGTAATCGCCTTCATTTCCATCCCATCCTTTACATCTACAGTCGATCCCTTCCCATCCTCATCATCGCTTTCCTCGGACATTCTTTCCCTCCTATCTTCTTTGTCGTTAGTATTCTGAAATCTCTATCATAAACCTATATCTCGTCTCTTTAGAGCGCTTTCCCTCTCTTTCCGGATTTCCTTCCCTCGCTCAGCTCGCCATGAGCTCGCAGCGTTATGAACGGGTAAAAGTCGCCCACCGCCCTGTACTGGTTGCATATTACATAGGAAATGGCCGATAAATTGCGACATATCTGGTACAGGCTGCTAATGTGGTGGAGCAATAGGTGAATGCCCACGACGAAGACGAAGAACCACAATTCCAATCGTCGATCCCTCTTCGGGCAACGCCCAACTCCCCCCCTCCTTCGTTTCGATCACGTTCTACCTCCCCATCGTCAAGACGTCTTCTCCACGAAGATCCCCTACGAAACGATGCAGATCAGACTCTGGCCGACGCATTTGATGATGAGAGTGACTCCGAAGCAGATGAACCAGACGACCGCCAGCGTTTAATGCGGGCTCAGCCGGAATCGCGACCATTGACAGATAGCAGCAGTGTGACCGCTGGCTCTCCATCAGGAGTGATCAATGGACAGCAACAGTCTGAGGAGCCGCGTAATGGGATCCAGAGGAGGCAAACAATCCTTCCAACCTTCGGCACGGGTAGTCGGATGATCAGTTCAACGAATGATGGTGTCTTTGCGAACCTGGCGGCTAAGCCGGAGCGTGGGGAGAAGAACGAAGATCTTCCTCCGGTGTGTATTCTCCTCTGTCATGCGGTGGATGATGCGTATCATATGGAGACCGTGCTAACGTTATGTTTAGTCCTATGAGGAGGCTGCTGCCGACGCCACTCCTCCGTACTGGGAGACCACGATCCTGGCCCCTGGGATATTATCCGACGAAGTGTTTGTGGATGGGTTGCCAGTTGGGTCTGTTTTCTCGTTTGTCTGGAACGCCATGATCTCCATGTCCTTCCAACTGGTCGGTTTCCTCCTGACCTACCTTCTTCATACCACGCATGCAGCGAAGAACGGAAGTCGGGCTGGCCTTGGCCTAACTCTCGTGCAATACGGCTTTTACATGAAAAGTGGAAGTGAGTCCAAACCGGATGATGGGGCAGATCAATACGTGACGCCTCCGGATCCCAATAGCCACAACTTTGACCCCAGCACCGTCTCCGATGGCTCTGGAGGCGATACTAGCAGTGGTGTATCTGGTATTTCAACGAGCGAATGGATTTCTTACGTCCTAATGATCGTTGGTTGGTTTATTTTAATCCGTGCTATCAGTGACTATTTAAGGGCCCGGCGCCATGAGCAGCTTGTGCTGCAAAGCCCAGATCGAGGCCTTCCTGTCCCAATCATTGCGGCGAACGAACGATCTGAGACCGTCGTTTAAGTTTCCGTCGCATTGATTTGCAAAATACCGGATTGGTCGGAGCCTTGGAGCATGGGAGTCCCTCAATTCTTTTTTCGATACGTGACGATCCCTTTCTTTTTGTGTTTTTGTATGGGTAATGGGCGCTTCTTAATTCCCCCAACGGACATTTTTTTTATCCCATGAGACCTCTCATTCTGATTTCGAATTTTATTGAGCATGGGGACACTTGTACCTATTTGATTAGAGATACCAAATCTGAAAGACATAGCACTTGGCGTTGATGCCCTATTAAATCGTACTCGTTTGGCCGCGTGTGCCCATTCGCCAGGCAACCTTTTTTTTTTGGCCTCTGCGCCTCCGTTTTATTCACCTTCCCAACGTCTCTTCTATTTTTAACACTGATTCAGCTTGTGAGTGAATAGCGCTTGCCCTCTACTCTAAGTAGTACTATGGCAATGTACCTTAATCTAGACCAACACGCGATGGAAGAGTGATTTTAAATCCTCAGCTCTTGGCGGATCTCCCGCAACCCGTCCGACTTCTCCGCGTGTGTTTGTTTACCGCAGCTTCGTATCCTTCCTTTCTCTGTTTAAATCGTCACCTTCTCACTTGTCCTTCTTGACTCCTTACGCTTGGAGATCACTTCCTCTTGTCCCCCCCCCCGTAAATGGCTAAGGTCGATGCAGCGGCGGATTCTCCGGCCGCCGCATCGCCGAACCATAGCCTCCCCGCTGGCCCCGTCGAGGCTCGTTCATTATCCTCCATCACCGCAATAGCCTCGAACCCTCCGGCTTACCCACGTAATCCGACGCAGAAGAAACTTGACCCTCTGGTATTGTACATTGTGAGGGTTCCAGGAAGTAAGGGTATGTCGTGGTCCGTTGCTGCAGGTCACTTGAGATACATACCCCGCATGAGCGGTGGGAGATATTGACCGATCATATCACTAAATTAAAGATCGGTGCTGACTCCACGTCTCTCTATTTTGCATTCTAGATGTCTTCCTCTCCCCACTTAAACCACCGACAAAAGCTAGTGTCTCGGCTGAAGCTATCAACGCTTCCCTCTACTACCTGCACGTCTCGACGCCCGAGGACGATGTCTTGCTCCAGGAATATGAGCAAGAGCGCGAGGAAGAGGCGAAATTGCGGAAGGAGATGCTTGGAGAGGAAGCCGATGTTCCGCCTGAGTTCGCGCGATTGAATAATGTTAGACGGAAGCCTGTTCCAGGTGGTAGTGGCAGCGCAAAGGTGGACGCCGATGCACGACCTCCTCTTCCGGCTCGTCCATCGAATTTATCACTGCAAGAGAATGTGTCATCGGCGCCAAACTTTGCGGATCTGCCATCATCCTTGATGCCGGCTCGTCCGGCATTGTCGGGGAGCTGTTCATCGATCGACATCCCTCAGGCTCCATCTCAGATGGCTGCTGACAGTCGCAATGGCTTCCTCGGGTGTATGCCGGGTGATGAGACTGCAGCAAGGCCTCCTTTACCGGCTCGACCACTTCCTCCCGTCCCAAAAGATGAGCTTGCATTCGAGCTAGTGGAGGATAATTGTACGTCAAAGAAACCCAACCGCTGGAGTGCTTTATCCGGGTATATGCCCGGACGAGGCATGGAGAACTGGAAGGAGAAGTATGAAGTTCTATCCTCCGGCCGTCACAGCCTCGACTCTAGGCGACCTCAGGTGCGACCACAGTCGTCGCATGCGAATCCCTCACACACTCGCCTGGGGTCTCCGGTGAGAAGTCCTGGCCAATCCCCAAGTAGGAGGCCGCATGACAGCAGACAACCGGAACAACCTGGCTTCCACATCACACTCATCCGTCGCGATCCTGCTCATGGGAGCCAGTGGAATGTAGCAACAATATCGACATCGAAAATTGACGGTAGTGCCATTGACATTGAAGTATCGACGCCAGGGTACAACCGGTTCGCTGCGAAAAATGAACCGCTCTCCCTGGCGAGTCTTGGACTCAACCTACCGTCCGAAATAGCGAATCGCATCTCACTGTCGTCGTCTTCCAGACCTACCCCGGCCGAGCTGACGGAGAACACCCCAACCCAACCATCGCACCCCCGGAAGTTCCACCGCAAACTATGCGTGTCACGACCATACCAGGAAGAGACGCGAGGCTCATTAGACCTGGGAAACCGGACATCCATCGACATCGGCAGCAACAGTCCAACAATAAAACCAGTCCTCTCCAAGCTCAAAAGCGGCTACTACACCTTCACCTCACCGTGGAACGGAACCTGCACATTCTCCACCAGCGTCAACGGCCGCAGCCTAAAATGCAAGCATATGATCCCGATGCCCCCCACCGGCCCCAACGGCGGCCCCATCGACAATCCCGCCGTCACAGTTGCCGAAATCCGCTTCAACACCCCCTTCCAAGCAGGCCATCTCCACCACCAACCAAACCCCTCCCACATCTCCCCCTTCACTCTCAGCCAAACCCCCGCCTTCAAAGACCCAACCAGCAACCCTAACAGCCACCACGCCTCCAACATGGACCAGACCACCCCATCCCCCCCCACCACCAAACGCAACTCCCTCGCCCACTTCCTCAACCCAAACACCTACAATCGCCCGCGCGCCCGCTCCGGCGCAAGCGCCCACTCCGTATCCTCCACCTCTAACTTCGGTGTCCCAACCCGCAAACCCTCAACAAGCAGTACCAGCAGCGGCGCCGCCGACCTCGACGACCCAAGCGGTCCCCGTCGCCCTCCGCGCCGAGTCCCAAGCGACGACCGCCTGGACCTCTCGCTCGCGCGAGAAAACGCCGGCGGCGGCATGCGCGGGAAGAGCGCCAAACTAGGCAAATTGATCATCGAGGACGAGGGGATTAAGATGCTGGATTTGCTCGTTGCGTCTTGTATGGCGGTTTGGTGGAGAGGTTATTATTACTGATTGGTTGGGCTCTTTTGGGCAAGGGTAGCAAGGGTATGAGATTTGGTATGGTCCGTATATTGATCGGATGGGGTATGGTGTCTATCTATTTCGAACCTTGAAGTGACTCCCTTTTTCCCATTTTATCTTTTCATTTTGGTTCCATGTATGTACGATTTGACGATTGATGAGATAGTTATATATCCTCAGATTTACTGTGCTATTGTCAGTAATAGAATATTGCTACAGAAAAGAGAGAGAAGAAATGTAAATGTCAAATGGGATAAATAAAGGAAAACTATCTCATATATACCATACTGTAATCAACTACTTCATCAGATCTATCCAGTCATGAAACGATCAAACCAGCGCTCAATTGCAATGCAACTGCCGTTTCCTTCATGCATGCTCTCACACAGACCCAGGTCCAATTGCCAGTAGCCAGTAGCATAGGTAAAGTCGGGTACATACACCCATGGGCCAGGAGTGAACCAGTCCTCTCTCCACCTTTTAGTATGTAAATAGAAAAATTATAAGAGATACCGCTAGAAACTGCAGGGAATGAACCAAAATGGGGTGGGGGAAACCGAGAATATATTTATTTCCTTGTCATATAGGCATCCGGAAACGCCTGCGATTTCCAGGGCATATCCACCTGGGTCAATGACATCATACCATACATGCCGTTTATTGCACATCCATTCCACGCTGCAGGGACGATTCCAGATCGTTGGGGACGCCACCGCCTGCGGTAAGCGCTTCTTGAGGCTTAGGCTCCTCTTGCTTCCAGACGCCCTGCTGGTTCTCGGGGATCGGAACATTGTTCTGCTGCGCGATCTGCTGCTGTTGCGCGGCCGCGGCGGCCTGCGCCTGGGACTGCTGCCGGACGACGGCACGGAAGCGCACGACTTCCTCATAGATCATACGACGCATTTCCTGCACGTCGTCCACTACTTCGAAGTGAAAATCAAAAGTTGTGGGGCACGTTGGCTCATCCGATGCGTCGTGCCAGATATGCAGGTATGGGTGCTCGAGGGCCTCTTCGACCGAAATACGCGATGAAGGGTCAAAGGCAAGCATGCGGTCAAGCAAGTCGAGCGCATCGGGGTTGGCATTGGGGAACAAGCGCTGGAAGGGGATCTTGGGCATGAAAGGCAAGTTGCGCACGTACTCCTGAGCCCGAGGCGAGCCGATGCGGCTCAAGGTCTCCTCGTTCGGAGTTCCCAGGTAGTGGAGGATCTGATTGAGCTGGTCGACATAGTCGCGACCCTTGAAGAAGGGACGACCGCCAAGGAGTTCGGCCAGAATGCAACCAACCGACCACACATCAACTGTGGGGTGTCAGCAAGGTAAAACAGGAGAGAGGTCCTACCGGTGGCAAGGAATGAGAGGGGGGGTGGGGGCACATACTAGCTTTGGTGTAACTCTGGAAGCTCAACATAATCTCCGGAGCACGGTACCATCTTGTCGCAACATATTCTGTCATATAGCCTGCGTTCTCCTCTGGGTCGATCGAGAAACCACGTGCCAATCCGAAATCGCAAATCTTGAGTTCACAATCGGCATTAACCAGCAGATTTCCGGGCTTCAAATCTCTATGCAAAACATTGGCTGAGTGGATATACTTCAGACCACACAGAATCTGATAAATAAAAGACTGGAAGTGGGCATCGGTCAAGGGTTGTCCGGAGCGGATGATAGCGGCGAGATCACATTCCATCAATTCTAGGCGAGAAAGCAGTAGTCAGTGGCTGTGAGTGAACGATATATAGGAGGTATATCTACCTTCATACAGGTATGTTTCATTGAAGTTATCCGGGCGTGGAATGTCCATGTCATAGAGACAGGTGATCTGCATTGTTCAGTCAGCTCGGTCAGCCCCGCTGGCATCAAGATAGGATGAACGTACATTACGGTGGCCTCGGAAATGTTGCAGCAACTTAATTTCTCTCAAGGCGCGCTTGGCCAAAATCTTCTTGCTGAAGACATTGGTGACCTTCTTGATAGCGACACCTTCACCGGTTTGGATGTTTGTAGCGGCACTAGATGGAGGAAACGGATATCGTCGTCAGATATGGTAACCGAATCGCGTTGTTTTTTCATGGCATTCTCTTTTGAAAGGCTATGGTCGAGACAAATATGCCAGGAGGCTACGATAATGCATAACGTACCAGACAATACCATATGCACCTTGGCCCAGTTCCTTGGTCACATTGTATCGTTCATCCACAATAAAATCCTGGTTAAAGACCTTGAAAATCTTACGTCCTTGTAGATCAGACATGGTTTCGGAAGGGCGATGAAAAAGGTTTCAAAGCGATCGACTGCTAATCTCGAGGCGGTAAAGCGAATGTTGTTCTGTAGACGCCCGGAAAGAAATGGAGGGGGAGGAAAATGTGCGATCGGACCACCAGAAAGGTAGTGGGGTTTTGGTGATATTATTTCTCGTTTCTTCTCTAGCTTCGACCCTCCTTTTTCAAATCAGAAAAAAAAAAAAAAAAAGAAATCTCGGTCAGGGGGGGAGAGACAGGCAGAAGCTCTGGCGCGGGCGGGCTGGTTGATGAGAGGAAAGCAGCTTCGAATGGACGGATCGGAAGCCCCGCAGTGGGAAAGTCAATCTTCCGCCGTTGCGGCTCCTAAAAAGGAAATAAGGGTTTCAAAAATTAATGGCAATGAGGCGCAGCGAGGAGGGAAAGGAAAAAAGATCCTTCCAGCAACTAGATAGAGGACAGATGTTAGACTGTGAGCGACTTAGCAACGCGCTCAGCTAAAGAGGGGGTTGCATTAACGCAAAAGGATCGATTGGGGCCTTGCAGATGGACAGGCTCCGAACATGCAGCAGTCAAATGTCGACAGAGGGAAGACAAGTGGGGAATTATGAGTAGTACCCCATAGTACAGTAAGTACATACATCGAATCGTTCTATCCAGAATTAATCCTCAATAACTTTTGACGGACGTGTTCCTGATTGACGAAGTAGTGTATTGTTTTGAGCGCAAAGTGTAGGCGTTTATTTATTTATCTATTGCTCCTTCCGAGAAAAGAGGAAGTCACTGGATATTCGACTGCCCATTCCGGTAGTTTGCCGCCCGGGTTTGCCTAAGGCCCAGTTGCGGAGGGGCTCTGGTGGAGAACCTCTTATGGAAGTGTCACACCTGTCACACTGTCACATTCTAGCCTCATTGCTTTTTTTTTTTTTTTTTTTTTTTTTTTTTTTTTGTGGTTCCCTTAATCTGGGTTGAACAGTGGATGGGATTAGGGCATGTCGACAGCAAAGCGAACGGCCTCTGATTGATTTAGGTAACTTTTTAAGTGGTACCGGATCGTTTTGTCGAAACAGAAAGCATCAATGTGCGACTTTCCAAACCACCTCTAGTACTTGAGGTTTCCTGTCAGAAGCAGACTCGTGAACATATATTTGTCGAACCCTATCCGCCTCCTGAATCGCTCCTTTCAATCGGAGAGAGAACTTGTTTTCGTCCTTTTTACGCAATGGACCCAAGCTATATGCGAATGGATCCGGGCCCTTGTATTTACTATTATCCCAGGTCTGCTCCATGGCAATCGGGTCGGACAAGGGCACCGAGTACTTGATCACAGAAAACCCGTTTATCAGATACCAATCATCCTTACCACCTGGCAAGTTCCAGCGTCGAAGTAAACAATCCTCCCCGCAGATGGCAGCGACCTTGCTGAGAGCAACCATATCCGCGTGAAACCAGGACTTCCAATGGTGCAGTGAGAGCGGTAGAGGCCGACCTGATTCGTAGAACCCTGACGCATCGCCACGAAGGTCCAATTGATGAAGGCCCCGCTCCCATGTGAGCTTTGTCGTGGTATGGTCGTAGATACACCGCGCAATCATCCGGTCACCAGAATGCTTAAAATCATAGCAATACTCGAAAACAGCGTCAAGTTGTTGGACCAGGGGGATGGAGAGGAATATCCCAGCACCGCCATACGCCATATGGCTCCCATAGTACATCTGCGATATATCCTCGGTAAGTGCCCCTATATACTGCGGTTCCGTTGGATCGTATGTCGCCAAGCGTTGTACGAGATTTCTCATCGAAGGAAAGAAAGTATCGTCGTCGATCAGGACAATCCATTGGGTAAGCTCGTCCTTTCGCTCAAGGAGGATCCGAATCAGAGAAAAGTACCGATCCAGTAGCTCTTCAGAATTTTGGATCACAGTGAGGCGAATATCTAGCTCCTTCGCCCGTTTCTTAGACTGCTTCGCTGAGCTTTCGTCGTCAACCACAGCCACAATGTGTGCATTCGTTCCCCCCGCCCAGTGTGCGAAGGCATCCAGGGAATCATATAGTCTCTCGACAGATGTTGCAACGCCAAATATCATGTGTGATGCATTGACCCGTGGAGCCGCAACGGGAGCATGGATAGTCACCGACGTTGAGCATCTCTCTTCCGGTAGTGGTTTTGTATGATCCTCCGTATCTAATTGAACGGTCTGGTACGTGGGAACAGGTACGTCGAGTGTATCCGAGAAACCAGTGAAGTTTTCGGTTCGCACAACGGCTATTTCCAATCTAGCATACTCCGCAGAGGAGTTGGATGCGTGCGTTCTCAACAAATCAAGGTCGATATGGCAACTACTACTGTTCGAAGGGGGGAGGCCAGCATTGGGGATGGGATTAATGTCAACATCGCTATGTCGCGAATAGAAGAAGAATGCCGCGTAAATGAACAAAATTGCAGTAGGGATAGCAATTAGTCTCAGCGCAGTGGATTGGCGCCATTGAAGCAAATGGTGATGGGGCATCGCGACTCGGACATAATTAATGTTCGTTCTATATATATGTTCACCTGTACGTACCGGATTTTCTAGAATGCCCTTAGCTTTCCTGTTCTGGACGCCCGCCGCTTGCTTGAAGGTACTCAGGGGCTTGCTCAGTGAGGAGTCACGTGGCTTGCTGAACTGCTGCTCAGCCGCCCTTTATTCGGTGCGAGTAGTTCGACAGCCATGCGATGAACAACAGCCCTCTAAGTCTGCCCAAGTCTGTACCAACACACAAACAAGATGACGCAAGTAGAAAGGTAATGGGGATTAATTCGAGCGGTAGACCTCTAAGGCGAAGCGTAAATACCGAAAGCAACGGTAATTAAATTGAGAGTAGGCTCCGACGAAGCTATAAAGGCTCGTATTCCCCTCTCTTCGAAGGCCATGAATTTATACGATCCTATTATATTCTTGCTTCTTCACTTGGATTCCTATTTTTGCGTCTTAAATTACTTGAGTTGCTTCAATCTCTCTCGTACTTGATTTTCTCTTGTCACAGAGTAAGCTAATGGGTAAAATTTAATTTCTTCAGACTGAAGAGGCAAAGAGGAAGCGTCGGGAGCGTCGCGAAGCAAATGGCTATGTTTCAAGTGTTTATCAAGAGGAAGACGCTAAACGAGGAAAAATACAATCGCACCAACGAAATGAAAAATCTACATCACGAAGATATCTTTCCCGAATAGATCAATATGACACTGAAATGGACGACGCATCGGCGGGAACTTGCCTATTTTGATGAATGCGCGGTTTGAACGTAGAGAAGTATGCCGGGATGTCGGCATAGAGTTTATATGAAGCGGGTACTGAATAACAGGAGATCTTGTCGGCACTGACCCTCTCGGCTGTGGCCTGATAGATCAGCTTAGAGTTAACAGTAGTGTGCGCGCTAAAAATAACAGAATATGCTGATGCTGAAAATAGGCGTCGCCGGTGAAGCATCATGGATACTCATTTTGGCATAATGACAGATGTAAGAACTTTCCCAGCACTATTAACATTTCCATTATACACATGTCCGGTGGATGCTATCTGTTCCATGGAATCTACTTAGTATCTCTGGAAGATTCACCTACCTTCCTTCCGAGTATTACTGGGAAAGGTAAGTTTCTTGTATGTCCAGTAGCCCTCAGATTCTTTCCTTGAAGAACAACTGAAGTGACTGACCAGTAACAGACTCAATTAAACATGCAGCTGTAATGTACAAAAGACTGCAATACTACCAATCAGTGCGGATCTCGGCTGTTATTGTAAGATAAGGTGGTTACGTCTTGATATGAAGGCCTCTGTTCTGTTATTTCGGACTGAACGAGTGTCCTCAACGGGTTTGATGAAGACAACGACCTTTACAGCGTTATTAGAACGTTGCAGCCATTGAAACGTATCTCGACGCAAGTCATGATAGATTTGTGTGAGTCCGACCTCAAAAACGACACGATACCTAGGTTTGGTTGAGCCACCGCTGAGGAATTCCAGTCCAGCATCGGGGTATTTTTTTCTTCCAAGTCCTAGGGTTTGTGTCCAAAATCAAGAAAGCGTCTGTTGGAAAGATATGTTACCTTTATCCCACAGGTTATGTGCTTTCTCTCAGCGACGGTAAGAATAGTATGACAATGCGGCCCAGTTTGATGCGGGGAAAACAGAAGCTGTCCTGCTTATCCGCAAGTGCGGCCGGGAGCTTAAGGACCATATTAAACGAGCGCAAGTGGAAGTAGATGGTCACCGTGCGATCTTCAATCAAGACGCTAACCGATGGCTTGGTGTCTGGCTTGACTCTGGATTAAATCTTAAGGCCCACTATCAGACCCGTACGCGCAAGGCACGGGCCGCAGAAAACAGGGTACAACGCCTATGCCAGAGGCACGGACTCGCCCCTGGCCCGCCTGGTTCAAGTTGCGGCGGTACAGTCAGTAGCCTTATATGGAGTAGAGCTGTGGTGGCAGGGTCAGAAGGATCGACTAGCAGGTATACAGCTAATAACCAATCGACAAGCCCGTGCTATTACCGGCATGCTGAAAACCACCCCTATAGGGCCACTGGTTCGTACGGCAAGCCTGGCGTCGGCAGAGGTCCTACTGGAGGCCCGACAGTTGAGATATACTACCTGGCTGCTTGGCCTACCAGAAGGTCACCCAGCAAAGAAGATCCTCCCAGTAAGCTTTCGAGAGGGGGACCTATACGCCCAGCCTGGGGAGCAGATCCCAGGGAACCGGCAATGGGCGGAGAGCAGCAACCGGGCCCATGGTCCCTGGGAGAACACCTAGCTCGCCAATTAGCCAATATTCTACCAGCAGATCCATCCGAGGGCTTCGAACGCATGATACAGACGACCAGGAACCAGTTCCCAGGCCGAATAGAGGTGCTACCAGACCCAGAGACCCTAGCAGCTGCGCAATCTCTCTCTCCTGGACTGGAAATTTGGTCAGACGGCTCAAGGTTAGAAAAAGGCAGATGTGGAGCAGGAATTGCATGGCAAGAACCAGGAGGAGCCTGGAAGACTAAGGGGATCCCATTGGGCAAAGGGTACGAGGTCTTTGATGCAGAGCTTCGTGGAGTCGTTCAAGAGCTCCAGGTAGCATAGAAAGTGGAAGATCAGAGACCGGTCACTATCCTGCTGGACTCCTAAGCCGCCATTGCGAGGCTGCAGCATACCCAGCCAGGGCCAGGTCATGCATTAGTGATCCAAGCACATGCTATAGCCCAGAGATAACACACCCAACGTCGTCAACCCACCATCCAATAGGTTCCAGGACACGCAGGGGTAGGAGGAAATGAGAAAGCTGACCAGGTAGCAAAGCCGGCAGGCGATAAGCCTCAAGGAAGGAGTCCCAAAGAGATCTCTCTGGCCTTTGCCTGTAGAGCCCGAACAAGAGGCCGTTACAACACAGAAGCAGAGATGGCTCACTAAGAAGCTCAGTCAGCGATCCTAACAAGGTCAACGAATGCACAGGCCGCAGAAGAACTGGTGACTCGACCATACAACTGCACTAGCTTCCAAGCACCTGGAAAGCCGCTATTTTCAACTGAAGCCAGGACATGCAGCCATTGGAGTGTATTTACATCGGATCGATGCTCGGGAAGATGCAACCTGTCAAGGATGTGGTTCTCCAAGGCAGACAATACATCATCTTCTCTTTGGATGCTGGAAATGGTGACACCAAGGAATCAAGCTCTACAGAGATCTAGAGATAGATGAGGTTATGAGACCAACTGCTGCAGAGGAGCACCCGCAAGGACGACTTTTAGGAGGACCCAGAACTACCAGAGCGCTGTTACAATTCCTAGCCAGCGCTAGTATACCTCTGCCCCAGACACACCTACAGCGGACGGCAGAAAGCATCCAGAGGGATGAAGAATGGGGACAGGAAGCGTTGGAGGAGGCAAGTAGAACAGAAGGTTAGCAGGGAGGGTAGCCTAAGTTGAGAGTCAGCTTAGGCTACACCCACCCTGCGCCGAAAATACAAGGAGAGCACTCTGCTCAAAAGCCCTGCGCATACAGGCGGCTTAGAGCGAGGAAAAGGATTAGAAAGACTATAGAAGGGGGTGTTACCTCTGGAACGCATAGGAATAAGAGGCTGAAAGTTAGCTACTAGCCTCAAGTTCATGGAATATGGTCTGTCATAGCCCTAGGGCTCGATATGGACAATAAACTTGATTAAATAATAATAATAAGCAGTCAGCAAAGTCTGGATCATTGGAAAAGGTCCCCGGTCGAAAAGGCGTTGGGGCAGGGGGTTTGGGCTGGAAATATGGTTTTCAGTCTGGATCATACTCATAACCACGCTCTCGGCCTTGGGGAGCTGATACTGGTAGTAAAGTTATCTCAGAGGAGGCTCCATAAAGCCAGATCGGACCCTTGCTTTCAATAAGGATGCTACGAGCAGAGTATATATCTACTTGATCCTGAGAGAGAGCGTCTAGGTCATGGTCGGCTATCCAAGCCCAGACATTCTCCATGTAGGCAGATGCCGACTCAGTGATGTGCAGGAGAAGCGAGGCAGCAATGCATTTCTTATTTGGTGTCGACGCCTGTTTAGGGCAGTCCTTGGCCTGTAGATTAAACCCTAGCGCACCGCAGACCCGGAAATAAGATTCTAGAAATTGTTAGCACTGCATAACACAATTGGGCGGGGTGAAGTATGAGAACCCTTAAGAATATCCTGGATCCCGAGCGTGGAAGGCCCATAGGGAGAATCCAGGCAGATAGGGTAAGCAAGAGGTAAAGAATAGAAGCAGGAGGTCTATTCAAATAAGCAAATATTATATGTACTCTATAGACCCGCGGAGCCTTTTGTAGACTCATGAATATTCCATTCCATCAAGACCGCCCCGGCTGTAGTACCAAACAATGATCATTATATTCTGAATTTCAACAACACCAACATCTCCTGGCTTTCCCACCCAGCCAGCAGGATGAGGGTTCATAGTGTCTTCTAACTTGCCACCGGTCGCCATAATTTGGGGCTAGACTTGACTAACAATGTGGGGGCCTAATGGGATATTCAGGGTATCTTTGATGGCATTTACACCATAGGGGAAGTGGACAATAGATGACATAGCTACAGCGGCTAGAATACTATCCAGTATTGCTGTATATCTGATTTCCCATCTCCCTTGGCTCCCTATACCCGAACATTGAATATTTGAGTTCTAACTAAATTAAGATATTAGGGACAATAGCGAGTAAAGAAGTTCTTTGTGCCATCAGGGTAAGAATTATCCCCAGTAAGGAAAATCTTTTCTTTTCATCACAGGCAGTTATTGCTGTTGTGTAAAGTGGGCATTGTCTTGGTCTATAAATAAACTAAAGCCCCATGAATCAATCATAACTTTATTTCCACTAGGCAGTATCAGCTCCTGGCATGTATCTGCTGTAACAGCCTTTTGGGCATTGGAAAATCCCACATTTTGCAGTAGCAATACTGTGGAAACCGCTCCAAATAAAGATGTTTCAATTCCAGTTAGATTGTTGGCTATGATGGCATCTACGAGAATGTATGACCCTATGCCTTGGCCAGTACTCATCGGGCCTCCGGCCTAATTCAAGAGGCCATATTGGGCAGGGCACCGCGTAGACCGACAACCTACAAATGCAGAATACAGTAGAACATGTATAGGCCGCATCAGTAGTCTACAGAAGAGGCAGATCAGCCATTGCATGCTGGAATTTCCCTCCAAAATATGACCTATCACATCAATTCGTCTCCTTTTGGGACGTCGTTGCTTCATTCATCTTTTTATCGTTGTTCCTTACACCTACCAACACCGTTGCCCACAATGCCCATATGCTCTATAGTGTCTTGGTTATGCGATGCGACGCTTAAATCGTCATACAAAGAAAACGCAAGAAAGGGCTCATAAAATCCACTCTACAAAGAGCTAACCAATCTGCGCTCTTTCCTGAGAGCCCGAAGCTTTGCACGTGCCTCCTCGAGAGGGACCATGACACCTTGTTTCTGAGTAGCAGGGTCGTCACGGTTGCGAATGTTAACAGTGCGAGCCTCCTTCTCTTGAGCGCCAACAACTATTCCGCGTAGTCAGTATAATGGGCAAAATCTATATTCAACGGGACAAGAACATACCGAAAATGAAGTTGTACTGGGCCAACTGTCCAGTGCGAATCTTCTTCTGCATAGTGTTTCCGCTAATGTCAATGTCGACGTTCAGCTTGTCGCCCCGCAAGATTGTCTGCAGCTCCTCCACGTAGTCGTTCACAGCAGGCATGACGGGAACAATCAGAATCTGGCGAGGGCTGATCCAGAAAGGCCACTTGCCACCGAAGTGCTCAATCAGAATTCCCAGGAATCTCTCGAAGCTGCCAATAATAGCTCTGTGGATGACAACAGGACGAGCACGGCCAGGACCAGGGTCGTTAGACTTGCTCTCGCCCTCCTCAGTAGCTGCTTGGCTCTTGTCAGCCTTTTCGTGGCTCATGTACTCAAGCTTGAAATTAATGGGGGCCTGGTAATCAAGCTGAATTGTGGCACACTGGAACTCTCTCTTGAGAGCGTCAGCAATGGTGATGTCGATCTTGGGTCCATAGAAGGCACCGTCACCCTCATCGATGGTCCAGTCATCACCTTTGAACTTGGTCATGGCTGCCTTGAGCTGTTCCTCAGCATAGTTCCAGGTTTCGAGTTCTCCAAGGTACTTCTCTGGGCGGGTGGAAAGCTTCAACTTGAAGGTGAACCCGAAAAGTCCATAAATAGACTGCAAGAAGTCGAAAAGACCCTCAATTTCCGAGGTAATCTAGATAATGTTAGTAGGATAAAGGGAGGAACGGATATATTGACGAGACCTACCTGATCCTGGGTACAGAAGATATGAGTATCATCTTGCTGGAACTTTCGGACACGGGTGAGTCCACTTAATGCTCCAGACGCCTCATTTCTGTGGAGAACACCGAAGTCTGCAATTCTCAGGGGGAGTTCTCTGTAACTTCTCTCACGATGACCGAAAAGGACGAAATGCCCGGGGCAGTTCATAGGCTTGAGCGCCCACTCCCTCTTCTCAACGTCAAGCTTAAACATGTCATCCTTGTAATGGGCCCAGTGTCCGGATGTCTTCCAGATATTCACATCGTACATGTTAGGCGTCTGAACTTCCTGGTAACCACGCTTACGGTATTCGGACCGCAGAAGCGCCTGAAGAGCATTGAAAATCTTGGTACCGTTGGGGAGCAGGAAAGGGCATCCCGGAGAGACTTCGTCAAAGAAGAAGAGCTCCTGCTCCTTGCCAATCTTCAAGTGGTTGCGCTTCTCTGCTTCCTCTAGGAATTTCAGATGTTCTTGCATTTGCTTCTTGTCAGGGAAAGCAACACCACGGATACGCTGCAGGGAGTCGTTGCTTTGGTCACCAAGGAAATAAGCAGACGAGTTCTTGGGAGTGATTAGTCGAGGGTTTCTCTATACCGGCTCTTGAATTTCATACCTGCATAATCTTGAAGGTCTTTATCTTGCCGGTGTTCTGGATGTGGGGTCCCCTGCAAAGGTCGACCAAGGTACCGCACCGATACACAGTGCTCTTTTCTCCGGTCACCAGCTTATCGATATAATGCAGCTTGTACTTGCTGTACGAGAACATCTTTCTCAGGTTCTCTTTTGTGACTTCCAATCTATCAAAGCTCTGCTTTTCCTTGAAGACACGATTTGTCTGCTTATCCAATGCTGGCCAATCGGTTTCTCTAACAACACGACTAGGATGGTGTCAGTCCCCATTTGGGCTCAACTTTTTTTCTCTCTGGAACGCACTTATCGGGCATGGCCATATCATAGAAGAAACCCTGCGGGGTGGGAGGTCCATGGGAAAGGAGACATCCAAATTCGCACTCGCAAGCCTCACCCATGCAGTGAGCACTAGAGTGCCAGAAAACCTCTCTTCCTTCGGGATCCTCAAATCGCACATAAGAGACCGTGCAATTGCCTTCTAACGGGCGGCTCAAGTCCCAGAGTTCCTTACCGTCAATCTTCGCGAGCACAATGGTGGCACTAAGATCCTTAGGCACATTTTTGAGAAGCTGGGCCGGGGTGGTTTCCCAGGCTTTGGCGGAAACCTGTTCCTTGTTGCCGTTGCCGAGTTCAAGAATAACAGTAATTTCGGGGTGGGGCTTGTTCTTGATCTCCTCGATATATTGCTGCCAAAGCTCTTCGAAGAAGTTGTTGCGCTCAACGATAAAATCGGGCAGCGAACCGGCACCTGGTACGATTGACTGGTTAGGAGGGGCATTCGCAATCTTTGGCGGGGGTTTAGAGTGATTCACCTTGGGGGCCCGGAGCGGGCCTGACGGGCAGATCCTTCGAACCTTCTGAAGCCATGACTGTATCACAACGACAAAGGAACGATGAAGGAAAATTTTATAAGGAAAGAGTGGTAGGCCAGCGACGATGACTCTTTCGATGACTCTTTCGATGACTGCGGCATATCGGAATAGATCTTCAACCCAACCAGCAGTGACGGACGGAAGGCGGTGAGGCACGTGACAAAAAACTGCCCTGGAGGCTAGCGACACTTTACCGTTTCGAGCTTCCCACCATTTGAAAACTTCTCCAGGTTCCGTTCTTATAGCCAACCTCAACAACCAAGCCAATATGTCTTTTCGCGGAGGAGGTCGTGGCGGCTTCGCCACCGGTGCTAATCGTGGAGGTTCCTTCGGTGGCCGTGGTGGTGAGTAAATACGACTTTCGGGGCTGGTGATTGAGATGGGCAAGGACTAACGAAAATTTCGTCGGACAGGCCGCGGAGGCTTCCAGCAGCCAATGGGTCCACCAGCACAAGTTCTGGGTACTTGAATACCGAAGTGATTTCTAGAAATGACACTTTACTGATATTATGTTAGAGATGGGATCTGTCATGCACGCTTGTGAAGGCGAGATGGTGTGCGAATCGATCAACCCGAAGATTCCTTATTTCAATGCCCCTATCTATCTGGAGAACAAAGTACGATTCACCACTTATTTTCGCCTGGGAACAGAATGAGGGACTAATCCATTACTTCAGACTCCTATCGGAAAGGTTGACGAGGTTCTTGGCCCCATAAACCAAGTTTACTTCACTGTTAAGCCCCAGGAAGGAATCGTCGCGACTTCTTTCAAGCCTGGCGACAAGGTCTACATTGGTGGAGACAAGCTTCTGCCATTGGAGAAGTATGCATTGTTCCTTGTCTACTTCTTGAGCAATGCTGACCTGATGACCATAGGTTCCTTCCTAAGCCTAAACCGCCACCAGGTATATTGCCAGCGACAACCGAATGTATCTGCCGCATATTGCTGACAACTATGCAGGTGCGAAGCCCAAGAGAGCCGGAGGTGCTGCCCGCGGTGGTAGAGGAGGCCCACGTGGTGGAGCGAGGGGTGGACGTGGTGGGTTTGGCGCCCCCAGAGGACGGGGTGGCCCTAGAGGAGGCGGCTTCCGTGGTGGAAGCGGCGGTTTCTCCAGAGGAGGCGGTGGCTTCTCCAGGGGAGGCGGCAGAGGAGCACCTCGTGGAGGTTTCCGACGTTAGACAGTCTCCGTCTTGCTTAGCACTGTCTTATTACGGCGTTATGGGAAAAAGGGAGCTTTTGCAGGAACTTTTTGTGTCGATATCTCTGTGCATTATAGGTGGCTTTCCTATTCGCAAAGGCTGTAGAATAATTCAGCCATTAAATGAATATTATTATACCAATGAAGTACCTGCTCAAAATAACCTACGCATACTTGTAGTCAGATTCCGTACCGGTCAGTCATTTTAGTATGTGGCTTGTATCTGTGGCGCAGCACGACACCGCCTGGCAATGACGTCTGGGGACACATGCCGAGCCGTAGAAACTGCGGCTTGTCAACATCCTCTCAACTGCAACTGCCAGCAAGTCCCTCACTTCCTCACGAATTTTTTCCCACCGCTGTATACACTAAGTCTTCACACCTCATATTGCGCATAAGCTACGCAACCCTTGAATATCATCTGAATTCGAATTGAGCATGTCTCGTAGGTCATCGGCCATGCCGTTGAATACTTCTACAACCAGCGGTGTCCCGCCTGCTGGCGACGGAGGTAAGCTTTGATCATCGCTATGCTTGTCGGGAATAAGGAAGCTCAGGTTTACCAGGTCAGGAAAAGCAGAAGATGCTTCTTTCCGCGGAAACAGGACACTTCAGCATGGTCAGGTGAGTCTTTTCGCTCGGAAACATACCTCAGAAAATAAATCCAGCCGCTGACTGAACGTTCTTACGTCAGGGCTTTGCATCTTGCAGATTTAGTCACCGAGCTTAATGGTAAGATATTGAATCGTCTCGTAAAATGTTTCTGCCAAAATTTGCTAACCACGCCTCGTAGGATTTTGCGGAGGCAAGCCTATATTTTGATATGTGCGGTTAAGTACTGGCCACAGCTAACCTTTGCGAACAGTTATGTCCGTCCTTTCGTCTATGCGTTACTGTCTCGGAGATCCCCATGACTACAGTGCTATCTGGTCTGCGCTAGGATTTATGCCTTTCGGACTGTTCTTTGACTTCATGGATGGAAAAATTGCAAGGTGGAGGAAGAAGTCGTCGCTCATGGGACAAGAGCTTGATTCGCTGGCAGATCTGGTAAACTGGTCCCCACATAACTGAGTTGACACAGTACTCACGGACATTTTTAGATTTCGTTTGGTATGGCGCCGGCCGCAGCAGCCTTTGCTCTCGGAGTCCGTACAAATGTCGACCACCTTCTCCTCACGTTCTTCGTCCTCTGTGGCCTGACAAGGTTAGCCCGGTTCAATGTGACAGTCGCCGTACTTCCCAAGGACAAGTCTGGGAAGTCAAAGTATTTCGAGGGCACACCAATCCCAACAACGTTATCCATTACCTCACTCATGGCTTACTGGGTTTCTCAGGGGTGGGTTCAGGAAGACCTACCACTGGGCCTTGTTGCGCAGGGCACGTCCTTTGAATTCCATCCAGTGGCCTTGTTGTTTGTTTTGCATGGCTGTCTTATGGTCAGCAAGTCTATACATATTCCCAAGCCTTGAGCACCGAATCTTTGCACAAACAAGTGAAAACAGATTCCTAGATTGGAATTTTTGCTTGATAGAGAAGTGTTCATGCATGAGGATTTAACATATATAAGTAACAAAACTAGAACGAAAGCGGACACGAAGCATTTTCTTCTTGATGAAGTAAAAATTGATTGTGAAAAGCTGCAGATAGTTCATACACGTTAGGACATTGTTTTACCAGGCTGATTTACGTAAACACTACCATTCATCGCATTGCAAGTAGGCATAAAGGTGTCCTAAAGAGGACCCATCTGTCCTTTTCGAGAGCGGGAGGAAGCAGCATGATAAACGCAAAGGACTGGCTCGCGTACTACACAGCCTTCATAAAGAGTTTACCAAGGATGAAACCCGCGCTTTAAATATACTTCTACGTTTCAGCCAAGATAGCTTTCCGTTTTCTCTTCCCCCTTTTCCGCTCCAAAAAAGGCCACCATACGTGTGTCCAGACCAGCTGTGATCGGTATCCTAAATATTCCTTTACAAACTTGACCCTTGAGTCACCGAAAGGATATCGGATCCGCTGTCACCGTTAGCTGCATAGGATAGTACCGATGTCAATAATAATAAACCTGAATCATCGAGTCCTGCTATGAAAATAGTCACAGGCGACTATTGAAGACATGGCACACACATAGCGGTAGTCAGGCACATCGAACAGCTCCATCGACCGGGCCCAAGTAATGCATAACACCCCCCACATCAGACTCGTGCCCATAAAACAAGGTGCACAGTATGGATCAAAGTGGACAAACCACACAGTTCACACCGATAGTCATTCCTAAGTCCCATAACCTGCATGCATCTTTCGATGTATATCCACTTCTAGGGCACCGATATCACATGCACGTGTGAGGGATGAAAAATTTTCCCCTATGGGGATTGTTGCCAGTTGCCAAAGAGTCAGTCAATCCACACAACCTCGAATTGCCACTCACTTCGTGGCCATAATTACATAGAGGTAGCCCGAGTGAGGCTAGTGGTACATAGCGTTACTGTGTTGATAAATATGGAAACGCTGACAGGTACCCGTGGGTCCCTAACACAATCTAGACCTCACGAGGCGTTTGTTTCACGTTGACCGAAAATTTCTCATGAATGGGAGAAGGAGAGTTCTACTGGGTTTACTATTAGGAGTTTGTGAGTTTGAAGGTGCCTTGCTGCTGGAAAGGGTGTCGTGGGTATTCTATCATTGGTGATGTTTCTTTTTCTCTGTCCTTTTTGGGAAAGTTCTTGTATCAACGAGGAGACTCTTCTTGTTTCCGGGGTGCTTCGTTTTATGTGTGTTTGTCGAAGGAAGACCCCAGAAGAATGAACTGGTAGCTAATCTTGTCCGCCCGGTAAAGGTCTAATCTAATATTGTACTGCTCAACTTATAAGTAGAAGGCCTTGTCCACTCTTTTAGGGCATAGCTGAACTCGATGTTTATTGGGTATTGCACATATTGCATTGAAGGTATTCCACAGGAAATGTCTCTTCCATAGAATAGTGGAGCATAGCAATGTTATTCGTAACCGATGCTTGCAGGGCTAGCGCCTTGCGCTGTAGTTATGGGTTGCGGCGCAGGATTCCGGAATCCGTATGACTTCTTCCTTGTGATGGGAGATGAAACAAGACAATAAGCTTAAATTTTGTTCAATGAACGTCGCCTCCAGGCTAAGGCGCCCCGACGGGACGCAGGAACGTTGGCTACGTGTCGCACGCTGATATGATGATGTTCAACGCATGCAAACCATAATTGGAATGCCTGTCGGAAGCAACTTGAAATGCCCGATCGCCTTGAAAGGGAGATATGCCGCCAAATTCAATCTTTGTTGACAAGAAGCCTCGAGTATGCCTTTAGTCCATTATACCCGGTACCATAAAAATTTTTCGTCAATACTATAAGCGATAGGCAATCAGATTACATTTGCGCCTAGTAAGCGCCCTCTGCAGTTCACTCACACAAGTCACATTGCTGCAGATTGCATCTTTGTCAAGTCAATTTGTTAATCTCACTGTGTTTGGATCACAACTGTCAATTGACGTATACATTCCTTGAACTAAATGACTCTTGTGTCCACATCACTGCCATGTACAAGTGTGTGCCAGTGCTTGCGCGTAACGATGGTACAATGAGCCCTACCTTCGGAGGATCCGCATAAAATTCCCAGGGTCAGGATTCCAGGTCCACACCGGGAGTGTCCGCTTGAACCCAAGGAACAGCTCCGTGTCTCTCTTTCGTCTCGGACCAAGTACAACTGAAGAATTTTCGCAAGGCGAGCTCGACGCGCAAATACCAGTCGGTTTAGCCAATACTCTCGCAATTATTTTTGTGGTGCCTTACTTCGCAAACCCATTACCCTGTACACACAAAGCATCCAGTGTACTCCAGTGCCACGATCTGCACGGGTCTATGTATGACGCAGCCCTTTATTGGCGCTGGCTAAACACGGCTCCAAGGTTCCATAATCGACGGACCACTTCCTTCTAATTGGCTCGTGGCCGCATATCAGGATCAAAAAGACCCTAGTGATGTACAAGTTTGGCGGTTGTGTGTCTCGCTTGCCACAACTTCGGCCGTACCAGTAGTAGGCAGTTGAGTTTTTGGGACTGCCAATTTTTTAGCTGTCTGCGTTACAGGAGATTAGAAAGCACACCGTCTATCGTTGACTAATCCTCAAATGGTACAGTTGTCGATTCCGCGTTTTCTTTCGTTTGGAGAGCGCCCGGCTATCCCGGTCACTGTTTATGGGGTTATCCTCCCGCTAGCGAAAGTATGGAGCAAGGAGCTGTGCACTGACGCGGCAAACCCATCTCTGTTGAATAGAGACTATGAACATAGCCAGTGATGGACTCTGTATTCACGTCAATGCCCAACTCCCTACGATACGGCTGATATTTTTTTTTTTCCCTGTGTAACTGAAGCATTGGAAACTACAAAGTATCGTCGCACCTTCTGCTTGATGGTCTAGAGTTAAGAGCGTACTTGAAAATTCATTCGCCATTTCCGAAACACAACGCTGAAATGTGATTATGGCAGATCAACAGGGATTTCTCTATACTAGCTAAGCCCAAGTTGCTACTGACCGGGATGTCCTTGGCCAATAATTGGATTTTTGCTAGATAGCATACTCTGTACCTACTCCAACGCTATCCTCATCTTTCAAAAATCACATATCTGCGGCCGACGGTATTTTTGTTTCAGTGTAGAAAGAACCTATGGGGTAAACATGACTGACCATCGTCCCCTCTTTTCATTCATGCGGTGCCGCCACATAATGAATCACACCCACGACCTTCCCAATCTAGGTATAGCGCGTGCCGATACTCATTCACTGTGCCCGAAACGGAAAAGGATGCGTTGTACCCCTGGATTTCCTTCCCAAATACGCTTATCTAATCACCCGGTGCGCCCTTCTGATTGAACCGATGAGACTTTGGTACGCGGGAGGAAAAATTACCGCCCTGCATATCCAGGGTCACACTCCGTTTGGAAATAACTGAACCCCTAAATCACAACGGTACCATCCATGGATGTAAGCATTCCGTTCCGTATCATTGGAAGCTGATGATGGTGTAGCTTATGATTCGACTTGAATCGCTTCATTGATATCGGGCCGTTGTGCAACAACTTCAATGCCAAATCAAAGCTAAAGGGATAAAATTAAAGATCTAGTAGTCAGTCATCAGGTGTGTGTGCCTTTACTTGCTGGTGCGTCGCTTAATCACCCGGTAAGGTATCAGGCAGTACGGAGGCGTTCTTCCGTTTCTCCCTGCAAGCCCCGGTCAAGTCATTCGTTCACTCTCAGCAGACCCCTACCTACTCCAGTAGTACCCTTCCTTTCCCTTCCCTTCCCCTTCCTTTCCACTCTTTCCTACTTTCGGACAAAAGACACTCGTTTTTCTCTTCTTGTTCTTCACTTGGAGGGGTTTGGCTCCAGTTGTTTTCTTTAAACATCGATTTTCCTTCTATTTTCCATCGTTTACCCCTTGTTAGGTCCGAACCTATTGACGACACATCACTTATTTCCCCCCTCCCCCCACGAAAATTTCCGGAGTCAGTCCTCTTTCGTCGCTGTTGCTGCGAGAGATCTGACCGACCATCCGGTTTTCCTATTCAGGACGTTCATTAAACTCCTCTCGGTAGAAAGGGGCGCTTGAAACGTCCGGTTCTCAGAGTCTTCCCCGCTAGGAAACGGCCTCTTCACAAACAACCCAACATTCTTTTCCATCGCCATCACATTAATCCGACTCCATCAACCATCCTCTCGTTCGCCGACATTCTGTCGTCGCCGATCCTTGATTAGCTTGATCTTTCGTCGACTGCCTCACGTTTCGTAATATCGAATTGTTGACGCGAACCTGACCCCTTAACGGCCACCACGACCGTCTCGACGCCTTGAAGGGAAGTCAGCTGCGACAAAGGATCTCAAATAGCCACAGCGGTCTAAAAGGGTTACGCCGGTCGTCCCTCTTCCGTTGCTTAATCACAACCGTTCACAGGAAACCGATACCCCTTTCAATTGATTCTCGTAACGTTCAAATCGACAACTACAACATGAAGTCATTCACAATGCAGTCGGCTCTTACAGCCTCCGTTCTTCTGATTGCTGCCAACTTGCCAGCAGTGAGCGCACAACAGGCCATAGAGAAGGGCTGCTATAGTGATTCGAAGCCATTATCAGACCAAGGTTCTTACATTTACCAAAGTAATGGATATTGCCAGAAGCTCTGCTTGAAAGATAGTCATACTGTTTTCGCTATGACGAAGGGACAAAATTGTCTTTGCGGCGACCAGTTACCGGCAGAGTCGGCTAAGACGAGTGACAGCGACTGCAATGTTAAGTGTGTAGGGTGGCCCCAGGTTATGTGTATGTTACCTTCCAACTCGGCGGCCTGGTCTAGGTTACTGATCATTTTTATATTCAACAGGTGGTGGTAACAGCGCGTTTTCCGTGTATCTCACCGGTATCACGGATGATGTGGATAGTTACTCCTCATCCTCGTCCTCAAGCTCCTCTTCCAGTAGTGAGAGTGGAACGTCGACAACCACTAATGATGGCGGCCACGCTGTTACTACCTCTGGCGGACAAACGGTATTCAAGACGGCAGATAGTGAGATGACAACGCAAGGCGCCGATGAGAAGAAGAAGGGCTCCGGATCGAATACTGCTGCCATTGCTGCTGGCGTCGTCGTCGGAATCGTTGGCCTCTGTGCCTTGATAGGAGCAATCTTCTTCCTCTGGCGGTTTAGGAACCGCTCGAACATGCCCGATCAATATCGACACAACGATATCGATAACTTTGGTGCCAAGCCCATGTCCCAGAGCTCTCAGTCTGATTCGAGATTCGACGGGGACTTCATGGCACAACGACGCCAAAGCAACGGCAGTATTGATGACGACCAAGACTTTTCGCGTCGGATACTGCAGGTAATATTCTTCTTTGCCCTCGTTCGCATTGTACTATCCGGGATCAGCTTGCTGACGTGATTTAGGTGACCAATCCCGATCGCCGCTAAGCTTGAAAATCCGAAAACCCCCCAACTGGATCATACTCCTCGCGAGTTTTCGAGAGCAACCTAGGTTACTAGTCCGTTTATATTACATAAGAATCGGTGCGCAGTTCGACGCTCGACATCCATTCGCTTTTTCAATTTCATTTCTGATTTCCCCTCTATCGCTTTCTAATTGACGGCGACCATGCGATATTTTGGAACCATATCCTGTAGATAAGTCATGACATTATACCGTCAACCTTTGCCTGCAAAATGTTGGTCGAGTCTGGAACCGCGACGCATTCTTCCATCGCCAATCAACTCTCCGTGACGTGTTCGGGGAGTTGCGGGCAGTATCATTATCGCAACCTGGTCCGCAGAGGAGAATGCTGTGTCTTGTTGGAACGAATCGGTCTGACCTTGCTCATGAATACCCGAATTTTGTTGGTCTCAAGATACCTGGGAGGGTTCGAGCTTTGTGCTGAGTTTGGACTGAGGTATGTCAGCCAGTGGTCTTGTATTCTGAAAAGGCGTTCTGCGGTGAAGTATTCTTTGAGTTTGTGTGATCGGCTTTGTGTTTCTTCATACCTTTCTGTTTGCTGCCACATTGGTTACTTTCTTTTTCCTCTGATGTCTCTATTTACCTGCGATATACTGAACTTCCCTTGGCCATCATCTCCCTAATGTTGTTGGTATGCTCGGGGAACTGTAAGTAGGATGATGGTTGAGCTTGTAGTTAATGCGAGGAATGAATGGATACCACTCTTGTTATTCTATACACATTTCGCCCGGCTCTTCAGATATCCGCTATTTCACAAGTATTAACGCATGAGGTTCATTTGCAAACCATACCAGCTCTACCTTAGTTTATAAGGCAGACATCGACCGACTTTCTTTCAGTCTCAGTGAACCCCATCCTGCCACAATCCTCCTACAATCCACCGAAGTCGCTGTTCATACGATGCCCCAATGAGCATGAGATGGCAGCAGCTTTCACTCTCGACTCATTCATTTTTCCAGGCCAACCATCACCTTCCACCACAGCCCAGCATCCAGGAAATCAAACGACACACCAACCACAAAACCACCAACTAGCTCCAAGGATATTAACAATGGAAAAGCACCCCCGACCACTACCCCCGGGCCAATACCAAGAACAACTGTACTATGCTCCAGCATCCGCTACCCTGACACAAACCCTAGTCAGCATTAATCGTAACCAGTGGCAACCTCTATAGCACAATGGACGCCCTATTGGGGTATCTTCCCCTACCCGCAGCAGAAAGAAATATATACACCGTCCACCGATTTATCACCATTCGCTCATCCCCTCCTCCATGTTCTTATCATCCTTGACCCCCCCCCCCCCCCCAAACCAGGATATCTAGACTCCAACCTATCACCGTTTATGCGCAAAACCCGTCCAGAAGATGTCATAACCGATACCCTTCCCCGATACAACCGACATAAAACCCATACAACCCTCCCAAATATATCTTCCAAGTAGATGTCGAAACCCCGAACGCTACCGCGACACGCGGCTCAGAACCATCGATATCCAAGTCCGATGTACTATATCCAAGGAATCACCTCAATATCTATTTAACCCAGTGCGGTGGTAATTCCTACTGCACGATCTCGTCTGGCGATCACTCCTTGTGTCCATACATGTCTAACGCAAGGATTGCGTTGACCCGGGGGGAAGGTGGGAAGGGGTCGAAAGACGGCATGGATGCTGTGTATTCACAGCGACGCGAGTAGTAGAATAACGGGTGGCTACGGTGAAACTGAAGCAAGTGTATTGGATACCCTTTCGTATGTGTGTGCATAAGATAGGGGGATGTAAGAATAGGCAAAGGCACTTCGTGCAATGGGTTAGGTGATTCGTTGCCACGTGGTGGTATCCGGGTTGAGCTGATTTGGTGTTGAATTCTTGGTGGTGTTACTACCGGTTTGTTCGAATTTTGTGCTGGGGTTGTTGGCGCTGGTACTGGTGCTTTGTGGGTTGGGTTAGATCGGTGGTGGAAGTAGATGGTATCTATGGCAAGATATGGTATATTTACTTCGGATAATGGTTTTCGGTATATGAGATGTATTATTTATACGAGGTAGGATCAGTGTGTTGGTGGAGGGGTGTGAAGGTATTAGAAATCAGTATGTGGATATATACATATATATATACATATATATATCCATCTACAGGTTCATTGCTTGCATGAACGGGTCTTTCTGATTTTTAACAACCTAACAAGATAAAGAAAGACCCGCTGTAATCAAGTGTAGAAACCTGAATACAAACAGTGCTAAGTAATTACTCAAACAATTATCAGAGTAAATGATTGTCAGAATTTTGTGTCGATAACCATGCTTTATTCAAGATATTACCTGCGTGCAGAAGAATATTCTATTCGATCTACCCAACGTTCAAACATAAGACGAGCGTAGCAGGAATGCTAAGGTCCCATCCCTTGAAAGTACATTGGTCGTTGTCTCTCGTATACGGCAACTCGCTTGAAGTCTATCAATTGACCATGTGGTCGGGAGGCATAGTTACACAGCCATTCCTCATCTTGATAGGTTCAGCCACTGCAGAAGAACACGGAGTAATTTTTATATTTATTTTTCTTGTTTTCATCAAAATGCATATTTAAATATAGAACTCGACCCTTCCCCTGACATCAGGATGAGAAAAGATAGACACACCATACATCATATGAAAATGTGCAGGACCTGTTTCAAAGCCATGCAGGAGTGAAGGCGAGTAAACGTGAACGCAGGAAGCCCCGGACCAACCAGGTTCGACATAGGGAAATACCAAGAAATTGACAACGTGTGCCGAGACTTTGTGGTTGCGAGGCACGCGGTGTGCAAGGATCAATAAGAATTAAGCAGAACAGAAAGCAGTTGGTGTGCGGATGGATAGCCTTGCGGTCCGAATGCAGCAGGAATGAAAGGCCCTCCATAGTACGGTGTAGTAAGTGATGTATAAGAGCATACGCAAGGACCCGGGGTTGTGGAAGGGCTCCTCCCTTCCCCCCGCCCCAGGGAAGCCTCCGCGGAGAAGGATCATAGGGTTTTCCTTGGAAGTTTTCTGAAAGTATACCATTACCTTGTACATATGGGGTAGTAGTACTTCTGTATCTATGCACGTATCTTGGCTGCAAGGGGTGCACATGGCTTTTTACCTACTCGTGGATGACGTCGGTGGCAGGTACACGCGCGAATATCCAAAGCCAACGAACGACATTATATTGGGTTGCATTTCGAAGAGGGGGTAGACTACTTCTAGGGAGCATATCAGGGTGGCATCATTTTTTCTACTCTACGTGCATTTCCAGTTGTCCGTTATGAAGATCATCGTCACCATGGATGCAACACCCTGCAAGTTCAGCCAAGGCAATATCGCGTGGTCGCATATTATCCGACAATAGCTAATGGTAATTTAAATGAAGATGAAGGAGGGACGAATCCCAGCGCCTGAGGGATGATCATGACAACGAATTGTTGGGGTTGATTGCCCATCCATGATGCATACCAAGCACCAATCCGATGATGCCCGGGATGTTGGAAGCTTGTTGGTAGGGATTTACCCGTGACAAAACGCAGGGGGTTTTCAGCAAAACTATGCACCATACTACGTTCGGAGCTATGTCGCGAAATATTCTTCAGTTCCGCATGATCATAAGAATTTCGCTGCCTTGTACTCGGGATTTGTTGACGGTCAAATTCCGCGTAGATGATAAATCTCCTTTCCCCCCTATTACTTTTCCCCTAATCTACCTAGTACTTTGTCCCTCTGAGTCAGAGATTACGGATATTAATTTAGTATCTGATGTATCTAATGATTCGGGCGATGATCGAACAGAAGAACACAAAAGCAAAAAAAGATGAGGTATCCAAGCAGTTCCACTAAGAACAGCGCCGCCCCGAGGAAATGCTGCATGATCGCCCCGGGCTGGTAACAGAGGCTCTTGCACACGTGTGGTCGGATGGAACATTCCAATGGACATGGCGGCCGCAAGGATCAGGTTCTGTCAAATGTGTCAATACCGGGGACGGACGAATCATACCGGCGGCAGTTAATAACTTTTGACTTATCAGCCGATTAGTTTGGTGAACGGCGTCTCGGCCAGTCAATCTATGCATCGACTAAACTGCACGTTCGAACGGGGTTCCGAATCCTTCCAGTGTTATTCGGCGTTATTGTTTCTTGATTTCTCCCCTGTGGAACTGGCCGAAATCAACATGAATCTATAATTAATGGTCATTAATACGTTTGCGACACTAGACAACTAGTATCAAGAGTGTTGGGGCGGTGGCCAGTTTTCCTAATCTCAATTAGAGGTCTTGAGCCTTGACACTTAGGTCTAGATGGGCATGATGGACCGACCGTAGTACTGTACTTACTGGGTAGTATTATGATCAACGGGAGGAACTAAATATACAACTTGGTTCAAAGGGGGAGGTTCTCTATCAACTGAGTCTACCACTCCATAATTTCGAGTGCGGTTGGCTCCACCACACAGAGACGTAAATGTCGAAATGACCAACATGACTTGGGCCTAGTTGTGATCATTGAAGATGGTACTAGTGAGATCATGCCACACCTTAGGGAAGGCCACGTTTTCCCCCCTCCTTTACATCCCCCCTGGTCCAACGCATGGCACCCTGGTCTAAGGCTGACTTAATACTTCCGTGCTGCATTAGCAGTTGTATCGCGTATTTCACAAAAGAGGTATGGCTTGAGGAGTAAAGATACACACCCGGAAAAAAAATAATCTTTCTGTCGTAAATGTTAATCAGCACGCACCCCAAAAGAGTATCCAACGTAAACCCCAGTGCTCCGATGTTAAATCCGGACAGCTCCGGACCCAGGTGTAGCAGATACAACCCACCCTTCCCCTCCCCATTGTGAAATTAATTTGCCCCGCCAGTAAGATCGACCTCTTCCGCGTGGGAAGTTCGGCCGATCATTTGCCCCCGGTAAATCAAGGCGATGAAGCCAGCAACATGTTGTCGGGCGCTACGGTATTAGCGAAATTTATCAACTGAACGGGGTAAAAGGAAACTCGAGGCCAATCACTCTCTAAGAAGTTGTTCACAGGCTCCACGAGAGGAACCTCAGAGCCTCAATGTGGTACCGGAAAACGTATTTTCATTTCAGAGTACGTATGGTACTCTGATCGACCTGTCCCAAGATGGTTCGTAGCATGTTTCACCTGACTAACAGGCTTGACTATGCTTATACACGGATAACACATGGCATAGACGGGTGCATCCATGAAGTACCGTCGATCATTGCCCGCAAGAAAAAAGAATAAGACGTAGCTCTGGTTGATGCCCAGAAGCAGCGGAATCGGTATCATCACCGGTTGGCTGGATTTCTACAAATCCTCGGCGCGGCAGAAATCTTCAGTAATCCTTGGGTTGCATTGCCTACTCCAAGATACGACTGGTTTCCCGTAAACAATGCTTGTGAGGAGATTTGGAATTATGTAGGTTGTTTCTTCTTGAGGTTCACGATGAATCATACACATGGTTCTGGACAAAGTTAATTGACTCGCTTGCGTATATAGGATGTATGATCGTCAACACATTTTACTCAAGTAGGAATATCGTGCTTTTGCCTATTACAGCTAGAGCAGGAGAGTATATTGCTGGCTTTAAACGAGTGGGGCCAATCTAGGTTGAGCTGAGCCATGGGAAGAAATGGTGAAAGGAGATCATATGGCAAGAATAGGTTAGGAGTGTACGGTAGGAGCCGCCCCGTAGTTATCCCGTAGCCACTTGAACCACAAGATTGCGATTAAAGCGGTCGAGGCGGGTTAGAAACACCGACTAGAAGCGACGGTCTTTTCTGATATTGGTAATTGCTTATCCGGCAACCCAATCCGCGCCGCCTATGCCCGATCAGGATATGCATATACAAGGAGTTCCACTCGGATGGTAGCACACCATCAATCCACTGCCGGGAGAAGAATCCACTGGGCGAGGTTAGAGTGGTAAGTGTTTTGTTGTAACTAAGTTCACATTATTCCTAGTTGAGCCCATAGCGGAATAGGCGAGGAAGGCGGTAAGTGTCCCATAGGGTATCATTTCCCTCACCACTTAAGGATGTGAAACCAGTGGAGATTTTCACCTCTAGTGGTATATGCTGATACCTACCGATTGGTACGGATCAGAGCCCAGGGTATTCTATTGTGTTGGAGTACCACTCTCGCTGTCTAACGAACTAGGTAATTGCGTTTAGAAACCTAACTCGGCCAATCTTTCCAATCTCCATATATGGGGTGATGTTAACTGTGACATGGGTTAGACAGGTTAATGATTACTGTGGAGTGTAAACATCTCCCTGTGGTCCGCTTCAAAGATTTTCTTCACTTGGACAAGAACCTTTGTTCTTTGTTTTTTTTTCCCCTTTTTTCTTTTCTTTACCTTTTTTTCGTTGCTTATTTCTTTTCTTGTTTCTCGTTTCATTGGTCAATGTTTTGCAGGGTTTTCATTCCGCCAAATACTATCGCTAGTGATCAAGAGCCCGATAATTAACTACCCAGCAATGACTGACTAATGTATTACATAATTAACCACAGCCTCAGGCAAGGCTGACTACCTGTACCTGTAATTTCTCCCAGACAAAAGTATTTCTATATTTACACCACCTTGAACCTTATCTACAGGGCTCAGCACTGCACGATCATCACAGCACTCCAGGATTTATTGGATGAGATGAGAAGTTGGCGATTTCTCCTTTGGACAAGGGTGACGGATGTGGCCGCATGATACTGGCCTATCATTATGATTTGGAATGAGTCAAGTCCATCGGGCCGGAGATAAGGCCGGGGGTGGCAATCCTTTCCCTCATGACGTTGCTCAACAAAGGCAATTGACAAGAAGATCAAGGAATTATCACCGCAACGCAACCAACTGTCAGACGGAAAAACTAATAGGTCATTAGCGCACACGGTCGAGACCTCTCGGATCCGAATCCGGAGACAACCATCTCCGGAGCCATTTGGAATGTCACGTTATTTTCCCACCCGCACCGTACCTTGGGAGTTCGAGGTTTGGTACGCACGGCCGCACCGGGGCAGATTCTGGCTCCGGCGGTGGATCCTGATACCGCTGTGGTCTCCAGTTTCCTGCCGGAGTCCCGATCTAAAAGGTTCTGTACGTGATGTGTCGGGGGTTTTGTTTGCCTGTATGTGTTTACATTTGTATTTGTACTGGATCGGATCTCGAACAATACGAAGTGACGTAGTCAACAGCGCTCCCTACTTAAAACAGGGGCATATGTACATAGTCATACTGGTACATATATAATACATAACTAAAGCGGATGTTTGCATCTTTGGTTATGTCTAGGGTTTGGCTTTCAGGGGTTTGTCCAATCACTACTTTTAGCGGATGTTGGCTGAACTATTCCACTACCGGTTAGAGGTTAATGCCAGTTCCATATATCTGGTGGAGATCATCCAGCACATGACTTTCAACTGCATAAGTACGACCGCTTAGCCAGTCCTTACAAAGTTGACAAGTTCGTTTCTTTGCATAGAATACCGCAGAAGCCACGTTCTTGCTGCCTCATGAAATGTTGAGCCACAAAGCCCCTGTATGAGGACACCGATCTCAGATCTTAACCCCGTTGCGTGTGACATCCCCAAGCTGCAGAATTCTCATTGCCGTACTAAGAGTGTGATGCTACCTTACCTTCACACGAAGGATCATCTTCCGCTGGCATGGGCCCCTTCCTCCACGTGATTGTTCTCGAACCAATTCAGACTGCATGATTTCCTCATGGCTACCCTCAGAGCTGGTTACTAGTCTCTATGTGGCAGTAGATGATAGCAGCACTAACGACTAGTTACATACATTAGTGCCTTTCTAACTGTACCTAGTGTGCTATGACTCTATGAGCCTGTACCTTCCTGAAGCGCACCTCAACTGGCACCTAGCCACCAAACATTCCCCCCAGGATGGGTTAGTGTCTTGACCACTTTTTACTGCTTCAGTAGACAGCTCAGGTGTTTTACAGCTCTTGCGCTTCACGCTTTGTCCACTATGCGGATAATACGGAGATGTCTTTGGATCATCGCGATATTAGATTGGTTAATCGGAATGTAGTTGCGGATGTTGCAGGACTCCATCCGTAACTGACGGCTATCGGTGGTGGTTCGAAGGTCTGTGGAAGAGCCCTGGAAGCCCGACTACGATGGAAGTTGATGATGCGTGCATACCTTGCTTTCCGCCATCCAGGATCATTAGTCATTTCTACTAACTGTCTGGCTTCTGGAAGCTGTTCCTGCCATATACGAGTTTATCTTGTCGCCGACATACCATGAATCCCGAAGTTGATGGAGGAGCTGTTAGTAGTACCGGCGGCTGGGCACAACTGAATCAGGAAGAATCGAGCCGACGGCCTGCGGGCTGTGGTGGTCAAGTCAAATCATGTGGTACCCGCTCATTTAGAGCCAGACATTCCCCAGAAATACTCCGTACACCTTCTCTGATCCCGACACCTCCCTAGCCTACTCCACTCTGGAACCATGTTTGCTTTTCCATTCATTTCCTGAAATTCTGAACTAGTTACCAAGAAGTGGACATTTTTTGAGAGGCAGATATTAAATTAAAACTTACATATACGATCCTCCCCCCTCTTTGGTAACCCGAGATTACCGTGTGCTAGGCAATGATGACTTTGGATCCTTGAAACAAGCTAAACAGCACGTTGTCGGGACTCAGATGGACTGGGGGACATCGTAGACTACATTACCAGATATGGAAGATGCCGACCCACAGGGCTGGGTCAAGTTGAATTTATTATGATAATTTAGGTTTTTTTCTCTTTCTTTCTCTCTTCTTTGTTGTCATTGTTATTTTAATTACTATTATAATTACTATTATTTTCTTGAGTAAACACTCAAGTCTGAACTCTGGGTTCCATCTCCCGGGGACTCTCAATGCTACAGCACATGACCCCGCTGGATCTGAGGGCCTTAGTCTAGTCTGATCCCATGTCCAGAGGGATTAGCCGGTTTACCGGTGTATCCGATTCTTACATCTTATAACTGGTGAATTATTGGTTGGTGCGAGTAAGGTGCTTATTGGGCGTTAGTGAGTGTGATTATTGGGCCATCGATTCTTCCCGATGCTAATTCCTCCTGACAAACGTTGTCGCACGTGGTTTTTTGCATGGGACATACTTCCTTTCCCTCCAACGAAAAGATATGCATGCAGTCTGCCGAATGAGAAGCCTGTCAGCAAATATGTTACTATGTTTCATCACCGCTCAAACTCGGTTAATTTGGAATGTCTGCAAAGCTAGAAAACACGGACAGGTAGAAATCCTCCTTGGCAGGCAGACTGATCAACATGGGGAAGAAGCCTTAGAACGACCGCACGATCTTCGGAAGCTCTGTTTTATTTGGTCTATTTATTTTTACTATTTTTAATTTTCCCAAAATTTATATAATAAAAAAGATTAAGGGCTGTGATAAGGAGGGTAAGGGGAACCAGCATTGCATTTACGACAAGAAGCTAGACTCTTACGGGGTAATAAACTAGGCGTGACACAAACGTGACAATCAACAAAGAGAAAATCCCCAAATCTGCCCTACTTGCAAAAGAAAAATTAAGGAGCCGCCGCCGAGATCGATCGTTGTGCTATGACAATGGACTGGCGACGGAAGTGGAGACCTAAGCATTAGCCGGACGCACCTGTCGGACTACATGAATTACCTCCGACCATGCACCCTACTGCCAAAACGAGAAAAGAACCTCCAGCTATCTTTCGTTTCTCGACCCCTGGGCAAGTGGGGCATACCGTTGGAGGGGCTTTGCTGGGGAGGGTTAACCATGACAAATTTCCATTCGCCAAAAAGTCTATCTGCATTCCGATGCGAGAGAAAAAAAGAAAAAAAGAAAAGAAAAAGAGATTGCTTACCGATACAACATGCAGTTGCTGAGGGGGAAATGGTTATTAATAGCTTTTGAGTTAGTTGCCCTTCTGGCTGTGCGAGTGTTGAAAACAACCTTCCCTGTCCTCTCTCTCCATCCTGCAGACTGGGTAGGGAAAGGCCGTAGTCAGGTCAGAATTCCCACGGGCGAAAAAAGAGTAGATTGGAGATCCGCGGATATCCCGATATGTCTCCTTTGCGTGAGAGTTCGGTATTGAGGGCCGAGGCTACTACTAGTATTAGATAGTACCCTTCGGTGTCAAAATTTGAATTGGCTGAATAATTGCGCTCTACCTAACTCTACACACTACAGTAGTCCTGGATCTTGGCTGGTGGATCGTAGATTTTAGGAGGTCAAATCCATCTCCAGAGTGGACCCTTTTGAGGCTTTAAACCTGAGATTACAAGGTATAGTAATTATCTACCCATGGCATGGTGTATTGTATGGGAAATAAAAAGAAAAAAGAAAAAGTAAAAGAAAAAAGAATGGAAATTTAAGTCTTGAAAAGAAAAAAAAAAAATACACGACAAGGGTAAATGCGAATATACGAAGGGGCCAATCAATTCCTATTCCTAGAACCAACACTTTCCCCGCTAATGCCTCATACATGCAGTTGAATTCCAACTTCCACTGTGATTGATCATTATTATTATCCTAAACGACCGCTATGCTTGTTATATTCTTATCGAACAAACAAATCTTATACTGCATACACCTCAGCATCATCAGATATGTGCTGAATGTCTGATTGTGGTTGTCTGCCGTAGCATACGAGTAATACTACTTACTTGTCAGACCTTTGGGTGTGCTGTGTTGGCCATGACTTATTGTGAACAGGAATGGACCCGTCGAGAGTCTGGCCTTTTCTCCTCTCCTTAATTTTCCTCTTCTCTAACCCTAATAAATTGATTTAATTTGAATTACAGGTTGATATTTCCGGATCACCGTGGCGCTGGGGGGAGTGAAGATCTAGAGACCATACCATGGGCTTTGCTTGTGCTCGCCATGCAGTGGAATCACACCAACTGAAAGCCGTTGAAGTATATTTGGCCTTGATCCCTGTCGCCCTAACCAGTAGTCTGTCCAGTAGTACTGTTCGAACAGACTATTAACCAATGTAGTAAGTGTGTAATAAAAATAATCTGCCTGTCAGGCATACTTTCCCCCAACTTTGCGCCTCAGCCGCACCAGTCAATACGGGTCTTTACTGTTGGTTTTTTTTACCCCCTTGTGGATAATACCTATGCTTGTTTCCCTTCAATCACATCCCTGTTTTCCATATGGTAGATGCGTTAAAAAAAGAGGGAGGAAAAAAGCAAAAAATGAAGATGGACAGAAAAATTAAATAATCTTTAAAATCGAATTGTTTTTTTTTTTTGGTTTCTTTTATTTTGACGTATTGGATATTATTTTATTTTTGATTTTCCTTTCTTTTCTTTTTTTATTTTTTATATAGACATTTTATTTTAAAATTATTATTTTTCTCTCTCTTTTCTCTCCCTTAACTCTTATTAGCCCCATAAGTGGATGCATGCTTTGAGGCTTTCCACTTACATAGCCATCTTGCTCTTTTTTTCTCTTTCTGGCCTTTGGTATGATCATCCTGCAGATTGATCAGCACTGTTCGCTTACTCCATCTAATTGTGGTCTTTGCTATGTTTAATGACAATCCTATTATATTCAGAAGAACCCCCGAGTTTAAATTAATTCATTCGTCTGTTTGGGAAAACCTAATAATAAGAATAATAATAATAATCTATATTTCCCATTTATTTATTCCGGTCACGACCACCCTCTCCTGGTGCAAGGGTCCGCAGCAGATCTCTCGAAACCGCCCGACTCGGTACCTCGCATATCCACTCTGACGGTTCTATATCAGTTCCTCACCCAGCACTCGATTGCCATCATTTTGATTGTTTCAGATTGTCTCTCTCCTGTTTCCCTGTATCTCACTGCATCCGTTTGACTTGCAGATGCGAGGCATTTTTTCTCGTACCGTCTGATCTCATCCATCTCCGCCCTATAAAATTCCCGCTTTATACTATACAGTATACGACCTGCACCACAGCCCACCACCTCCCCCACACGCCCCCATTCCACACCCTCGTCTTTCTGACAGGCTCCTGAGTTGTTGCATCATGGCTAGAGGATCTGCCCCAGGAACCGAAACTATAACTTCCCCCCACTCGCCAATCCATCTGTTGACTGTCCTCAACTCTCCACGCACCTCCTCAAGATCAATGCCTTCCACCTCTCGAGCACAGAACAAGTCTTCATCACTCACTTCCGGTCGAAAGACTTCATCCACAATGCGCCGGACTAGTGCTCAAGCGGAGATCCCTCTCCCCATCACCTACACGCCGACCACTCATCGCATCAGCAAAGCGAAGAAGGGCAAACGAGTGCATGCCTGCGAGTACCCAGGCTGCAACAAGGTTCGTCTACCCTCACGAATCAATGGATCTCACCCACTAACCATCTTTCAGGTCTTCACCAGAGCGGAACATAGACGGCGACATGAACTCAACCATAATCCCGAAGCTTTGTTCCGTTGCACCCACGTTGGTTGCAAAAAGGCATTTCACCGTCCTGACTTACTAGCGCGCCATGTAGAAAGACAGTGAGTCTTGACCTCAGTTCTCAGGATCTATTGAGCACCAGCTAATGACCGATGCTCTAGTGAACTGGAGAACCAGATGAACAATGCACAATGGGGGCGGCAGAGCCACCTTCCAATGGTATCCGAGTCTCCTTATTTGCCCAAGGGCGCGCCTGTTGATCCCAATGCGGGACATTTTTTGGCTGCTACGCATCCAGCGACATCTATGTCAATTGGATCCATTGTAGCACCACATATCCACCCGGACCTAGCTAACGATACTGGCCTGATGTGGATGGGTATGGATATGTCATCAGGGCATCAAACACCCATCTACCCCCACCAGATTCATGAATCTGTGGAGGACAATCAGTTCTACTCGAGCCCAGAGAATTGTCCTTCCCCTTCTTCGGACGGTGCTACATTATCCATCCCGTCCCATCCTCGGTCATCCGTCGCTTCCACTCCAACAGCGATTGCCGAACCATACCCCGAAAACATTGTGGATGCTGATTTAACTTCCTCGCCGATGCCTGTCCACGAGAGTTTGCGGTGCTGGGATCAATCAGAAGGGCCATTGGCTACGCCGAGCTATGCACCGGTCTCACTCAACGAGAGCCTCGCCCAATCTGTAAGCCAATCTCAGCCCGTGACCGGCAATATGACACTGACTGGCGAGCAGCCTTTCCACTGCCAGTACCCGTCACCAACCTGGTCAGCAACACATCACTTTGGCTACGACGATCACCCCCTTCCGACTGGGACTCAATTTCCTCCCCCGATGCCCTGGAAGTCCTTTACGATCTGAAAGTCATCCCTAGCCAGCTACAGGGCTTATGGTGACCACAAAATAATCACATACGCACTACTGAGACATATCGACACAAAACCGGCCAATTTTGTGACTAGGCTGATACGACGTTACGTGCTATGGTACCACTTGTTGAGCCTACCCTACCGCCAATAAGCGAGTAAAATCGGGGAACAAGACGTGCTCGACGAAAGGGAATTTTGGTTTACCACCGTAATGAGGCACTCTAGGCCAAGACTGGATCTTATCGACCTGCTGTTGTACCACAGAAAACAGCCTAGACCCTGAGACGACCAAGGTTACACTAGCCGTTAACATCTCAGGGCGGTCCACCACTGACTGACATTCGAGAGCCGCGAGATTACTCGGTGTTCTAAAAATGGCACGGCAGACATGAGTCGAACTCGGGAGTTTCGATTTCAATCTGCGATATTTCCGTGTTACAGAAACAGAACTATTCTCTTTGAATCTCTTGCGCCGTCCCCTCACGAACAGGCAGGGCACAACTTGAAAAAAAGTAACGTGAACCCTTGCTGAAAAGGGTCTGTTTTGCGTATATTTTTTTTTCTAACGGCCGATTTCCTTTTGTCCTTTTCTTATGTGCTGAGATCTCCTTATGTCATGAATCTATGTATATTTATACCCCCCGATGCTAATCAACATATTAATATTATATGTTGTCAGCCTGCATCTATAACCAAATCTAAACGAAACATTTGGTTCCATCACAACATAGCATGTACGATAGATATAAACAACACCTAAATCTAACAAATACTACCTACCCAAAACCACACTCTCTGTAATCTAATACCTCCCCCAACCAAAACTGTGTAACACCCTAACACGAACAAACTACACCCCACCAGTCCAGTCCCTACAGAACATCCATTCAAACCAAACCTCACACACACACAGAGGAACCCCCCCATACCAAGTAAAAACAAACAAACCCTTACACTCAGAATAGCAACATGATCTCCCCAATCGCGAGAACCCGAACCATAATTCCACGGCCCAATCCTTCAGGCAAACTCTATACCAACCTCAGCCCAGGAACACAGCCACAGAGGATTTCTATTTCTGGGACCGGCCCCGGATCAGATAGGCTGGAAGGATCATTAGCCAGGTTCCGGAAGCTAATGTTAGATTGGGTTTTGAATGGGTGGTGGTTGGATTGGGAATCTGGCTGTTTTATTTCGTTTGATATATTGCTATTTCTGGTGGGTGGTTGTGTGACTTATGATGATGTATGATGTGGTGGTGCAGGGTTGGTGCGGGATGGGAACACGGGGTTTTAGGTTTGAGGGTAGGTATTGTACTAATGGGATGGGTTTGAGGTTTTGATTGTATATACTGTTTGATATTATCGTGTTGGTCTGGATGTGTATGTATGGTAGAGCTTTGTGTGCTAGATAGTACACAATAACAAATCTTATATTGAAAACATGCCCTTGACAAATATATATATACACGATGTATCATAATGCAGGGCTCTAGCGACTAGAGTTCCAGTATAGACTTCTCATAAGAATAATACATCACAGCACAGGAATGGCCATACCATCTCCTCTTTGGTCACTTCCTGCACTATAAACCAGCTGCCCATCATCATAATGACAGCGGATAATCTGTCCCCTGCCAAACATGCCTCTCTCCCAGCCACTCAAGACTTTCACTTCGTGACCAAGACGCTTTAGGCCTTCGATGGCTTCATCGCTGATGCCTTCCTCTACATAGACAGTACGATCTACGGGCTTTCCTAGCTCTGGTGAGCCAGCAGATATGCAGATCCTAGGGGCATCCAATGCGGCCTGTGGGTGATAGTTGAATGCAAGCATATTGAGCAGAACCTGGACATGGCCTTGGGGCTGCATAAAGCCACCCATGACCCCATACACTGAATGTAGAGAACCATCAGAGATGTTGGTGATCATAGCAGGAATAATGGTATGGTAAGGCCGTTTCCGAGGGGCCAAGACATTTGGATGACCCGGACTTAGAGAGAAATTGGCACCGCGGTTTTGCAATGTAAACCCACAGCCCTCGGGAATGATACCGGTACCAAACCCGGCGTAGTTGCTATTGATAAAAGAGATACCATTACCCTCCTTGTCTGTGACCGCAAAATAGACAGTGTCGCAGTGATTGTGAGCTGGGCTCCCGTGATCAATGATATCAGTCGCCCTCTCCGCATTGAACAGTTTTGCCCTCTCAGCCAGGTAAGGTTGGGAGATCAGTTCGCTGGATGGTACCTTCTCCACGTCGGGATCTGTAACCCACCAAGACGCATCAGCGAACGCTATGCGTAGGCTTTCGATGATTGCATGGAGGTATACGGCGGAGTTGTGCTGGGCCTCCGTGAATTTAGGAATCTTGCCCAATTTTTCAAGTTCTTCGAGGATTCCCAACGCCATGAGAGCGACGATCCCTTGTCCATTCGGCGGATGCTCCCAGATCTCCACCCCTTGGTTGACTTCACTATCCGTACCCTCAGCCTGCTTCTCGGCAATGCTCTGTCCGCTGAACTTGAGGGAGATCGCCTCCGTTTCCTGAGTTCCGGTCTCTGCGTGGTACTTGAGGTCATCCAGAGTCAGGTAGCCTCCCAAATCTTGGACAACCTTCACTATCTCCTCTGCAACTCGCCCTTCATAGAATCCCTTCTTGCCATTTGCCGCAAGTGATCGGAAGGTTTGAGCCAGTGTAGGGTTCTTCAAGATCTCACCGGGGAGAGGAGCTCTGAATCCATCTCTAGCTTTCTGGTCAGGTTTGAGCATCTCACGTGCATTTGGGGATGCTTGTCGAACGAGATCTTCACCCTCTCGCCACTGTTATTTGCTGACCGTCAGTTTACGCTCGAAGGGTGACACGGTATACTATGTCTGGTGAGAGATGCTGACTTACAAAAAAGGACGATAATTCGGATACAGGAAACCCTTTCTCGCCAAGTTCAATGGCTGGAAGTAGGATCTGCTCCAAGGAGAGCCTGCCACTACCAAAATTTTCCACCGTGTCAACCCACCCCGCAGCTGCGCCGGGCGTTGTTACCGCAAGGACACTCTTCATAGGAATGGTTCCTGTGTCGTTCGGGCCGACGTTCAAATCACTTCGAACTTGTTCTAGAGAAGCATTTGCAGGGTATCTTCCGGATCCATTGAGGGAATGGACCTTCTTTGTTTTGGCATCGTAGAAAAGACAGAACATATCTCCTCCGATACCCGTCGACGACGGCTCGGTGATGTTCAGTGCGGCAGCTATCAATCATATCAAGTCAATTTCCCTTTATACCATGGTAGATATTGACACTACATACCCACAGCTACAGCAGCATCCTTCGAACAAAATTAACATAAAAAACAATGAATAGTTTTTGGATAGGGACATACGGCAGCATTTCCTCCCTCTGTCAGAATTCTTTGGCCCGCCGCCGCCGCCAAAGGCTGGGTACAGGTCACGATGCCATTGGTGCTATGCACGGTACTTCTCCGACTCGTGAATGGAACAAAGTCGGGATTCAATCTCGAGTAAATAGCCTTTGAGTTGAGAGGCATTTTGGAATATACTGCTTGCTAAACAGCAGGTAGTATTGGAACCACTTCTTCCCAAAATAATGATTGCGCAGAACGAAGGGGGGGGGGGGGGGGAGGGAAATAAATCACGACCCCCTCGGTACAGTGGAGGGACCAAGTAGATATAGGCTTCCCCATAGTTTCCCTTACCCCGCCGAGTTGTCCTCGGAAGGCACCCAGCAGTTGGAGACATCGTATCTTATCGGTTACATGCTCGGTTAGAGCATTTGATAGATTTAGAATAGACGAGACCAACCACAGATGACAAGATCATAGAGTAGAGGATCATACTTCCAAGTTGAAAATGGTAAGATATATATATATATATATATTGAATAACACAGAACCACCTCTGAGCAAGTGTTTGAATGAACGAACGAATGAATGAGTGACCCCTTAGGACGAAGTCCGATGCCGTTATCTTCCTAATAGGGAAGGTGGAGTACAGTTCTCCAATTCCAGGAAAGCGTTATCCCGTGACTCCAACAGCACGTGCGATTCCTGAAGATCAATTACTACATATGAAGTCAGTGATCGATAAGATACCTGAAATTTAAGCTGTTGAGCTTATTCTTTGTCCCCATCGACTTTCGTCCAGGAACAGTCCAAAATAGGTAGGATAGGCGCTGAGAAGACGCATCAGACCCAATTCTTCCATCATCGGCATCTTGATCACCGAGACGAACCACCTCTCTGTCGCTGTGTCCCCGCCTCGAAGACGGGAGGCAGTTCCCAACCACTCAGTACTCCAATTCCCCCCGTCTCCAGTAGAAAGTGCAGATTCAATTGTTCTCTCACACTTTTCTCTTGCTTTTTGCTTTTTTTTTCTCACTTTTTTTTCGCATTTCTCTCTCTCCCATTCGTTTTGACCCTGCCTGTGTGCATCTACTAGCTCCCTAGCACCTATCAGCCGTGTGGATTCTATCTATATCTTTTCTACTACTTTCTCATTACAACACAATGGTAGTATTCGTGGACCTAGACCATGATACAGACCTAGACCATGATATACTCAGCAAGCATCAGTTCCCGCCGGGTCCCGATGCCTTGCCTCATCTGTTCACAGAACCTGGGAAGTCGATATTGTCCAAACTGATGACTGTCGAGTCTCCGCAGTCCCAAACCGACGCACCATGCAACACTTCGCAGGATAATTTGGAAGCGAAGATCGCAAATCAAAATGCCTTCTCAGCCGCTCTGGCCTGTTATCCGTACGCAACACTAGTGAACCAGGCTGCTCTGTGTCTGGTTCGAAATGGTGGTGCTGACTAGAAGATTCAGGATCGCTAAAGAGATCGCCCGATCAGTGGATCTAAACACCCTGCACGCCTTATCGCTGACGTGCCGCCAATTCCATGAAAATCTAGCCGAGAATCGCTCTCAACTCATCAAGCAAACCTTACGCTGCGAGAATGAGTACATTGAGACACTATCAGACTTGCTACGCAGCGGTACCCCAATCCCCAACAAGGTCAAGTCCGTGATGCGGCTTGTGAACCACCAGGGCCGAAGCTCTGGGCGCTTAACTTCTGGCAAGGTTGCAAAATGTGCCCGAGACATGGTCGCGGAATGCCGCCGATGCTCTAAGGTGGTTTGTCGAGTAGGTTGGTCAACTATTGGAAAGTAAGGCAATACTGACAACTATCCTTTCTAGAATTGCACAGCCAAGCCTCTCAATAGCAGTATGTTTAAGAATCGTATCCGTCGTCTTTGCACCACCTGTCAGACAGCACCACTAGCCGATCTTATTGCCCTGCCTTCCTCATCCCAGAACTCTAGTTTTACAACCGAAGCTTTTCAGCGTACACCTTGCTCGTGTGCAGATTCCGTCTGGCTCTGTCATCAATGCAGAATGGTTGTACGCAACCAGGACACAATGTACCGCCGAGCATGGACGTGGCGGACCAGATACAGTACCTCCCTTGGTGGGCTAGGCACTGGAATTGGCAATTGCTGCCAGGGCATCGAATGCGGTCGTAAACAGGATTGTTTAGCAGCGCAGGAGATCGAGCGAGAAGTGGAATGTGAAGCAGACGGGTATTCCGGCAGTCCATACGGAACGACATATGGTAATACGGGCTTCCATAACCACTCGAACGATCACCGAGACAGCCGTAAAGAAGAAGAGCCTGGGTATTTCAGGCAAGAGATCATCGGGATCGGAGGCGCTGTCAAGCTTAAAGCAAAGAAGCGAGTCATGATAGGAGCCTGTGTAGGTGAGCACGAGGAAGACTCGGATCAGTTCTTGGCTCGTGAAGAAGCGGAGCAACTCCGAAGCTGGTGTGGATGGTGTTGGAGAGTCATCCCATCCAAAAGTGACCTTCAATAGGCGGCCACATGGCAGGCATTCAAATGCTATCTGTTCGATTCCCGTGATGATCAAAAATCCCATTTTGCCGATGTCTTATTTCTAGCCCAGATACAGCTAGTATTTGCTTAGCTGTACAGTTATATAGCGCATTCATCAGACTACTACTTGCTCAGTCTCCCTCTCGCTTGTACACCATTCCAGGACCACCCTCTTCGGACATTATTCGGCTATTCATTATTCGATTATTCTATTATTCTTCTATCGCCGCTGTTTCAACCCCACATGTTGACTTCGCCTTTCCTCCTGTATCTTAGACAAACACCAAAACCTATGCCGGAAAATGTTGATGTGAGTTATGTTGAATATATTGAGGTGCAAGCTTAGATCTTCAGCCAACGATGGTTTTTGGTCGAGTGGGAGAAGCGAAAAAAAATTCCTCAATAATTAATCGATTAATCAAAGTGACCTTCAAAGTGACTAACTAGAAGGGTGAAGTTCGTTCAGGTTTATTGTTAGTTGAACTTGTGGCATAGCTAGTCACTACCAGTGTTTGAAAGATAACAGAATAGTAGGATTGATGTTACATATTTCTTTTTAAATAGGAGTATAATGTAAGTAGCCCTCGACATGAAAGTAAGAAAAGGAAAGAAAAGGTAATCAGACAGTTAAGTACATAACAAAAAAGATAACACCTTTGCTATGCCTCCTTTACCTGTGCGCTATGCTGTGTTTGCAAAAATCAAATGCGAAGGGGGAAAACAAACAAAATGGGTTTTAGAAGTGAATCGCGAAGCAGAATGGACATAAACCAAGAAGTGCACAAAAAGCCACACTGAAATAGTAACGTATTTTTTTTTAATAAAAAAAAAGGGAGAAAAAGAAAGAAACAAGAAAAATATCAATGTGCAGCAATAGCCGCCTTGAAAAAGTCTTTTAATTTGGAGGCTCCGCTCCTAGGAGGAGACGGAGCACGTTTGTGTCGATGATGACGATGGTGTCCTTCGCTGTGGCGGTGGTGACGAGGTTCGGACTCTTCCTTTGCCTTTGTTTGCTCTTCCTCCTCGGTTTTTCTTCGAGCTCTGCGTGCTTCGCGTCGCGCACGGTCTTCTTCCTCGTTATGGTGAGATCCACTGGAGCGTTCAGTGGTGCCTCGTTCTTCGTGGGAATGGCGGTGATCATGGGAACGGCTCGTGGAGGATCTTTTCAATGGTTCATAGATGTTTGCCACGGCTTTGTTGCTGTTGATTTTCAATAGGGGCCCGTTGGTGTCTGACTCCCCGGATGTCATATACTTCAGGAAAGCTCGCGGCGCTGGCGTTGATGATTGCGTATGTCTTGAGGAGCTTCTGCTTCTCTCACGATCACTGCTGCCCGAGTGTTCTGAGGATCTGGGCTTTGGTTTGATAGGTGTAACTTCCTTTTCTTTCTCTTTCTCTCTCGTGGAGCGTTCATGCCGCTCAGTGCGTTCGGACCGCCGAACGCGGCCGTGTTCTTTCTCGCGTCCTGATGATCGACGTGGCTCCTTTTCCACTACGAGTATCTTCTCTTTCCGTCTCTCTTCGTGGCGAACTTTTCTTTCATGTTGTCGCTTGGCCTCGTCCAAGGCTTCTGCCCAGCGGTTTGTGAGGATACCGCCACGTTTAGTACTTTTCTGTCGTACCAGGCGCGAAGGATATTCGTCAGATGAGCTCTTGGAGTGTCCACGCTCACGATCCATATCGGTTGTTCGTCGCTTTTTCTTTTTCTGACCGTGCGCCAGGGCTGTTGCGGCGGCCGCCCCGGCGGCCACACCAGCTGCAGCACCAGCGGCAGCTTTGGTTGTAGTGGAGGGGTCATCTTTGAGCGAGTCAACGGTGTCAGGGTATTCGCTTGTAGGGTCCGTCTCTTCAGATAAGTCTCTTTCAATAGTTGAACCATCCCTTACAGACTCGTCCTGGGGAGCCTGAACAGTTGATTCATCGGCGGCAATGTTGTCAGCAGGCATATCATCATCAGCCGGGGCACGTTCGATGATAACAGGTTCAGCTGGTGTTGACTCAATGACAGGCGGGTCCGCCGGTGTGGGTTCCTCAACTGGTTCTACTTCTGCAGATGGAAGCTCTTCCGACTCGGGTTGAGCAGGAGCTTTGGCAGCAGAAACTTCAGCAATAGGTGGATCTTCGGTGGTAGAGACTTCTTCAACAGGCAAGGCTTCTTCAACATCTGGGACTTCTTCAACAGCTACCTCTTTCGAGGCGGATGGCTCAGCAACCTCAGCAGGAATTTCATCAGTGACGGGTTCCTCAGTAGACGGAGCTTCCTCCGTAATAGGTAAGACTTCGGAAGCAAGTGCTTCTTCTACAGGCGCTTCTTCAACAGAGACCTCCTCAACAACAGGAGGTTCCTCAGTAGAAGGCATCTCTTCTCCAACAGGTGCTTTTTCGGAAGTCGGCACAACCTCCACACGATCTTCCACAACAGTGGGAGCTTCTTCAACGGCAGGGGGTTCCTCATTCGGGGCTTCTTCAGCAACGGGAGGCTCTTTAGCAGGGATCTCCTCCGAGGTGGGTAGTTCAGCAGCTTCAACAGTAGGAGCTTCTTCGGGTGCAGGCGCTTCTTCCGCAGGTACTTCTTCAACAGGGCCTTCCTCAACAACAATAAGTTTCTCGGTAGCAGGAGTCTCGTCGGTAATAGGTGATACCGCGGGAGTAGGTATTTCCTCGACGTGATCTTTCTCCGCTGTTGGAAGCTCTTCGGCAACGGGAGCCTCTTCAATAGGAACCGTTCCAGTAGCAGGTGACTCGGGAGTTTCTTCAGAGGCATGCGCTTCATCAGCAACAGGAGCTTCTTCAACAGCGGGAACGTCTTCGGTGACAGGTGATTCTTCGGCAGCAAGCGTTTCCTTTACGAAGGCCTCTTCGGCCACGGCAGGCTCCTCGGCAACAAGAGCCTTTTCAATGACAGGCTCATCTGTGATATGGCCATCAATAGAAGAAGGTTCATCTGGATGAGGCTCGTCGGTATCTGTAGGCTCCTCAGATACCGTTTTATTTGGCGCGTCTTCAATAGCCGTTTCCTTGGAGGCACCCGTTTCTTCTAGGAGATCTTGAGCGTCGAACTTTTCCGCTGGAGAGTCATTAGCTGGAGAGAGATCTTCAGAAGCCTCTTCTCCTGCTGGTTCTTCTACCAAAGTTTCTTGTGGTTGGGGGGCAGAGATTGGGGGTTCAACGTGTGCTTCTTCTGAAGCTTCTGCATCTGCGGGAGGCTCATTATTTCTAGCTTCTTTGGAATTAGCTGGACCTTGTGCAGGGAATTCATTGACAGAGGGCTCTGCAGTTTCCTCATTCTCTCCTTCATCGGCTGGGGTTTGCTCAGCGGGGGTTTCCGTGGTGACTGATTCTTCGACCGGTTTCTCTTCTTCAGAATGCTTCCCTTCGGGTTCAGCAGAAAGCTCTTGAGCCACTTCTTCTTCAGCCCCAGGATCCTGCTCATCTAACTCTTCAGCCGTAATCTCTTCCGTTGACTCCACTTTTGCTGGTTCCTCAGATGCTTCCTCCTTCGTGAGTTCTGCCGCGTCGGGTATCTCTTCTTCTGGGGGAAAGTTCTCGGCTGGAGGTTCTTCAGGCACATCTGTGACAAGTTTGGCATTATCTGGGGCGGCAGGTCTGTCGTCAGGATTACCGATAGATGGTTCGTCGGAAACAGGCTCCTCGGTGGTGGGTTCAGAGGCTTTATCATCCGTATCAGCATCGGGTTTGACTCCATCGGGGGATGAGCTGGGTTCGGCCGCATCGTCTGCCGGAGTGTTAATTTTATCTTCTGATGTACCTTGTGTCTCTTCTGATTTTGTCTCGTTAACCTCTGGTTGGACCTCTGCTGGAGCGGTAGCAGGCGCGTCTCCTATAGGCTTTGTTGAAGGTTCCTTTTTGCTCTCCTCATCCGCCACAGCGTCATCGATTGGTGTTTCTCCTACATCCGGTTCTTCCTTATCCGTTGACCCTGCCGGGCTTGGTTCCACTTCAGTACCAGGGCTGACAGAAGCCGTACTTTCATCTTGACCCTCTGTAGCTGTTAACTCATCTACTGAACCTTTGTCAGTTGGTGCCTCGGCCTCGGCCTCGACTACAGGCTCAGCTAGATGATCTGCGGTATTCGAATCTACAACCGGGGCATCCGGTGAGGCGGTGTCGGTCACGTCGGGATTTGCGGCTCCATCGGGCTGGAGGGTAGGTTCGGTATCTGCCGGTGGTACACTTGAATTTTCGGCTGGAAGGACAGGTGTTGCTTCAGTCTCCTTGGAGGCTTCGTCAGGATTTCCCTCATTAGCAGCTGGTTCTTCTTCTGCCTTGGTTCCCTCATCTGCTTTGCCTGCAGATTCTTCTTTCTCAGGCTCGACTTTCTCTGGTTCTACAGGCTGATCACCTTCAGTAAGTTCATCACCTATGGGTAACGTCAGCTGACTTTAAGTACTGTCATCATTTGAAGCCTACCATTGTTGAGCTCTTGAGTACCTTGCTCTGGAGGACTTTGGTTCACAGTATCTGCGGCATCTTGTTTCGATTCCGGAGGTTGAGCAGAGTCGTCGGCCGGTGGCTCGTCTTTATTGTCATCGGCGGCACTTTCAACTCCGGCTGCTTGGGCAGTGTCATCGGTTTCTCCAGCAGGCTCGACCTTTTCCTCGAGTGGCTCAGTAGCGGCCTCAGCGGGGCTTTCTACTGGATCGGTAGACGGCGTTGTTGCTTCAGACGATTCTATAATTATTTAGTAAGCCAACAATGACAAGGAAATGTCCTTTGCCAAGACAAATTGTTGTTATTAATCAAGACAAAGGAAGGGATTGAATGATCAGGACCACTTGAAGACAAGAAGGGTTATGTATAAGCTTACCTCCAGCCTCGGGGGACGATGTAGTGTCAGTAGGGGAACTACTTGATCCTTCTTCCGATGCAATGTCTGGTTCGGCGGGGTTATTGCCCTGATCCTTGTCCGGTGTCAGATCGTCTGTTGATGAAGCGACAGAGTAATACGAAAATTGCAAAGTATGACGGTCGAAGGTCTGATATTGACGCTCGAAAGTCTGGTACTCAAATTTGGGAAGCTGTGCATACTGGGGCGAGTGCTTCATTTTCTCCAGATTCAACCACCGTTTCCGGGGCGGGATCGGTAAGAAGATTGTTCTCTTGCTTTGAAAGTTGGTTGTCGTTTACTAGGAGTCGTTGTTTATTGTTATTGTTGTTGTTGTTCTTCTTCTTATTCTTGCTTCCTTTCTTGGCCATCGCATCGAATCAGTAATGTTGTACAGATGGGTATAGCCTCAATTGAAGTGGGAACTGAGCAGTAGATATAGATCTATTGAGTGAGCTTTGATCATCTGTCTGTCGGATTCTAGACAGGCCCAGGGGCAAAGGGGATGAGAAAAGAAAAGACAGGGGGGCCAACGGATCAGCACGGAGTATGAAATGTGAAGGGTCAGGTTCGAGTATGCCCTGACGTATTGGCTTGAAGGCAAAAAGTACAAGCAGCAAATATTAACCAGTCCGCAAACAATTTTTTTCGAGAACCAAGCGAGGCGACGTATCGAACTCCGTCCATGACCCAGTTAGATGGGACAATTTCGAGCTGCAGTTCGGGCATGGGGGCTGGGGACATCATTGACGAACTGCCCAACGGCATTATCTCTTATTGGGCCACGTCTCACGGGTCCCATCACAGTGTGGACAGACATAGTGTCTCCGGCAAGCATCACTGGGGCAGAGTGAAGGCCGGAAGACTATCATCTGCATGAGAAGCTTGCAGTAGCAAGCAGTGGCGGCGGGCCTGGTGAGGAGTAGATGATCCAAAAAGGAAAGTACCATATTCGGAATGGAAAATTGGGTACTCCATGCAATCTGTAGTGTTAGTGGGGGTGGTGCCACTGATCGGTTGGAATTGGCTTTTTTCTTTTCTTTTCTTTTCTTTTTCTTTTTTTGCTTTTGATAGGGTTCTTTCTGCCCGGCTGGGTTGTCCAAAAACACGGCATTTGGACTGAATGTTAGTCAACGCGCCATAGTGACAAGCACCAGGGTAGCCAAAAAGGGCTGTGATAGCAATCTAGGGCAAATGGTCGATACCAGATCAGCGCAGCCAACCAAGACAGTTTTTTTTTTCCGATAATGGGCAGCCAAACGCCATCAATTGAGGAAAGATACGGAGGCAAGACGCCGGAATGATGCTAGAGATCATTATTCCATGCTGAGTCCACTGCATCTAGGTTAATCAATCAGAAGATTTCTGCCCGACGCCTGCAGCGGGCAGCGGGGGCAATTGGATGGAGTGTCAGACTGGGTCCCGGGCCATAATAGCCCTAACGATTGGAAGAACCCGGGGCGTCTCTCGAATTACTGTAGTAACAACTTTTCTTTTTCAAATTCCGGGTGGGAAGAATAATAGTAGTGTTGTAAGAAGGATGAAACAGGGAGGAGTCTAGTTTACTTTTCTCCACAGATGAACAATTCAGCAAGTGTGTTGATCACTGGATCAACGGATGGGGCATAGTGTCTGTCACCGTTCTGTCACTGTATTGAATTATTCTCGTACAAAATCCAACTCAACCGTCACAACTTCGTCCTTCCACATACACACACACCACACACATATCGTCAATTTTATCTCAAGGTTCCCAATTACTTATGATCCTGTGATCTTCGGAACTCGCTCAACAGGGGTGGAAAAGAGTAAATAATTATGATCCAATTGCAGAAACAACCAACGGAAAATCAACCGAAAGGACAATTCCAGAGTGGACTGACGGCATCCACAAAGAAAGTGAGGCGCGCTGCTCTGGCGGCCGGTGAATGGCTGTCATGGCGCCCACAAGCAGATCCATCAATATCGGAAGAATCACAAAAGGAATCACTAAAATTCGAGAACCTACTAATCCAGCCACGCTAAACTTGATGCGTCCCTTGGCTGAGAAACCGAAGCCAGCAACTGATTCCATCCACATCATCGAGATCCCGCCACGCTGGATAATTAACTATAATGGCCAATACCCCTTTCGCATCGCCAGAGATCTATCCCAGCGAGATAAAAGCTGCCATACAGAGTCGAACAGCTAGCACTTATATCAAATCGACTACCCTAGATCTCTGCATTATCGCCGAGCCCTGCTGATCGATGGGGCGCAAGCCATAGTGAATGTCGCCGACGTAACATGCATCGATGAGGCACTACTGCGGAACGTTTGACGGCGCTGGGAGAGAGTCTGACTCTGACACCTCCGTCGAGAACCTTCATCGCATATTTATAATGTCCACGGGCCAATAGCAGGATTGCATGGCCCAAACGTCATCCCACGGTGCTCAATGCAGCGGCCCAGATGTAGTTATTTGCCTTACCTGAATTCTTGCGTACCACCGCCTGACCCTGACAATAACTTAATGCAGGGTATTAATGGCCTATGGGTTCATTACGCATTCCTCCATCTTGGTCCGAGCCACCCTAGTGCTGCCCGGCTCATTTTGTGGTTTCTATGATAGGGCCTAGTTCGTAGTTCCACGATCTATATCGATGGTATACTACGGGAGGATCATTGACCCCATCCTATGGGCCAGGTAGCGAGTGGATACAGTCACTGAATGGACTCGCCCAGGAAACAATTAAAAGGGTCTAAGACATGTCCAATCCGTCTCCGTTCTGCTTGCTGTCTCGCCCGGTGGCTTGTTCTGAATTTAGCGAGGGAGCTGAGGGGTGATAGTAGTAGTACAACAAGATGGGACGGAATTTTTCGTGAAACATGTTTGGCAGCTATCTTCGCTCCCAATGAACTTTATTCATAGAAACCGTCGGATTCGATGCGACCCACTGAGTTGTTCTACTGACCTATGATGGCATGCCAGGGACTGATTGTACTCCAAATGTACCTGGCGGCATCCAGCTTCACAATAGCTCTAAAAATAACCTCATTCATGCTTTTTGGGTATCTTGTAGCGGTAACATCATCCAGCGAGCATTATGGTGACTATCCAGACCAACCATGTGACATATTCCATAATTCCAGCGCTTCGTACCTGAACTCGCTTTTCCGAGAAAATGAGAATAGTCGATGCAGGGAAAAGTGTAAACAGGTTGCTATATACAGAATGTATACAATACTCACGGTGATGCATAGCAGCAGCCTAACTTGAACAAGAAAGGAAAAGAAAAACAGAAAGAAAGAAAAGGAGAATTTATCCTTTTGTGCGTTCCAGAACCCCATGTCCCCTAGGGCCTCCACATAGGAATGTTAACAAATGCTGTCAATGCTTGAGTGCATCCATTGATTTTCTCCAACGAGGGCCGAAGATTTTCATTGCGAATAGGACGGAGCTGCTGAGAAAGGCAACAATTCCGAGAATCGTAAACAGCCAGCCATTACCAATAGCGTCGATGATAGGAGCGGTTACCAGAGATCCAACACAGGAGAAGATGTTCCGCATGAAGTTATTTAGTGCGACTCCTGAGGATGACTTCTTGGGCATGAATTCCGTCAACATCGTCGTTGCCATGCTAAAAATAAGCATAGATCCGATGCCAAAAAAGAAGTTTGCGATCATCTGCAGTGACGGACTGTCAGCCCTTTTGCCCACTGAACACAGGAAATTAGAAGGGAGGAAAGAAATAGTCGCTATACCGGCACAAGCCAGAAAACACCCCGATCGGCGGTCCATCCATACCAAATCAACGCAGCGGGGTAGAGAAAAGCACCAAGCCAAGCATTCTCGCGCATACGGTCTTCGGGGTGATAGATTAGATTGCCATTCTCATCATATCTTTGCGCCTTCCTGGCTTCCCGCTGCATGATGTTGTCCATCCATCGCCCCCCGAACATACTAGCGACGACATATCCTATAGAATTTGGGATGTAAAGTAGTCCAACAATGATCGTAGTAAATCCATATGGACTACTTCCAAACGTGTGTTCGATACTAACATTTAACACATAGAGGGAGCCAAAGGTGATACTTGCATAGTAAACCGTTAGTAAGACTGGTGGATACCGCAGATAAAGCACGATCTTCAATGGGTCAAGGAAAACCATCTTGAGGATCTTCAGCCACTTTGTCGTAAACCGGACGACCTGACGAGAAGAAACTCGACTCAGCCGGCGCCCAATCGGATGCTGCTGCTCACTCATCGTAATAGAGGCAGAAGATTTTGGCGATACCAATGTCTCCGGAAGAGCGAAGAATATGAATGCTACAGTTAATCCTCCATAAGCTGCTAGAAACCATGCCGTACTCCTCCACCTCCACCGTTGAGCCAGAGCACCTCCAACAATAGGGGCCAACAACGGACCGCATAATGGCCCCAGGTAGAAAATACTCATAGCACGGCCTCTTTCTTGCGATTCCCATAGGTCCGCAATCGTTCCTGCGCCGACTGCCTGGACCGAAGCCGATGCGCCACCGCTGAGTAACCGCATGACGATGAGCATGGCCATCGACTTGGAAACGGCACAGAGTACATTGAATATGACAAACAGGCAAAAAGACACAAGGTATATAGTCCGTCGCCCCAGTTTCTCACTGAAAGACGACCACCACAAGGGGAAAATTGACATACTAAGCATGTACAGCGATATATTGAGATTCGCTACGGTGGTTGTGGAATTCAACTCTTTGGTGACCTGAGAGAGAGCAGCTAAACATAATTAACAACTGGGCTAAAACTCAGAGAGAGCGTTGACTTACGGAAGAGTATGGCGCTTCCCATCGGGGCTGTTGCTCCTGCCCATGCAACAATGAAGGTGATGAACCACTTTTTCCTCCGGGAGTACGTTTTTGGATTTTCAATTTCCGCCAGCAGCGTGAATTGACCAAAAAGTCCTCTGCGACTTAGTCTTGGTACCACAACCGCAGTATCGCGGTCTGCGTTTGAGGAGTAGGAAGGAGCACTGTCTTCCTCATCCTTTCCTTCAAATGCCTGGGGTGGGCGATCCTCTGGCGATATGGATTGGAGATCACTAGCCGTGCCTGCGGTGTTCCCGCGAGGTGAATTGATTGCATGGTCCTCAATGTCTATAGAGGTATGGTTTAGCGGTAAAACCGCAGGCGTGTCTCCCTTTTCCATAGCTCAGTACTTTCGACTAGCCTTGAGATACTTTCTGTGCTGCGCATAGACTCAATTCCTGGGATAAAAGCAAGTGGACAATGGAAATCCGCACATCAAGAACTCGGACCGATAGTTACGCCTCTTTCTGAGCGCCGTGTGTGGGGAAACGGTTGAGTCAGGAGGCCAACAGAACTGTCGAAAAGGAAAGAAAACGGTGAACTACAGATGAAAGGAGACGCCCGCATCAACGCTGCAGCGTGAGAGTCTAATTAGTGAGATAAACTGACACATTAAAGATAAGAGATATGCTCTATTGACATCTTCCCAGCGGACATGGAAGAAGAGGGGAGAAAATATGGGAGAAGTGAAGCGGAAAAGGACAAAATGAGGGGGGAGAAGAAGAAAAAAGTGAAAGAGAAAGCAATCAAGAGGTTATTTTCGAATATGGGAGCTGCAACCCGTGCGGAAGATTGCTTGTTATCAACACTTACTTCAATTTAGTTATCAAAAAGGAAGGCGTAGATGGCAGATTCAGAACCCCACTCCAGAGAGGGTCATGTTGGCCCTGGTTTTTATTAGAGATCTCTAGGTAGTACTGAATAGTAGATTTTGTTGACTTAAATTGCTGTTATAGGTTTTCACCATCTGGGCATTGATGCTGGCGAGGTTTTGCGTTTTTCTGAGGTATGATTCAGACACTTCGGATATTAATCCGCAACCATGTACCTGACTTGGGTAAATCCCCCAGAAGCTGTCCATGGTGTCATTCAAGCACCGTATATGCTATTGGCAACTGTTAACGTTGGATCAAATCTTAAGGAATGTGGACCAGAATGTAGGGCAGATATCCAGTCACGGTCGAGTAACGGCGTGCCGTTCCATCCGACCCTCCAGTCGGCACGCATGTCGGGTCCCCGCGTGCGGGTTCTATCGCGCCTTGACCATGTTTTACCGAGGTCAAGCATTTTAAAATCTTGAAGTCCTGATACTGAAGTGGAAGCTGGGGAACCACTCCGCAAAACCATGCTCGGGTCTACTAGTATAAGTGAGATGTCCAATTCTCATTATTAATGAATGCTTATGATGTGGCTCCAAGGGAGAGACACGAGAAGATTATTTGATATCTTCTAATTCCTGTAGATGCATACAACATAAAGAGTATTGTATGAAGGCAATTATAGTCCAATATATTCTCAAGAAGCCCTATGGAATATCCGTAACCTTCTCAGGTGCTTCGACTATGCCTTTCTTGCCCCCATAAAACCTCCCTACTCTAATTGGTTGTTAATGGGGTTGCGATAATACCAAAAGTATAGCCATAGGTATCTGGAAGCCTAAATTGAGTAGCCGGTAGAAAAGCCAACGACACAGCTGTTATCGTCGTTGTGGGCTGTCCTTTATACACTTGACAGAGAATTGGGTGATCTACATTTCATAATTTTAGCAGATATACATACCATATGTGCAAGGACTCGGTTCTTAAAGTGATGGGATAACTCGCAAGTAGTATCAACCCACTATAAAGAATCGGTGTATAGTGTAAGGTTTGTAGATAAACTCGGCTGTGCTCCATAACTCAATCTACAATATCTTCCATTGCCCTAAACGCCCAAGCAAAACCCAAACACTTGTCAGTGCCACTAGTCCGTCCATATCAAAACCCAAGCATGCCAACAAATAGCAACAGTATACACAAACGCCCAACTGCATATGAAGTGGCCCTTTATGCAGTCACAAGTCCCCCAAATCATCAAACACTGCATATCCTCCTCACGATTGGCCTGAACTTCGGACGCCGAGACCAGCACCCTCCATTTTATTCATGTACCATGCAGCGCTATCTATCAAGGCACTCCGCAGGTGCCATTGGACATCTTAGCGCTGTCTTAATTTATATAGATCTTCTCCACTCTATTCTGTCTGCATAGATGCCCAACAGCAAGCCAACGGCCGATCACCCCCACAGAGCAAGCCTTCTATGAAGATCTCATGCATCTTGCTAGTTCTAGACGCCAACTTGGCTCAATATATTATCCCTAATCTAAATTGGCAAACATCGAATCTCAGGTGCCTATTACGAAGAACTCTTTTTCTTTGTCACTGCCTTCGCTCTGCCAGCGCCAGTCATCGTAAAACACAAAGGCACGTAATAATGCCATCAAACAGGCAATATCTTTGTAAGATTAATAGAAAATCCACGAGAAAATATTGCCTTCGAACACTTTGGGCTAGTGTTAAAAAGGTACACCACAAATGACAACGTTAGCAAAAATAAGGTCCGCACAAGTCTTTCGTTGTTGCTTGCTTCGCAGTCGGAACCATCACGGCCATTCTTCTTTAACGTCCCTTCCCCGCCCCAATACCTTTCTTCCCTTTCTACGCCTGTTAGTTCGTCCTCTCATCACCAATTTCTACCTCCCCGCCAATTTGCTTGAGCAGGGAACGCGCCAGGATAGTTGGCGATCAATACATGAATGGCTCCTGGGCGTACGGACAACCGCTCGCTCAACAGAGGGTATCTACATGGGTGTCCGGCGTCTCACGTTGTGTACATTTGTGTAAAGCAAAAGCGAAGGATTATCATTCCAGAATTGGCTATGTGCACCGACATGACAAATGAAATGGACCAGCCCTTCGCTTTAATGATCACACTAAGCACTTTTGATTCAGGAATAAAACATTTCGGTTAGACATTTGGCTATTGGACGTCTTGTAAAGTCTATTCAGATATTCCCATCCACTCCTACAATGCGCCAGCAAGAAACTTCCATTGTACTGCTCAAGGCGTATCATCATTGCTGAACTTGGCATCGTCTCATCCCTTCTGGTGCAACCTGTCGTGAAAAGACGGGGGGAGGGGGGAAACGGCCCGAGAATGTCAGCCCCCGATATGTCACCAACTTAGGTCATCTGGAGAAGCCTAAGTCCCTGGGCTATCGATATAAGGTATATATGTACATTATCCAACCCCATCACTGTTATCAATGTATGCCAACCTGATGTGCATTTATTCCTCCTCTCCGCCGTGGATTCTATTCTGTCTGCAGGTAAGCCAGTCTGACATCCAACCACTTTATCAGAGTACTTATGCTAAGGAAGATACTTTGGTCCAGGGATGATACGGTTTCTATGATGCAGAATGTGACGTTAGACTGTATGGAAGTCGCAACTCAATGAATTACTAGGCTATATATGGAATAATGCGGCTTGCTTAATAAATAGAATGGTAGAAAAGCTGACTTATATGTAAAAGCCAAAGGCGCAATAAGAAGCCCCAGTTATAGATGTCTTCATGCCGATTGGAGACCCCACGGACTGCAACTAACTTCACTGTGTACCTAGATAAAGATTACTCGAACTCTATCTAAGCCATAAACTATCCAACAGCACGTTCAGAGCTCTCATAAATCTTGACAGACTTGATCCTGCATTAAATAGTCGAGAATGCGCATGCGTCTAGAACTACATCGCCAAGTCAAGAAGGCGAGACGGGTTAAAAAAGCTGATTGTCGGGAAAGAATAATAGGTATAAAAAGCAAGAGAGAAGAAATCTCAAACTGTTACATTCAACGGCTGCTGGACGTGATATATAATTCGAAACTCAAATACATTATGAAGTGAAAGTAAAGAAACGACGCCTGTACCACTTGTGGCTGGATCATAGCTCACCCAAATACCCTCAGAATGAAAGCCAGTTTCTATTCCCATTCACGCATCTTTAAGCCCAGAGGAGAAATAAGGAAAGCAAAAGCAAAAATATGACGAACGAGAAAGGGAAGGGAAATGTGACCGCACGGCAGGTGCAATCAAGATTTCAACCCGGCTCTTATCTGTACAAGCCTAAGTTCGGTTTCCCATTACCGTCCTTTTTTGGTTATTTGCAAGGAATAGTGGCCGCCGGCTAAATCAAAACAGTAAGCAAAGATGTGCATAATGCATCGCCTCAGTTGTAGTCGGTTATTCGTAATCGTCCTGGATTGCGACAGCTTTGCTGTACGTCTCATATGGAGTGGTGGCTCCAAGGGCCCGCCGCTGGTGAGCATTGAGTATCTCCAAGCCATACACAAAGCTGGCATTGACCCAGCCGAACCTAGAGATTGAAAAACGTTAGCCAAATTCTATTGTAAAGTGCGCAGACAAGAAGTATCCTACCCTTCACGAGGTGCTCCCTTGAAATCTACACCTTGGTTTCCATATTCAGCATCGACCCGGTGCGGATCAATGGGCCGAGTAACATCGTACTTCTCGACGACAACGCCGTTGAAATCGACGAAAGCTTTGGTGATCATATATAACCACTTATATGCGAGTCGTTCAGCTTCCTCCTGGTAGCCGTAGCGGAGCAGCCCCGTCCACGCCAGCATCTGCTGGGGTGCCCATCCATACGGGTAGTCCCACTGCCGATTAGGCCGGTCCAAGCTGATAATTCCACGCGACTCTTCAGTACCTGAGACTAGACCGCCATAAGCCTCGAACTTTGGAAGTGCCTTGCTGACCAGTTCAGCCGCTTGGTGGGGGGTGGCGAGACCCGCCCACATTGTCCAGAAAGTCGTAGCACTCTCATAAGACGACCGCTCTTGTTTGACTGTGTCATAGTCGAAGTACATCCCCTTTTCATCATCCCACAAATAGGTGTCCATCCTCGTTTTTCTTCTCCTAGCTCGGCGGTCCCATACCGATGAGGATTCGCTTGCAATATCTTTTGATTGAGCAGTACGGAACTCAGGGGGGACCTCGAGCTTGTCCTTGAAATAAGTTCGGATGATCCGAGCAATATCCACTTCGTACTTATAAAGCAGAGAATTCAGATCAACGGTGGCGATGTTAGCACAGACTCTCTCCAGACGGTAGCTTGTATCATGGCCAGATTCTCGGACAGCCCTATCATGCATAAAGTACTCGTCCAGTTCTGGTTCTTTGATGATGCCATTGTTATACGCCTGAACAAATTCTTTAAATTCCATGCCGTGTTTTTCAGCATAGGGTGTGAGCAGGTGAAGGAAATGCGTTGGCTCGGTTTCCGGCGGTACGCCTAATCCCTCGGGCCGGTATCGCGACAAACCAGATATGGGATCATAACGTGGCTCAGCGGTCCAAACACTGTAGTATTCCTTAATGGCAGCAAGAGTGGAAGTCCGAAGGAATTCCAATGCGTCGGGTTCTCCCTTAATCCGCTCATACACCCTCAGAGCCATATCGGTCAAAAATGGCGGCTGGGAACGTAGCAGGTAGTAAGTCCGGTTGGCATTGAGGATCTTTCCATAGTGTTTGATACAGAAACAAAAGTTGATCACCATGGACTTTGCTAAGTCCACTCGATTGCTGACCAACAGGCCCAGAGACTCCATGTAGCTGTCCCACCCATACAGTTCATTGAATCGACCTCCGGGAACGACGAATGGCATCCCAGTATATTCGATTTTCTTGGTCTCTTCATTATACTTCTTCTCCATCGCCAAGGCGAGAAGACCGGGCTTTTGATTAAGATCCTTCACAAACTCCGGAGTAATTTCTGAATCGAGCACCTGCACATCCAGGCGCAGTTCCGGGTGTGCCTCGGCAATCCCTCTATAATACTCCACCTGCTCAGGGGCCCCCGGGGGAATATAGATTCGGGGACGTGGGTCGTCAGTCCAATCCTTGGGATCGCGGCCAGCCACTTCAATGTTCGAACCATCTATCCGGCGAGTCAGGGCGTTCCAGAAGGAGTTCTTAATCAGACGGGAGAGACGGGCGACCGGGTTTTCGCTTAGACGAGCCTCATCCAGGACAATGACCTTCCTGCCATAGTCCTTGGCGATGGTAAGCTCCTGCAGGAGGTTGGACAGCATATACGTTCCTCGCACGTCGAATTTGTTGTATCCGGAAGAGGCCGCGGTTCCCAGGGAGAGCACCTAGTATATCATTTAGCCTCTGCCGACGGGGTCAAAAGGGCCGCCAATCCACGCACCTTGGGGCCTACGTCCTCAATTGTGATCTGCATGTTCCTATCCGTATCCTCTCTCTCCAGGAGACTCTGTAGGGTCTCTTCGACATCGATAAGGAACTTGCGGGGTTGGGCGGAGATCTCATCTGTCGGAGCACGTGCGTCAGTCTATGTGGCTCGGGAATTGCTTCAGATTGGATCAGGCACGTACCATGACTGCCTCTTCTTGCGGGGATCCCACCAAGGAAATTTTGGATATCCTGGCGATTGAACGACTTCAGGTTCTGTAATATGACCCAGAAATGGTTAGTTGACTATAATGGCCTTATCATCAGGGAGCCCCTCTCTATTTATACTCACCGTAGAAAAAGCACGTCTGCGATCCTTGATGCGCGCGTTGGCTTCCTCGTCACCGTAATAGACGTCGGGATGAGAAAAAGGGTCGGTGGAGTTTGTTCTGCGGGGTTGTCCATTTGACGAGCTCATCGTCTAAGGGTGATTTGGGGTGAAAATAGAGAGCTGAAGGGAGCTGGAAATTTGGGGGGAAAAATAAATGAAGGGACCGGGAAGAACCAGGATAATGGGTTTGAAGCAAGACCAATGACCCCTGCAAGGTTCTAATTTGTGGCGTTTTCGGCGGTGATCACGGCTGTGGTCGAAATCGGGCGGTACTCGGGGTATATATATCGAGAAAAGTATGTAAGACCAAAACAAAAAGGAAAGAAGAAAAGGAGGTGAAGTTGAGTAAGAAGATGTTCTAAACGATTTTAAATATAAAATTTAAAAATAAAAGACGACTGACTCTATGAATTGGCCACAGGGGAGAGAATCAATCAATCCAATTTTAGTATGATTTCAATGGGTCCCCACGCGACGTCACAACACTAAGGAAGAATCTATTGAATTGAGTCTTTCTAAAATCCTTCCCTACGTGGGATGACACACCTCGTTGCTTTTTTCCAAGAGATAGCGGTGTGAACATTCCAAAATCGTGTTCCTCCTTACTCAGGGGAAATTCCAATTTATTTTAATTCTATCCTAGAGACCTAGAGAATCTTCACATACGGATTCCACTGTTGGTACACTGAGAGCGAGAGGACCAAAAGGCGATGACGGCATATCGGAGCGATGATTTAATGTCCTCGATTTTTACTCCACCGACCCATAAAAAATTAATGGGCAGAAGCTTTTCTATCATAGGGCAGCCAGCTCACTCTGCCAACGGGATGTCCTTTTCTTATCCATCGCACTCAGACTTTCTCGCTTGTTTCATAGATCCAAGCACTAAGTGAGTCAGGCGACTTCATGCGCAGTTTCCTCCTGCTGTCCTTCCTGTCCTTTTCCCTTCTAGTCTTTTTCTTTTCTTTTTCTTTCGCCTCCCTTGTTTCATAAAGTAATTTCATAAAGTAATTTCTCTTACTAAAGCCAGATTCGATGCTCTATCGAAGGTAGGAGGAGGTCCGGAGTATGCACTGTCACTTGATGCCTCCCCATCGTCTCGACTTGTCTACTCGGGAATAAAAATACCGTTTTCAATCGCATAGAAACCTATCTAGCAGTAGTATGTATGTTCGGAACAATGCATAGTGATGTAATCAAAACAAAGGCTACTTGGTATGATACCGTTTGACCTTCAACTGTCGGCTGTCCATCGGATCCAAGCTCTGGTCCGTATACAAAGTATTCGAACCAGCATCCACCTGGTCGTCGACAAGGCGTTCGTTGGGAAGAAGAATCGCCCGGTCCAACTGATACGGTAGTCCACGATGGCGCCCTCGAATCATCATGAGGCAGTTAACAACTTTACTGAATACCGACAGCTGTCCGCTCAAGGAGGTCGTAGCGTTTGGATACCCTAAGCTGAGACCAACGTTTCCACTGGAACGAGTCAGCATCTCTCCAGATTGGTTAACTAAGCATCAGCTTACTATGCGGAGATAACCTCGAAGAATATCGCGAAAACAGTCATTCCCTGTCCTTGATCAATTCCGGCTCGGAAGCTGGACATGGAAGACAACCTTACCGGCTGAGAGGGGTTCATGATGCGATTCGATTCAGCAATGCAGATACAGAAGATGCCAAGAAATATGTACCACAGATCGAAACTGAGTTGGTTTCGCATATGGGACAGGATGTATTTGGAGGCGTTGTTCTCGTCGACCTCTCCGTCGCTGGAAAATACTCCGAGCGAACGCTCTTCGTAGGTATTGGATGCACGCATGCTGATGGCGATGGGGAAGATAGAAATATACATCATGACTAGCAAACTAAATTGGACAGCCGGGTTGACGTCGGCGAGGTTGAAACTCGCCGTCCCTGTATGTCGTGCTGAAGCTGCTTGAAAGAGAGCGGCCAGCACCCGCGGTCCACCGGGGAGAGCGTTAACGGCGGGGTTATGTAAATCCAGTACGATAATCAACAGGACATCGACGACATTCAGGACGAAGACAATCCCAAACAGAATCCAAGTGGGCTTGCTACGGAAGAGTAGCGTGTAGCATCGGCGTGGATATTTCAAGAGGTAGTCCAGGGGCTCTCTGAGTGACGAGTTTTCAGGTGCACATTTAAATATAAACCAAACGATGAGACGCAGAAAACAGGGATAGAGGTTATTTCCCGCGTATGCAACAAAACTCATAATCAACATGGGAAATGTTGCATCTCGAAAGGATACCATAGAGTCCGGGGTGAGGGTGAACCCAAGATTGTTGACCATGGTTTGCGCCGAATAGAATCCCCTGAAATCGATCGAGGATGAGTATATGCTGAACTCTCAAATTACATGCGAATGCGATAAAGGGTGCTTCAAACATGACCTAGAAAAAAGGTATACTTCTGATAGGGAAAAGGAGATGCGATAATGTCCTGTGGCACTTACCACCAGATATGATTCTGTCCACACTCATTGAGATAGGCTCGATATTTAGGATCGGCATACTGTATCCAGCCCACTAAGCATATTGCACCAATTAGATGAAGGCCGAAGAAGTAACCTGCCCTTAGGGTAAGCCCAAATCCATGCAAAAATTGAGGACATTTACCTATCACAATCTTCAGGAGCAATTTCAAGCTTCGGTATTCTATGCCGCCGAGTTTCTCCCGGTCTTCAGCAGTCAAGTTATAAAATCGTGAGTTCCTGCCGAGGCTCGCCTGTGAAGAGATGTATGGAAGGTTGGAGCTCTTTGATAGTGAGACGGCTTCGCGAAGCTGTGAACCCTGCGACTTGCTGGGTTGTGATCCAAGCACAAACATAGAGGAAGCTACACGTTCGAGCGGAATAGGGGCATCTCTCAATCTGCGGCGCACTTCTGACTTTGTGTCGTCGTTGTCGGCATATTCCGAGATTTCTAGTATTAACGAGTTACTTGTCTACCATCTTTACAAAGGAAAGAAAAAGCTCACGTACCATCCTTACTTGCTCCTTCGTCTATCTCGACTATCGGCTGACCTGTAGTTCAATGAGCATGAGTTTTACGATAAGACGAAGCAAGGCTGCATACCTCTGTCACGTTCGCGCGGGGAAGGGATGTATAGAGCTTTGTCATTGTCCGCAAAGGTGATACGACGGTTAACTGGCCCTATTGTTTCTGAATCCTGGCCATCTAGAGGCTTCGAGTTAGTTAGCCTGCGTGCCAACATGTGAATTTTAGTAAATTCCAGATCAAGGACCATAGCCAAGTGAGGAGTAGTTCCACCTACTCGGGTGATGCTGCTCGTCTTCTGCTCGACTTTGCCGAGTGGTCATGGTCCGTGGTGTCCTTTTCCCGGGATACTTGCTCCGGCTCCTGAGCACATTCCGTGTTAACCTTGGCAGGTTGTGCCTCCTGGTCATATTCATAGTTCTTGGAAGTCCTTGGGTGTGAGTTTGGACGCAAGGCAGTGGGGGCTATTGAACGATTTCCATTAGCGCAGCTCGTATGTACATAGCAAAGAGCCAGTTACGCACCTGTCTCTTTCAACCGCTTCTCGAACCAGTAGAGTCGCACGATAACCACGATGATATTGATGAAGGTCATGTTGCAGACCGTGGGGACGAAGTATATAAACAGTTGTTGATATGTCTTCAGATCTTTCACATCAGTACTAAATGGGAGTTTCTTTAGCCAGTTCCATTTCTGTAACAAGATAGATTAACCCACGGATTAAGCCCTGTCACTGTGGCAGTACTGACGCCAATAAAGAAAGAATCGATTGAACTGAGATTGCCAGAAGGAAAAAGGATAGCCAGCCCCAGAAGGCTCCAGAGAATAACATATGAATCTGTTTCCATCATCCAGTAAGTCACTGCTATTCATGAACATAAGTCATAATATCCGTACAATGCAAGGTAATAAAGTTTACTGGTGGTTTCCACATCACTTCGTTGTTGAATGAAAGTAATTAATTATGGTACGCTGGTTTGTCAGGGACGCGGAAACGGAATCTTTAGAACCGATGGGCATGGCAGAATGCGATATAGGATCGTGGAATAATGCTTTCCAATATTGGGGTTTAAATATATTGTATAGATCTATATCAAAATAAAATACTAATAACAGATGGCACGTGAGGCTTGGTATACACAAAGAGGTGTTCCTGTTGAGTAAGAGCTATCAAAATGAGGGATTTATATAAACCAATGCCGATGCGGAGAGCCTCAACCCCACACAATCCCTCACTAGTGTTTAGATCTATTCCTAGAAGATGAACGCCGTACGTGTAAGAGGGAATTTTCTGGTCCAGTGCTTCAATCAAGATAAAACAGATGAGCTGCACACGTCGTACAGCCACCCTGACACTGCTGGTTGAGAAGGAAGTCATCTGCAAGCCGATCCTAATATCAGAAGGGCTGATGGCTTGCGATCCTAGAGAATTATGCTTTCCTTCCCATTTAGTCAATGTTGTACTGCAGATCGAGCGAGGCTACCCGCCAGCTCTCATGACTTATGGCATCTGTGGCGCCATCCAGTTGACGCTGCTATGTCATGATAGTATACAGCCAGATTGGTGTAGATGCGCAATGATGTCAATAGCTTGTTTCAACCACCCACTAGTCCTTGTTTGCCATGCGCTGCGAGAGTCTAAAAAACGTGTCAAAATAGGAAGAAGTTTAAATTGCATGAACATTGTGCATAAGCTCGCAGGTGAAGATTGAAACAAAATGTTGCCAAATAAGCAAATATAAAAGGTTTAGGTTACACCTTCCGTAAAAGGACATTATCTTGTTCATCAATATCAGATTGTGATATCGAGATTACTCGTATGTGCTACCCCATTTCCCCTATATCTTACAGCTTGGCAGCAATAGCGCTGCCCCCATCGAGTGTGATAGTGGCTCCGTTCACATACGAGCCCGCACGGCTGCTCAGGAACAGGCAAGCACCTGCCACGTCCTGGGGGGTACCAATACGACCTAGTGGAATGTTTCCTTCGATCTGCTCCCGATAGGATTCCAAAGTAGCAGCCATCATCTTGCTCTCAAAGGGGCCACAAGCCAGCGAGTTTGATCTATAGGAAACCTGGTTAATGGACATTCTCCTATCGTCGAAATGACACATACGTAATGTTCCTTCTACCAAGGTGGTTGGCAAGAGTCCGGCTGAGGTGATGCAAACCGGCCTTACTAGCGCTATAAGCAAAGGTCTCTAGCGCTGGGACTCGAAGTCCATCGATGCTACCGATGTTGATGATGCGAGCTGGATCGCCCGACGACGCTGCCTTCTCCAGCAGGGGGGTAACGAGCCTCGTCAGATCGAACACCCGGTGGAGATTCAGAGTGAGGACCCTAGTCCAAGCAGCGGAAGGATACTCATCATAAGGAGCGCCCCAGTTCGATCCGGAGTTGTTGACAAGAACATGCAGCTCTGGTTGGTTGATTAGTTGATACTATTTCTGGATTGCGGCAGCCAAGAACATACTGCCTTCGCGCTTTCCAAGCTCTTCAGCCAATTTCTTGACATCTTCTTCATTGTAGAAATTAGCGGGAATCGCGTGTGCCTTTCCTTGTCCGAGTGCATTGAGCTCGTTTACGGCCTTCTCACAAGCCTTGGCATCACGGGACGAGATATAGACAGTGGCTCCGTTTGCTACGAAACCTTCGGAAATCATGCGACCAACGCCCTTGGCGCCACCGGTGACCAGTACCACTTTGCCCTAAGTACAGCGTTCAGTAATGACCTGACGCTATTTTGATAGAAATTCTAGCGCTGACCTTGACATCGAACAGGCTTTGAGAATCCATGATAGCCAAAACAAATAATAAAGATTGCCAAGCAACAGAATACAAAGAAAATGTGGGATAAATACGAGTGAGATCAAGGTGAATGGGTTGTATTCAAAGGGACATCCAGGAGTAGATGGATGCTCGCATCATATAACCACTGGCTCCCTAACTATCCGGCGGCCGAGATAACTGAACTGGAAAGATACCGAGGCTGTCCGGCGTCCGGAGCAGGAAGAATAATGATGCGCTCTTGACATTTCTCCAGGTAGCTGTTGGCTCCAAAAAGATGTCAATCATTTAGTAAACCGAGAAGAATATTATATCGGAAATATCTATTAAAAACCGTGTTTAATCTCTGAGTATGTCCAGCAACCAGTGTTGGTCTCGAGCTGGCCTATCCTGCGCTATTCCTGTTCGGGATCCCGGCTAGGGCAACGAAGAAAGGGTTTGCGGGGCTGTACTTCTTCAGATGGGGTAGTCGCGGAGCAACAGCACCATTTTCTTAAACTCATACAGCCTGCATTTCTTTTGGCGTTTTCTTTTTCGTTCACTTTTCCTTCTTGTCTAGACAATATATATTATTTTGCATTACATCTCCCGCGAGAATGGAGGAGTTATTAGCGAAACACCGCAAGGAACAAAAAGATCTCCAAGCACGCATCACACAGAAGAAGAAGTCTGCCACGAAGAAAACCCGCCGAGGAATTAACGAAGAATGCGATAGGATGCAGAGTGAACTCTCCGACCGACACCAGGCCGAGATTGCAGAATTAAATGGCGAGCCCGCCCAGCCCGTTGATGGCCTCGAAGATCTTAATCTGAATGGTTCCGAGGAAGACGAGAAACCGAAAGATCAGACCGATGATTCACAGCACCCTCCATCGATGAATAATTCTCTAGACACATCTTCTGCTACGTCAGAGTCCTCAGCCCCATCGCCTCGCCCGAAGAAGCCGAATCGTCAGAAGGCTCGTCTGGCACGTCGCGCTGCGGAGCAAGCCGCACAGTCTGCCATTGCCGCAGAGGAGGCTTCCAAACAAACAGATCACCGTGGAAATGAGAAAGACGTTATGGATGGTGTTTTCAAACGGTTGGGGTTGAAGCAGATTGAGATCAACCCAGATGGACACTGTCTCTACTCTTCTATTGCCTATCAACTGGAAATGTTAGGCCTTGGCTTGAAGCCCGACCCGGAAAGAATTGTTCTTAAGTCCCCAACCCAGTCTCGCATCGATACAGTGGCATCGCCCCGGCACGATGGTTATAGAGCAGTTAGGGCCGTGACCGCGGACTTTATCAACGAGCACCAGGATGATTTTGTGCCCTTCATGGAGGAGCCTGTGGAACAATACACGCGCAAGATCAAGCTTACGGCAGAATGGGGCGGGCAACTGGAACTGTTAGCAATCGCTAGGGCGTACGGTGTTGAAATCAATGTCATCCAAGGTGACGGTAGGATTGAAAAGATAGAGGGTGACACTCAAGAGTATGATGAGGAAGAGAAGCGCAAACGTGTCATTTGGCTAGCCTACTATAGGCATACATATGGCCTGGGTGAGCATTACAACGCGCTTATGAAATGATCTCGGTTATCAAGGAACGTCGATAGACGATCAAAACCTACGTCACTACGAAGCCCAGGCTCCTTTCTGATATCTTTCCCGCCACGGGGCTTATCTCTTAGCGAGTCTTAAGTCTTTCGCCAACTCCACTTGTCTCGCTACTTAAGAATTTCTTTCGTGGAAAGGCTGTCACCGAGACCTTATTGCCCCAGCTTCGTCAGGTTCCGATCAAGTCGACCTTGGGCATCATAGAAGATTCCTCCCTCTGAGTGATCTAGGATCATCTTGTAAGCCTTACAACAATCACGCTCTCGCATTGTAGGATGTCAGCCCGATTATAGAAGTGTTCGGGGCTCGACCAATGCCCGGGAGAGAAAGCGTGGATTAATGCGCGACTGTTATTTGGATCCATAAAAGAAATCTTCTTGTCGGGAAAGTCCTGCCCGGTGCAGGAAGGATATGCATTGTCAGGTGTTTGACTATAAAACGGACCAGCCGATGGGAAAAAAATTCAATGTATAGATCCGATATCCGCTTACACAGGGCGTTATGTAATATGATTGTTAGAAGGAGCCAAAGCAATGTATCTGTGATTGTTACAGGTATTATCTAAATATTCTCAATACGTATTGGTTTATATACCTTATTTCCAGGCAAGGGATTTGCTTCTTGTTGCACTCAGTGACCTCCAGAACCCATCAGTAGACTTAATGGGTAACAGGGGTAACAGCACGGGCCAGTTCGCCATCGATGTTTGCTCATATAGAGCCAAACTCACACCAGGGCATCGGGAACAGAGTAGACCGATAGATGGCCATGCTCCCTAATACCAAAATGCTCCGCATTTCCATCATTCGTGCCCTGCTAGCCAAGCAGCTCTACCTCTGTATCACCGGTCGGGACAGAACTGGGTGACGAGGTTGCATCCTTCTCCCTCGCTTCCCCGGATATCGTCGGCCTGTGTGCATGAAATCTCCCCGCAGTCTACTCCTCTTGGAGGGAAATCTCCTGTTGGATCTGCACTGTCTCGGTGTCTAACTGTAGTCAATGCTGTCCCTTTCGCTTGTGGTTCCCCTCTGTGACTTGGTTTCCAACCAGAATCGAATTATGTCATTGCGATAGTTTTGCCCTGAGCGATACAAACAGGGCTCCACCGCAGAAGGCTCTTTTTTCTTTTTCTTTTTTTCCTTTCTTTTTTCCCCCAGCAGTTGGTGGTTCAGTAGGTTCAAATGTATGTCAGATGATGTGTAGTTCAAGACCATTGTTGTTTATTGGTCTGTGCGACGATGTTGAAATCCTGTGGGGGTAGATCTGAGCGCATACCAGTAGTAATGTAGTATTAGTATTAGGTAGTAGATCGCTACCCAGTAGCAAGCAAAATGCCATGCAAGCGTTCTATTCAAGTCGGACTGCTATTTCAACGAGCTTCATGGGCCGAAGACTCAATTTTCTTCAAGTCGAGCAGGTCTTATAGACGTAGTAAACTCCACCATAGCAGAGCACTTGTGCTGGGAGAGATCTAGCTCAAAACTCCAAGCGACGGCGCAAAAGGTCTGTTAGTAAAAGAATCATATCTCAAGCTCCCTTCGAACCCGGGCAGGCACCCTCGAAATGAAAATGCCTATACCAAGCTGAATCCGGACAAAGTAGATTCCATCCATCCGTGGACGCTTCCCCAGCTTGAATATAAGTCACATTGACACATGCATAAGAAATGGTTGCACTTGGCCGTGTCGCAAGTCAATAAATCAATATATATTAAATGACATGCATGTGAATTTGTCGTCAGCACTGCATGTCTCAGGTTATTGCGATTGATCATTCCTCCTATACGAGGCCCCTCATCATCATTCCCTTCTTCTGCTTTCCGTATATAAGTGATCTGGTTCTTCGGTCAAGGTCCGAAGCCTCATATCCCATATATTGCTCACTATCCCTGTCACAGAGACGCAGATAATCGACAATGAAACGGAGATCGCTCCTTGTTTTCCCGAGGCCATTCTCGTGCCTGCTCAAGGATAGGGAACCACTGGCGCTTGTGATTGGTGTGTTGACAGCCGAGGTTGTTGCCTTTCTGGGACTAGTATCGGTATCCATGTATGCCAGTGGCCTGTATGGACAGTATTCTTAGGTGTGAACCTTGGAGCCAGTCATCTCCGCTACACCCGCGGACCGGATTGTGGTCGCGGATTGCGGACGATGAAACAGCTGTACGAGAAACATCCTGGGGAGTTAATGCACGGTTTTATTGGAGGCGATTTTACTGTGTTGAACCAATGCGATGTAGGGTGTCTACTGTGTACTTAGTAACAGGTCCCCTGGGAGTTCTGATGACTCAGGATGTGTAATGTTACATACAATAATTACCACGGCTGGGGTGACCACGGCCATGTTGTGTATTGTCACGTACTGTCAACGGGGAAACAAGCACATGTTGTGGACGTCATCTACAGGTATAGTTCGAAGATCATTGACCTTTATATCTCTGTTTCTTGAACGACAATACCTATTATTATGGGAAAAATTTGCCTGTTCAACTATTGGCATCTATCAAAGACCCTATCAGCAAGCCCAAAATGCCCCTGAACGAGGTGAATAAATTATTCAGTTATGGTGTTACTCAGTGGCAACAAAGTATCGAATGTCCATTAGACCGAGGATCTTCGCAAAGTCTCGATCCTCTCTTCCGAACGCAGCACCAGTCAGCTTGCCCGACTCTCGGCACTGGCTTGTGAATTTAGCTCACGGCCAACCTAGTCCAATGATTAACTGCAGAAGATCTTGGTAAGATTTCCCCGGCGGGTGCGAAGCCGGAGCTCTGTGACATTCCTTCTTGTCCCGCTGAGCCGAGCGTTTACCGACAGGCCAGCCCTCTGACGCATTTTCATGGCGCGTGCAAACTGAATAAGTACCCTGGGTTTGGCCGAGCCATTCAATTGAAGCTTTTTGAATAGCAGACTTCCCTCCTCCTTTATCCTTTTCCTCTCCTGCGACCCTCATTCTTTCCTGGTCATCCGTATTCCTATCAGACTAAGGGGAACAGATCCACTGCATTAGTGCATATAGTCTGCATCGATTGTATTATATCATCTACCTCTCTCTATATCTTTTATCTTAGTTTTGAAAGCTCCCTATCATCATTAGCGCCATGGGTTATCTTGAGGACGAGGACAAGAAATACTTGGATGACGTCCAAGCCGTCAAGGCCTGGTGGAACGATTCCAGATGGCGACACACCAAGCGCCCCTTCACAGCAGAGCAGATTGTGGCGAAGCGTGGAAATCTGAAGATTGAGTACCCTTCAAACACCCAGGCCAAGAAGCTGTGGAAGATCGTTGAGAGCAACTTCGAGGTACGTTTTCAGACTGAAACAAGCCAAGAACTAGCTAATTTGTTATCGCTATAGAAAAAAGTGGCCAGCTTCACTTACGGTTGTCTCGAACCCACAATGGTTACCCAAATGGCGAAATACCTTGACACCGTTTATGTCTCTGGGTGGCAGAGTTCTTCCACTGCTTCCTCCACCGATGAGCCGTCTCCGGATCTTGCTGATTACCCCATGGTAAGCTGTACTTGTTCGGACCATATTGGATCATAAATTCGCCTTAACTAACATACCCAGAACACTGTGCCCAACAAGGTCAACCAGCTCTGGATGGCCCAGCTGTTCCATGACCGGAAACAGCGCGAGGAACGAATCACGACACCCAAGGAGAAGCGCGGAAACTTGCCAAACATTGACTACCTACGTCCCATCATTGCCGACGCTGACACTGGACACGGTGGTTTGACTGCGGTCATGAAGCTGACCAAGCTGTTCATCGAGCGCGGAGCTGCTGGTATTCACATCGAGGATCAGGCTCCTGGCACCAAGAAATGTGGCCATATGGCTGGCAAGGTTCTTGTGCCTATTAGCGAACACATTAACCGTTTGGTTGCCATCCGTGCCCAAGCTGATATCATGGGTACGTGTGACAGCTCTGGTCTTAGCTTTGATAGAGAATATTTTCAGCTGACTATGCCTAGGCTCCGATCTCCTTGCCATTGCTAGAACCGATGCGGAAGCTGCCACTCTCATCACCTCTACCATCGATTACCGCGACCATGCCTTCATCGTCGGCTCAACCAACCCCAACCTCCAGCCCCTCGTTGACCTGATGGTGGCAGCTGAACAGGCCGGAAAGCAAGGGGACGAGCTCCAGGCCATTGAGGACCAGTGGGTTGCTCAGGCTGGCTTGAAGCTTTTCAGCGATGCTGTCATCGAGGCCATCAACAAGGGGGCGCACTCCAACAAGCAGTCCCTCGTCGATCAGTACCTGAAGGCCGCCAAGGGCAAGAGCAACGCCGAAGCTCGTGCGATCGCCAAGAGTATCACTGGCGTTGACATCTACTGGAACTGGGATGCCCCTCGTACCCGTGAGGGTTACTACCGGTACCAGGGTGGCACCCAGTGTGCCGTCAACCGTGGTGTTGCCTTCGCCCCATTCGCGGATCTCATCTGGATGGAGAGCAAGCTTCCTGACTACGCCCAGGCTAAGGAGTTCGCCGACGGTGTCCACGCCGTCTGGCCCGAGCAAAAGTAAGTGCATCCCCATTAGGCGAACGCACGCAATATCGGACGCTAATAATGAACTTCTAGGCTTGCGTACAACCTGTCGCCTTCGTTCAACTGGAAGAAGGCCATGCCCCGCGATGAGCAAGAGACATACATCAAGCGCCTGGGTGCTTTGGGTTACGCCTGGCAGTTCATCACCCTGGCCGGTCTGCACACCACGGCCCTCATCTCTGACCAATTCGCCAGGGCCTTCTCCAAACAGGGCATGCGCGCTTACGGTGAACTGGTTCAGGAGCCGGAGATGGAGCAGGGAGTCGATGTGGTCACTCACCAGAAATGGAGCGGTGCCAACTATGTCGATAACCTCCTGAAGATGGTCACCGGCGGTGTCAGCAGTACCGCGGCCATGGGCCAGGGTGTGACGGAAGACCAGTTCAAGCACTAATCTCAGCTCCCAAGCCCCTATTGATGATTTTCTTTGCTTTAGCCGATTTTGAGTACCCACGAGCAGTTTTTGTTGTATAGATTGTAACCTCCTTGATGAAAAGGATCACGTTTTATATAGCATGATCTAGTTATCGCATTTTTTCCTTAAATCTTATTTTTTTTCCTTCTTTTTCCTACCACGGAATATGAACTTGGGTACAATCTGTTTCGGTAGCCGTAGTAGTCTACATAGCACCACGGTAGTAAAAGGGTCTGCCGTAACATCATTGCCAGCCTGTTGAAATGGTTACACCCAAAGAAGAAGGCGGCCTGAAACGTAATTCGCGCTAGTGAGACCTGAGCCTCGGAGCTTGAAAAGGGACCTTTTATAGGAAAAGTACAACCCCTCTACCAAATCAAGTTATATCAGCTTTAAATTCAAATAGTGTACTCAACTACCAGATCTCTCCTATATACTCTACTAAAACTACATATATAAGTGTTGTAGTATCCAATATGCTAATCCCGTAAAACATACAGTATAACACCCAACAGACATATCAGAAAATGTTGAAAAATTCTGCCAAGTCAAGGAGTTCGATGAGGTGCCATGCCCGCGGCCCGGTATGATCTGGTGCCCATCAGTGAAACTGGCCCTCTCCTAGGGAGATCACGGTTCCGCCCATATTATTTCTTCACGTTCTGTTCTATACACCCATGAAAATTTGCAGTTCCTCCAGGGAGCTCTTGTAACTCTAATAAATTCTTGTAGCCCGATTTCAAGAGTATAGTTCTGTACTTTCTTATAGTAGTAATACTGTATGTAGTAGACATATCCAACAATGAAAGATATCACAGTCTGTAGAAACAGCCGTCAAAATTAAGTTGATACTCAATAAAAACTTATAGACCATTTTCTTACCGAGGTATAACCATTCTGAGCGAAGAAAGAAGTAGGATGTTATTATAACCACCCAATCAAGAGGTTCTACCTATACGTTTAAGCATAGACGCAAGTCCCGCTAGTTACTAGACTGGCATATATCCTACGACTAGAGAACTTCGACCAATTCTAGTAACTCAGACATGTATAAAGACCAGGTGATAAGGTTCAAGGTTCGTTAGTCTAGGATAGCATATATCTCCACGGTAGACCAGACGGAGTACATAGACCGGGGGAAGATAGCAAGCCAAGCATGGTGACCATGGGAGACGAAATCTAATTTGTATATAGCAGCTAAAGCAATCCTAGTAACTAGTGGTGGTCTACAAAGGGTGAAAGGGGAAAGTATAAGCTATTTAGGTACTATACAATATCCTGTATTGACATTGAATTGAGGGCCTTGGTGGCTTATGAATCTATGATATAGCTATCTTTTAGGTACCAGTGATCGTTCAACCAACGCTCTCGGAGAACCCACAGCGACGTTTGGCTAGGCCCAATTCACAAAAAAGGGGGGAGTCCAATTGATTCTAGAAAGTAGTTGTTGTCAAGAAATGTACGGGAGTAAGAAGTACTTCGGAGATTTGGAGGACACCCAATGGAGAACTGCTTGCGAGGCTCCGTTGATCGCATGGCAAGTCGGTGTCGATCCCTGCCAAAAGAGAACAACAGTTGTGACCTGGAAAAGTAGCGGGGGAGGTCATTGGCTGGTCGCAAACTTAGAAAGCCCGAGGGATGGGACGATAGTGCCATGCCGCGTGGGAATGCTAAATCTCCCCGATTTTGTTTTTTCAAATTTTCGCATTACTGGTTTTCATACATTCTTTTAAATAGTAAATTTCTAGCATCTTAGCTTTTTTGAACAGTAGAATTAACTTAACACCTGCGGTTAAAATTAAGTCAAATTGGAGAGTTTATAGCTAACCCTGTTAGTTAACGCTTAGAGAGGAAATTATCCAGCCAAGGTTTATAAACTAAAACTTTTGTACAACTCTGTGCTTCCACTGTACACCCACCACCATTGGATGAATTGTGATTACAGTGAAGCCAGCCGCTTTTTGAATTCTTGACCTATAAAGTATAAATCCCCCAGGGGCAAAGTAAAGAGAAGTCGGAAACGTAATGTAGGTAAAGAAGGAACAACATTAACAACCATATTTTGTCCATGATAGCTCGGGATGAAGAATCCTGTAGAAGCTGTGTTGTGGTCAGACGTTTCTCTGGGCAGTAACTGAAGACTCTAGACATAATGGAATGCGTATATTCTCGCTCAATTGGATCAGCTTCGGGACGAAAGTATGAAATTGTTGATGCAAGGTCATGATTTGGATCGGGCGTTTTATGCTGATCCAGGAATCAAGGCCTCCAGGGTAAATGTAATGGCCCTCACACTGCTCAGGAAGCGGAACCACACATTGGGTAATACCAGCATTTATTCCACCCTTAGTCCAGGTAGGGAAAGGCTGATAGCCAAGGCGGAGCTCAGCGAAGATGATCATATAACTCCACATAGTGCAGGCAAAGCTTGGGTTTTTCCTATGAAGTCGATCTGGGGAGCAAAATTGCATAGGCGAGAGGCCGTGTTCAGCCATGGTGTCTCCAATTTCCATCACCAGACCGAAGTCACCGAGGTAGAATTCCCCTGTGCGCAAGCTTTCAGGAATATTAAATATGGACGAACCAGCTCTCCCTGCTTCCAAAGGTCGAAAAATGGTATAATTTGCTTAAGTAACCTCCCGAGTGCCTCATATTTAGCATTCCAGTGGGAAATGGAAACATCCACCACATACAGTTCCTCTCATTCAAATCTGTCAAATATCCATTAGAATGCGGACCAACGGGAAAGAGTGCGAGATAAAATTCGCTCTCGAGGTGTACAATTCCAACTTTATGTAATCTTTCCAGCGCCTCTAGCAATTAACGGGCAGCAGACATGCTAGTGGCCATGATCATATTTCTCAAGGTAGCAATGCAAAGGCATGGGACCAACAAGGGAGCATTAGAACTCTATGATGGCACTTGTTTCCAGGGAGTAGAAAGGTTGCCTGATATGTCACGAGATGGGAGGTATCCTGCACATCCTGAAAAATTTTGTCCTGCACGCGGAGTTCACTTTCTCCCCATTCTCTCAAAGTCATAAAGTTTTAAGAGCCACATCCTTCTTATCATGAAGATCGTGGGACATCCAGACATTGGAGAAGCCGCCAGAGCCGATTTTACGGTCTATCAGGTATCTCTCATTGAGCACTTCTCCGACACGAATGGGATAGAAGACATGCGGAGTTACCGTTATACTATACTTAGTCAAGGGCTCGATAACCTCTTCGAGGTCAAGTTTCTTCTCTTCATTGCCCACAAAGTCACTGAAGTCTGCCGCGTCATCACCGTTACGGTGTGCGGTCGCCGTTATTGCCATGGCTGGCACTCCACTCGGGAGTGTCTTACTGTCAGCTAGCCTTAGCGACTATGTATTGAGGCTGAATGGGGTGATGGAGGTGTTGTTCAGGGAGCAAAGCAAGCCTATTGTCGCCGGTAACAAAGAAAGCACATACAGCTAAACGCGGAAGATAAAGAAGTTACGCCAACGCCTGGAAGAAGAGCAGCGACAACGTGAGCAAGCTGAGCAAAGGCCGACCCTGATTGACAACTCATTGATAGCAAGGGATATATGTACATAGGGTTATCCAGTGGTTGCTGAAGCGACAGTGAACTATGGGAACACCGTTGAGTGCAATACGGCCGAGATAGGCGTGTTAGAATTAAAGCCATCCCTGGCGTCATCATCCCGACCAAAGAACATCGTGTTCTCTAGGGTGTAGTAGTTTGGGGCTGATTTTCCTCAGTACTACATATATCATAGGGTTTTAAGGGTACGGTACATATACTTAACACCCCACATTTCCAGTGTTGGTTGACAGCTTGCATCACCCCGCCCATGGACCCCCCTTTTTTTTGCCCCGAAAGTTTTACTAACCTTATCAGAAATTTGTAAACCCTGCAAATTTACAAATTCCAATACAGTCCTAGCCATACGTAACATTCAGGTTTCCAGATACCAAAATTAGTCGTTACTGATGAAAGGTGAGGAACTGCTCCTCCGATCTTGATGCACTGAAGGGGGGAATACCGCGGTTCAACTCCCTGCCGATGAGGGGAAGACGATCATGTGGCTGCTTAGGTGACCTTGTTCTTATTTTAATTAGTCGACCTACCTGATAAATCATATATCTATTCTGGTTGACTGTCATTGATATAGTTCACTCTTTCTCTTTGGTTGGCGTTGTTCTAGACATAGACAATCAAGGGCAAGCAATAACACCTGATCAGCCCATAGATACCTACCCGTCTCCGCATTGTCCAACGATATTCTCCCTTTCCAGTCCCCCAACAATTGCCACCATGGTCGCTTCGAGTATCCCCCCTCTCCAGTATACTCCTATTGAGCATATTCAGGGTCGCGTGTCTACGCTTCGCAAGACCTTTTTGGAGCATAAGACCCGCGACCTTGAGTTTCGGTTGGTCCAGCTCCGGAAGCTCTACTGGGCGTATGTCCGCACTCCCCTAGCATTGAATCCCACGATGCACAGTATGACTGACACACCTGTTTTGATTTTGCAGTCTCAAGGATCATGAGCAAGAGATCGCTGCTGCTTCGGCCTTAGACTTGAATAAACCTCGCTTCGAAACCGAGATTGCCGAGAGCGGGTGGTTGCAGAATGACATCGTGTTTGTGACTCGAAACTTGCGCAAATGGGCCCAGGATGAAAAGGCCGAGGATATCGATCTTACCTTTAAATTTATGAGCCCCAAGATCCGAAAGGATCCACTGGGCTGTGTTTTGGTTATTGGGTGAGTACACCCCGTCCCTTTGAATGGAACCTCCCAAGGCGGCGGCCCGGAACTTGCGAAAGCATACTAATAGATTCCCTTAAACAGTGCTTTCAATTTCCCCTTCCAATTGACACTCGGCCCGGTCATCGGTGCTATTGCAGCTGGTAATACTGTTGTGATCAAGCCTAGCGAAAATGCTCCCAACTGTGCTGTGGTCCTCCAGCGAATTGTGGAAGCATCTCTCGATCCGTCCTGCTACACTGTTATTCAAGGAGGGGTCCCCGAGACTCAAGCTTTGCTCGCTGAACGATTCGATAAAATCTTCTTTACCGGCGGGGCCACTGTTGGCCGTATTATTGCCAAAGCAGCTGCTCCTCATCTGACCCCGGTTGTGCTGGAATTGGGTGGTATCAACCCGGCCATCATAACCAAGAACGCCAATCCGAGACTTGTTGCGCGGAGACTTCTATGGGGTAAATTGGTAAATGCTGGCCAAATCTGTACCTCACAAAACTACCTGCTGGTTGACAAGGAACTTGTCCCTGCTGTTGTGGAGGAGTTCAAGAAGGCCTATAAGGAGTTCTATCCTCAGGGAGCGAAAGCATCGCCAGACTATTCTCGTATTATTAATGAGGGCGCATTCCATCGCATCAAGTCGATGCTCGATCATACTAAGGGTAAGATCGTGATGGGAGGTACAATGGACGAAAAGGAGCTCTTTATTGAACCAACCCTGGTTTTGGTGGACTCTGTCGATGATTCAATGCTGGTGCAGGAAAGCTTCGGTCCTTTGATTCCTATCTTGCCCGTGGAGAACCTCGAAGAGGCAGTCAATATCGCCAATGGAATTCAGGCCACCCCTCTAGGTCTCTACCCGTTTGGATCCAAGGCAGATACTGAAAAGAGTAAGTTTCCGCACCCTTTATCTCCCCGTTATTGCTAGAAGGATATACCATGGAATTAGCCGTACGAAATTATCTGACAATTTTCTAGTTCTCGCCACTACTCGCTCTGGGGGTGTCTCCGTGAATGATGCTGCTTTGCACATCCCTACCCTTCCATTCGGCGGTGTCGGTGAAAGTGGTTACGGCGCCTACCGTGGAAAGGCCAGCTTCGACGTGTTCGTTCATCGTCGTCCCATTACTAGCTCCCCCAGCTGGCTCGAATCTATCCTCTCGATCCGCTACCCGCCATACGCAGGCAAACTGAGCAAGTTCAAGGCAACTAGCACGCTTGCACCCGATTTCGATCGCAATGGAAACAAGATCCGATTCGGCTGGCTACGTTATATTCTCACTCTTGGCGGAGGTACTGCAAAGGCTGGTGCTGGCAGGGCTGTCGTCGTTGCTGCTGGTAAGTGACAATTTCGTCTGGTTCTTCGGAATACTCGACAGATATTCCTGCCCCTTCCTTCTTTTCCCCCTTGATACACCGCCCCGACCTTTAAAAACGCCTTAATTCTTATTATCATTACCTCGCCAGACCGAGAATGATCCCGGCCGATACCCAAACCCACCCCCCTTTTGGATTCTGGAAAACTTGGTTCTTCCATTTGTCCGATTTCCTTTCTATCATCTTTTTCGTCTGAGATACCATTTTGTTCATTTTATACCCAGCTACACTATTGGCTTAATATTCTCCCATTTATGATGGACTTACTCACAAGCTATTTTTAATAGTGGCCTATCTCGTGCTCCAGGTTCTCGAGCGCCGAGCTTCGAAGCTTTAATCTGATCTAATAACATTGAATTGAATATATAACTTCTTGGTTGGCTAGTGTTATCTACTATCTTCTTGGACTGGAAAAGATGAACATGTATTTATTGTATGATTGGGATTATCAAGGATCTTCAAGCTAGCTAGGTAGTGTGTTAATCTACGAGTTGCTTTCACCTTCGATGAGATCTAAGTTCTAGCTATTCTAGTTGAAATGTATATAAAGTAACATTATTCGTATCAGGCAAATGAAGAATGCTTATCATCTATATGAAATCCTTGGTAAATTGTCATCCATGTAGCCAAACAGAGCAGGGATGAAAGAAGATAAAAAATTCAAAAAGGTAAAATGATATATATCAACATCTCCTCTCCACACCTTTTCGACTAACACATAGATACTTCACTCCTTTGTAGGGCTTCACCGTCTCGCCCAAGCCACGACTTCGGCGGGGATCAATGTTCAAACTGTCCACTTTAATTCCCGATGGAAGCCAGCCTCTGACTGAGAATGATACAGAGGCAGAATTAGGCATGAGAGTTGCATTTAACTGGGTTTTGGTTTTGCGCTGTGAAGTGTGGAAGATTGAGTTGGAGGAGTCGTCGGTTGAGGTTGGTTGTTGTTGGGGTGAAGGGGATGGCTGAGGGGGTGTCGGGGGTTGTGGTTGTGATTGCTCAGGGGTCATTTCCTGTTGTGGATCTACATGTGCCATGGCGGTGCGAGAGATCTTCTTGACCTTCTTCTTTTTCTTCTTCTTGGTTTTCCGCTTTGTTGTCTCTCCTTCGGGGTTTTGGTAGGATGTTGAAGCCGAGGCGTCGTAGTAGCCCTGGAGGAGGTTTGCATCTGGATCGACGTCTTCAAAATCTTCATCGAAGTCGTCGTCGCCGGTTGGATATCCGGATACGGTGCAACGGAGGGTTGCGGTGCCCGAGACAGTGCCGGCGTCTTTGGTCGGAACTCGCCATTCCAGAACATTGTTTCCAGGAGAGAACAGGGCATCACCGCGGCTGGCTTGCAAGTCTGTGATATTTCGGACTGAATTCGGGATTGGTATCGTAACCAGGACATCTTCTAAGACAGGGCCCGAGGAGTTCCCGCCTCCAAGAAATGACGGCGTCGACGTGCCGGATCCGCCTCGTCCTCCTGGCCGGTTTAAGGATGAATACCCCGGGAAGTTTGTGTTGAGGATCAGCCGGACTTCGAATTCGGAACCAGTTGGGCCGAGGGATTTACGAATATCTACAATGGCAGGCAAAAAGAGCTTCTCCATATGACTCGGTGGTTCATCAAGACTCGGGTCAATGGGTAAAAGGTCTACCTCATACCCCGCAAGAATAAATCGCCCGTCTGGGGGTATGAAGCTCAGTTCTCCAGGTCGCTCTCGCCATTTAGCCAGTCGTACGCAAGGATGGAATACGGGTAGCTCAAGCTTTCGCCCAATGGCCTGCTGACCGCCAGGAGCCGTCAGGGAGAGTAATAATTCAGGAACACCGGATATCTTGGCCGTGAAAGCGATAGTGCCGGACACCAAGGCAGAGAGTAACCGACCTGATGGTGCCATTGTGACCGAAAGTGATTCGATAATGTCGACATATAGTTCGTTAGAGGTGTGCCGTACTCCAGGTCTTCTCCAAGGTATCGCAGGTCCCTGAGCCGCGGTATTGGCCGATATTGACCGTTTGAGTGTATTTGGGGCCCCTAGAATTGGCGTAGAAGAACTTTTCAAAGGCGAAAATGTTAGCAACCGATACATAGGTGGCCATGCATGACAAGCCTCTTCCATAGTATCCAAGTGAACAGGATATGAGAGACTAACCCAGAGAGCCCGACACCACCCAGCAACTTCCCCATCCACCCCGGCATCTCCACAACTTCCTGGAGCGCATTTAGCTCTGTATTGCACACGATGCCCGCATCGCACATCTCATTGAGCAACTGTGCGACCACTTCATAATTTGCCTGTATTTTATGCGAGATTAATGGTGCTCCGACGAATTCCTCAAGTATGTCCACTACGCGATGTAGGAACTCTAGCGCAACGAGCGGCTCCGTATCAACTTCGGAAAGGGCCAGAAACAGCAAATTCGACTGGACAACCGAGAAGACAGTTACTGGTGGCGTAGCATTAGGGATGTAGAGGAGGGACGGCCGCGGAGCTGGATGCGACGTGTAGAGGGGTAAGATGGTAGCTGCGGAGGGCGGACGGGAGCGATAGATCTGCTCTACAAGAGGATTGCTGGCCAGAAAGTCAGCTCTTACTTGATAGCCAGAAAAAAAGTCAATCGGGAAATAAGATATACTTATGCTCGTCGTAGATATACAGCGCATCAATCTCCCCGCTCATTATGCCGATTTGTCCGGGTGCTCTATCGGTGGGGAGAAACAACGATATGAATAGCGCTCATGACATCGTTAAGATGTCCCCGGATTCTGCCGCCAATCGCCGCCTTGTGGATTTAATCAATGCGATTCCTATCGCTAGAAATCGTCTTGTTTCAAGTTATTGATTCAGCTGTTTTACTTGGGCAGTGGTACACTGGACATATTCTACGGAACTGTGCAAATACCCGCACTAACTATTTTACTACATCTGATATTCAACAAACCATTTCCGATGACTTCAACCTCGGAGAATAACGGCCAGGCCTGGGACGTCGAGTCCAAAGAGGCCAAACGCCTACTGGCAGAAGATAAATTTGACGACTGTTTAGCGTGCAGAGCCACCGGTCAGTTTCCTCCAGCTTTCCAATATAAATGAGTACAAAACGAGCTAGTGGGATATCGTCTGACACATTTATACGATGCATTCAGGCTCCGCCGCGTTTATTGGTCTCGGCGTGTATAGCTACTATACGGGCATGAGCAATCTGCAGAAGCAGGAGCGCGCAGTCATGCAGAGCGCCACAAAATACAAAATGGGCTCGCGGAGGTTAGGTATTGCGACTATCTCCGCGACACTGGTGGGAATGGGAATTTACAGGGCATTTAATTGAGATGTGTATGTGTGTATGTATAGTAGCCTTAATATAAAATACTCCGCTTCGAAGTTTAGAGTTGGATTAGAACAACTAGAAGATAGAAATGTTCGCCTGGGGTGGTCGTCATATATGCATATTAACGAAGTAGAAAGAACGATGAAGAACAAAAGAATAACTATACGAAATAAGCATCACAAGAGCTGCTCCACCGGGTATCACCAGATCTGATAACCTCTATATGTTTAGCCGTTATAACAAAACAGGAAGCCAATGAAGAGAAAAGGCTGGAATATGATGACAACAAGTAGTGGCCGAAAGAAGACCACATGCGATACTCCCTCCAAATGCACCGTGAATTCAAGAATATCAATCAAACGCTGCGTTACCATAAGAATATTAGGTTCGTCCAATCGTCGATACTAAATTCTCTAGGTGAAACGGCCGCGTTTGCCGCCTCCAAACATATCCCTATTCCCTAATCCTGATATGTCGAAGAAATCAGGCACTGTAAACTTTCGTTTAGACCCCGGAGGGGCCGAGGGCTCCCGTGTAGATGCTCGAGGGTTCGTCCGTGAAAAATTGTTGTGCCGGGCTTGTTGTCGAGAGGTTCGAGGAAGAACAGATACACTCACGGGTGAATTATCCTGAGATGAGGCTGTCGAACTGTCGGAGGATTGCATGTCTACATCAGGTTCTTGGCAAGGCGGAAACGAGGGTCCAGCAGAGAAAGTAAAGATGGCGGGTCTATCGAGGGTATTGGTGTCGGTGACTTGAGCGTTGGGAACGGGTGGCTGCTGCTGTGCAGAAACTGACTCGTCAGGCGACGTCGACTTGGGTGGTGGTCGAACGCTATCTGTCTTGGGCTGTTCCTTGCGTGTAGTAACAGGGCTGGTGCTTCGAGGTTGCTTCTCAGGTTCATCGTCATCACTAGGGGTGCCGGTTCCATCACACCTTTCAGCTGCCCATTGTCGAATTTTTGATCCTTCTCCGCCAGTGAGGCCGAGGCTCTCCTTATCTAAAAACTGTAGTAGATCCTCAATTGCTTCTTGGTAGCCTGCCTGTTTTGCCTGTGCCTGCTCGTAGACTGCATTCTTATAAAGATTGGTAACGGACAATGCAGCCGCTTTGAATGATTGTAAAAGTTGCTCGGGGGGTTGAGGACGAGGGGTTGAGCTAGGTAGCGATGTGTTCAGCGACCTCATGGAGTCCATAGTAAAATGTGCTGCAAATCAAGCCGCTGTGCTGAAGTATTTTTCCTTAATCGCAAAGCAATATGTATTCGGCGCCACTAAGAGGGGCGAAGTGACCCGTGCTCCCTAAAAAGATGATACCAGCGAATTCAGCACTGATATAGAGATGGAAAGAAGGAAACAAGACCAATGAAACAATGAAACAGAGTCACACCCCACGGAGAAATCAGGAAGGTGGTAAGAAGGATTAGGTTGAGAGTAAACAAGGAAACCTGGTGACGATGATCAGTGATGATTAGTTGTGCAGGTGATGTTTCTTTGCTTTTGTCCCGGTAACGTGACCCACCGCGGGGAAACATCTCTTCCGCAAACTGCTGACTCATTTTTGACTAAGCCTAGTCTTCGCGTCTCCTGTCCAATAAGCGCGTAGAATGGCCGCCCTTCTCCGACGAAATTCCATTTGCCATCCCGGCGCGACTGACGACTACTTCTTTCGTCCTTCATCAACCTGTATTGTTCAATTCCCGTTCCTTGTTGCATGCTGGGAACCAGTCCTTTCATTAGCCTCATCCCGCCCCATCCGATCTTGACACGGTGGGCAATCATTTTTCTATTCTCTTCACCCGATTAATCCCTGTCCTACTTCCGGAGGGCTTATAAGGCGTGTTCGGCTCTATATACAAAACAAAGGTGACTTGCGCTTAGTGCGCTGAGCACGAACATGGCGCCTTCGTTCGCCCCGAATTCAGAAACACCCTCTCAGGTAGATACGCCTATGACTGATGCTCATGAGGAACCTGTCACATCAGTACCTGTGGACGACGCGCAAATGACGGTGGGTGACAGAACCTAGCTACTTGTTTTTCGCAGAAGCTCTAGCTTGCGCGCGTTCAGAAACAGCAAACCGTATGGCCTAGGGACTCCCTGCTGATTGCTATTTTGTACAGGGCTACCAGGACACTCCGGACTACACGGTATATTCTGCACGATTTACCCACCGTTGACAGCACGCAGGCTAACCAGCGCGAATCAGGATTCAGATACAAACCCAAACACCACAGCAAGCAGTGTTGCAGGCGACACAATCCCAGTCGATGGCCGAAGGAAAAGGTCTGAGGCATTCCATTTAAGAAAGAGCATCCTGGGCAAAAAGCACGGTCGTCTGGACGAGTCAAAGGTATGACAGATCACCTATCATCTCACCTATCCCCGCTATGGTTACTTATGTCTATCTAATATAGGAAGATGATTCAATTCGGAGATTCCGTTACCTTCTCGGGCTTACTGATCTGTTTCGCCATTTTATTGAAACTAACCCTAATCCACGGATCAAAGAGATAATGGCGGAAATCGATCGGCAAAATGCCGAGGAAGAGGCAAATGCCAAGAAAGGGTCATCGCGTTCAGGTGGTGCGGGTGGTGATAGGCGTCGCAGGACGGAACAAGAGGAAGACGCAGAGCTATTGAAAGATGAGAGAAGCGGTGGCGAGACCCGCACCGTTTTCCGTGAATCCCCACCCTTCGTCAAGGGAGAAATGCGTGATTATCAAATTGCTGGATTGAACTGGCTTGTTTCTCTGCATGAGAATGGTATTTCAGGTATCCTTGCGGATGAAATGGGATTGGGTAAAACCCTTCAAACCATCTCTTTCCTTGGGTACCTTAGACATGTTTGCGATATTACAGGACCTCACCTCGTCGCAGTGCCCAAATCCACACTTGATAATTGGAAACGTGAATTTCACAAGTGGACCCCCGAAGTCAATGTCCTTGTTCTTCAAGGAGACAAAGAAGAGCGCCATAGGCTAATTAACGAACAGCTTCTTGATGAGAACTTCGACGTGTGCATTACGAGTTACGAAATGGTCCTTCGGGAGAAATCACACCTTAAGAAGTTTGCCTGGGAATACATCATCATTGATGAAGCTCATCGAATCAAGAACGAAGAATCCTCGCTCGCACAGATCATCCGTGTCTTTCATTCTCGTAATCGGTTGCTAATTACCGGTACCCCGCTGCAGAATAATCTGCATGAACTATGGGCTCTTCTAAACTTCCTTTTACCAGATGTTTTCGGTGATTCGGAGGCCTTCGATCAATGGTTTTCTGGTCAAGACTCTGATCAGGACACCGTTGTCCAGCAACTTCATCGAGTGCTGCGACCCTTCCTACTCCGTCGTGTTAAGAGCGACGTAGAAAAGAGCTTGCTGCCCAAGAAGGAAGTCAATCTTTATGTGCCTATGTCTGAAATGCAGGTCAAATGGTACCAAAAGATTCTTGAAAAGGACATTGATGCCGTCAATGGTGCAGCTGGAAAGCGCGAATCTAAGACCCGATTATTGAACATTGTTATGCAACTTCGTAAATGTTGCAACCACCCCTATCTTTTTGAAGGAGCCGAGCCTGGCCCTCCTTACACAACGGACGAGCACCTTGTTTATAATGCTGGCAAGATGTCCATTCTGGACAAACTCTTAAAACGTATGCAGCAACAGGGAAGTCGCGTTCTTATTTTCTCCCAAATGAGTCGTGTGCTTGATATCTTGGAAGACTACTGTGTCTTCAGGGAATACAATTATTGCCGTATTGACGGCACGACAGCCCACGAGGATCGTATCGCTGCAATTGATGAGTACAACAAGCCGGGGTCGGAGAAATTTGTCTTCTTGCTCACCACTAGGGCGGGAGGTCTCGGTATCAACTTGACAACTGCAGATATCGTTGTCTTGTACGACAGCGATTGGAACCCTCAAGCTGATCTGCAGGCCATGGACCGTGCTCATCGTATTGGGCAGACGAAACAAGTGGTCGTATTCAGATTTGTAACAGAGAATGCAATTGAGGAGAAGGTCTTGGAACGTGCGGCCCAAAAGCTGCGATTAGATCAGCTTGTCATCCAACAAGGTCGAGCACAGCAACAGACGAAAAATGCCGCGTCAAAGGAGGAATTGCTTGGTATGATTCAACATGGAGCTGCCAACGTTTTCAGCAATGAAACCTCGAATTCATCCTTGAATGCCGACAAACAAATCTCGGATGACGATATCGACGCCATTTTACGTAAAGGCGAGGAGCGAACCGCAGAATTAAGCAAGAAATATGAGAAGCTTGGTATCGATGACTTACAAAAGTTTAGCTCTGAAAGCGCATACGAATGGAATGGAAAGGATTTCACGGATCGCAAGAAGGACATTGGTCTCAATTGGATCAATCCGGCGAAACGTGAGCGGAAGGAGCAGTTCTATTCTATAGACAAGTACTACCGCCAGGCGTTAGCTACTGGTGGAAGGACGGCCGATCCCAAACCGAAAGTGCCTCGGGCACCTAAGCAGATCGCTGTTCACGATTGGCAATTCTTCCCTCCAGGCCTCCAAGAACTACAGGAGAAAGAGACCGCCTATTTCCACAAGGAAATCGGCTATAAGGTTCCACTTCCCGACGGACCCGATGAGGAACTTAGCGAGCGCGAAGCCGAGCGCGATTTAGAGCAGCAAGAAATCGATAATGCCGTGCCATTGACGGAGAAAGAGCAAGCGCAGAAGGCGGAGATGTCGGAAGAAGGCTTCTCTACTTGGAACCGCCGTGATTTCCAACAATTCATTAATGGGTCGGCCAAATTTGGGCGTACTGATTACGTCGGGATCGCTACTGAAGTGGATAGCAAAGAGCCGGACGAAGTTGAGGAGTACGCTAAAGTCTTCTGGAAGCGATACACTGAGATTCAAGACTACCCGAAGTATCTCCGCGTCATTGAACAAGGAGAAGAGAAACTGCGGAAGATGAACCACCAGCGAAAGATGCTTCGCAAGAAGATGGAGATGTATCGCGTTCCGCTTCAGCAACTCAAGATCAATTACACTGTGTCTACGACTAACAAGAAGGTGTATACCGAAGAAGAAGATCGATTCTTACTCGTGATGCTGGACAGGTATGGAGTCGACGGTGAGGGCCTGTACGAGAAAATCCGGGATGAAATCCGCGAGTCTCCACTCTTCCGGTTCGATTGGTTTTTCCTTAGCCGGACACCTGTCGAAATTGGCCGCCGTTGTACTACCTTATTGAACACCGTTGCGAAGGAGTTTGAAGTTGCTGATGTGAAGACTAATGGGGAGTCTGGCAAGGGCCGTGGGCGTGATCGAGACGATGAGGATGCTGAGAACGACGACGACGGAGCCCCTGTTAAAAAGAAGAACAAAGGCGGCGCGGTGGTAAGTTAAGTCCTATCAATCTCTTCGAGTATTCAACTAACGAGTATGGTTTCATAGAATAAGCAGGTCAAAGCTGTCAAAGGCAGCACCAAAGCGAATTCTACATCCACATCGCGGGCAGCCAGCGTCTCATCCAACACGGCATCCAAGGCAAAAAGTCGCAAGAAGTAAATCTTAGTGTACTCGATAGTTGTTTGAACAGCTCAATATTGTTATGACCATTCTGCAGAGTGTTTGGGAAGGTAATTGGCCGTGCAAAGGGGTTTGGTTCTTTTTCGATATAAGTCGGTCTGGCGTTGGCTCATAGATGCCATTATTGATGTTTCACGGGTCTTGTTCTATCTTTCTGTGTAATACAATAACTATTTGATCTGGAATGTATACAAAAGCCATCAATTAAGTAGAATGCTTTCCGAAGTGGAGTTTTCGTATCAGATAACTTAACCTCCTCGGCAGGAAAGGAAGCACATCACTTGAGTATCATATGACGGGAGAAATCACTGCCTTGCTGGCAGGGACATGTGACGTCGTCACTGCGATATTTATCTTACTATCTATATTAGGCAGCTTTTGTTGTGCCACAATTTATTGTAACCCCTCTATGTTGCCGTGTGCTGAATTTCATTGGAGCGACGGTCCCTCACTGTAACTGTAGATCTTTAGCGTCCAAGGTATGTGCCCAGAATCAGCTGAATTCGCAGATAACCACTACGTAGCAGTGGATACGCTGAAACTAAGGACAGTAGTGATGGCTACCTTGGAACTCATTATCATTCCATCTTCCTCTTCGCTCTACTAGATGTGCACCCAGGTTTATATAAACAGACGCAATCATGGCATTCAAGATCGTTCTTGTTGAGAATCCAAACTACCGCAGATCGGGAATCAAGTCCTATGTTCATTTGATGCGCAAATACCGCTTGCACCCCACTAAAGATGGTCCCTATTCTATCGGTCGAGCGTTTTATCAGACTGGCCGTCCCTTCACTACTAAACCTATCGGTGGTCGAGTTCGCTTTCACGACGTAATTAAAAAACGATTGTCGGAAAACGAGATGCAACAAGTTGAGCCAGATGATATTCAGAATGATGCCCCGTTTTTCACGCCGGTTAGCATGGGGACCCCAGCTCAGTCTTTGAACTTGATCTTGGATACAGCATCTCCTGATATGTGGGTATGATAGGCCCTGTATATTCATGAAGAAAATACTATACTGACGCTAGCAGGTGCAATCGAGTGAGCTTCCTGCTGATGCACTTCCTCAAGGCAGGGAGAGGAACCATACTTTCGACGCTGAAAAATCAAACACATTCAAAGCTTCTGAGGAGTCATCATGGAAAATATCCTCTATAGACAACTCCTCAGTATCTGGTACCATCGGTATAGATAATATTACCATTGGAGGGGTGGCCATCAAAACACAGCCCGTTCAGCTTGCGAAAACCATATCCCAAGCATTCACACAGTCTTCAGCAGATGGGGTTCTGGGGCTTGGATTTGGGGACACCAGTAGTACTGGGCAGGATGTGAAGTCTCTAGCTGAGCGCCTGCTTACTAGCGGCGACCTCGAACCTTCTGCAAAACTTTTCACGGCAAAGCTCGGATCTTGGGGTGATTCTGGCCTGAAGCAACCGTTCTGTACGGTTGGCTATATTGATCAGAACGCCGTAGGTTATTGTGGCCATGATATTCACCGCACGCCTATCGACAACAGTCGAGGTTACTGGATGTTTGATTCCGCTTCTGCAACAATTGCTGGAGAGGCCAGGACTCGATCCAAGAATAAGGCCGTTGTCGATACTGACGCAGCGCTGACTCTACTTGATGATCAAACATGCCAGGCCATTTACGATTCTATTCCAGGCACACTCTATGATCGTGAAAGCCAAGGTTTTCTCATCCCGACTGGCATAGATGCGGAAAAGCTTCCCGCCATTCAATTAGCAGTAGGGGAGAAATCCTTCGCAATACTAAAGGAAAGTCTATTATTTGCGGAAGCTAGGCCTGGCTACGTGTACGGGGGTGTTCAGAGCCGTGGGTCGTTAGAATTTGACGTTCTTGGTAGAACATTTTTGGAAGGGATATATGCGGTGAGTTTTCCATTTCACCAAAGACTTGTCGTTTCTTTGTCTAACGAGAGAAATGACATAGATATTTGACATTGGTTCTCTTCAATTCAGTGTCATACAGGCGAGAACTGAAGAATAGAGTCAAACATTTTAGGATTTAAATGAAGTATCATGATGATTTGGTTCTATTCTAGTGATGTAAATGGAGATACTTGGGTTTGTATATAGGGTTGGATTATGCTAATGTACAAGTGATATATTTACAAATACTTTATAGATCTTCCTTCTGTTCCAGGCTCACCTAGATTTCTTTAGAGGCACACCGGCCACCGCAAGTGGTACTCGCAGAAACATTTCCATCAACAGCGCCGCAGCCACACTCACGTTGAGACTGTCCACTCTGGAAGGATCAGCTTCGACACCAAGGGGCGTGCCGAGTCTAGCCCCAGGGATACTCACGATAGAGTCCGCATGCGATTTGATGTGACGACTCAATCCGGATCCCTCGCTTCCCATCATGATAACGCAAGGCGATTGGTTGCCACTATGGTCCCCATCTTTACCATCCACAGCAGAAAGGTTGTCCACATATGTGGAAGCTGGGCCTGGGGCATCTGCGGCGTAGAATCTCCATCCATTGGCCTTCGACCGCTGGATGAAATCTACTTCATTGCTCACTTCGAGAAGAGTCATGTTTTCGGCCGCTCCAGCCGAGGCTTTGATTGTCACAGGAGACAGAGGGGCCGAGTTTCGACCAGCGAAAACAATAGCATCGACTCCAAGGTAATATGCGGAGCGAATGATGGCACCCAGGTTTCCAGGGTCCACAATCCCGTCCAGTAACAAAACGACGGGGTATCTTCTTCTTTGTTGCCAATGATTAATCTTAATGCGGTCATTTGTGCTATTCACCAATGCTTCTTCTCTTGACTGAACGCCCAGTTCCACACTGAAACAGTCCTCTTCCACAGATGAAACGCTCCTCAAGCTCCTCACAGGCAACCTAGGCAAAGGAGACGCTTCCAGGATGCAACCATTATGAGGCCGACTAGAACTCATTTTATCAAAAAGACGATCCCATCCTGCGAAGGCCATCTTAACTTTGATATTTTTCGAAAGAGCAAGTTTGCGCAGGGCAACCTTAGAAGAGTTCAGTTCTTCACCGGCAGCCTGGTACAGATACAGTTTGTATAAGCGACGTCTGCCGCAGCGCATGGCAGCCTCCACCGCGCTGGTTCCATAAACGAATTCTGATGCAGGTGTCGTGTATGGAATTGAATCTGGGACTTGGACGTTCTCCTTGATCCGCTCTGGTACTTTCTCTGTAGCACGGTGGTGTTTCGGTGTCTCTGTTCGGCGAGGGAGGCGCTTTTCATGAGGTCTGTCACGAATCTCACGATCATTACGCCCCATATTTCCATTCCTCATGGGCTTCCTATTGTTCTGGAAGCGTTGATGCTCACGAGGCAACGCACGGAAGTTCCCTGTCCTAATAAACTCATCTTCGTCAAAGTCACCCTCAACCCTTTCTCCGCGTTGGCTCTTCTCCGTTCTGTACGGCTTTGACTCCCTTCTTTGCCTTTGAGGCCGTTCATAGTCAGAGTCAAACGAATTTCGCGATGAAGGGGAGCCCTCTAAACCCTGGGTCTTGCGGATGCCACGACCAATGGCCGAGTTGAGTGAAGCACGTCTCACATGATTCAAGGGAACAAAAGGTGCTATAGATAAGCGCATATAGGTGTGTAATGGACTCAACAGCGACCGACGAGACATTGCAGCTGATCAAAGAAACGAGAAATAAATTGATAGAAATGAAAAAATCCTTGCTCCGGGGATGAAGCTATCGCGGTTGGGCATGCATGACTTTTGGCATTTTCACTACTGATGGTTTTCTGTTTTTCTTACGGCGGAGCTGATCAAGGTCCGATAAGATAAGCGGATTATCCTTGACCCGGGTCGTCACGCGTCGCGTTTTGGATGCAATATTACGCAGTTGGGAATATTAAAGAATCCTCGTGTTAGCGATTGATTGATTCACTCATAACTCTCTTTTGTTATCTTCTTTTCTTCATTTTGTGTTCTTTCATAATGACACTTATGACAACTTAATTAATCCTCCTCGTAAACCCTTCTCTGGTGTTTTATCATTCATGTCCCATTAACCAACGGTCTTTCAATCTTTAATTACCCTTACTCTCCTTTATCGGTGTGCTATGTGAACTTGTATAGAGTTTCGCAGTGTGCGAAATACCAAGATGGATGAAGAAATAGCAACTCAATTGAATGAGGATCTTGCCTCAGATATCCTAGCGCAATTCCACCGCAAGCCTCATAAACAAATTCCTGAAGGCTCACCAGAACCGTCCAAATCTCAGCTGGCGATAGAGATTCCCACTATCTCTAATATTGATGAATATGAATTTCTCCCTGGACATTTTCAAGTTCGCTGCATCATTAGTAAGGCAACAGATACAACCAATAAACCTTCCTATTTAGTTAGACTGCGAAGTGGAGAAACGGAAATGGTGAGTGCTATACTTCCCTCACATCGTCTCCATTTGGATACTTGTTTACTAGTATTTGCTTCTATATAGATGTCATCTGCGAAGCTCAAGAGCCTTAGTAACGGACCTGAAGCCCTCACACATTTTCAGAATACAGGACAAGCCTACGAAAGCTCATCGCAATCCCCGTCCGAAATGGAGACCTTGTTCAGCGAGAAAAAGGGAAATGCATTGTCTGACTCGGGGAGACGGCGACGCTCTACTCGTGCTAGGAATACTCAATTCACGGGGTTCTTTAGCCGTATGAGCAGTGAGGGTGATGAACCTCGTTCTGAATCTCCATCGAGTGATGATGTTATTCTCTCATCTGTGGCAACTACTAAGAAGAAACGCCTTAGCAGACGCAGACAAAACGAGACACGCTTGAAAGGCTCCGATATGGAAAGCAACTACACTCTAGGGTCCAGGGGCTCGCGATTTTCAACCCGACAACGGAAGACAATTCGGAAAAGTCTTAGGGAGAGATACGAAGAGGACATTTCTGAGTTTGAAGGTGTCGCTAAGACGCAAAAGTTCTTTGGAGCAAAGGAAATCTTTCACAAGGTACCATTCGATGACCCATTTCGGAAGCTTCATAACGTAAATTGCGATGTTTGCTACCGCAGTGGAGATGATCCTGCAAAAGGCCCTCTTGTCTTCTGCCAGGGATGTACGAGTGTTTATCATCAAGCTTGCCTGGGTCCTCGAGCGACACGCGAACATCTTGTAACTAAGGTTTCGGATGACATCTTTGTTCTTCAATGCCGTCGCTGTCTGGGTGTCGCGCATGCTAAAGACCCTGTTTGCCCACACCAAGGCAGTTGTACTGTATGTAATCGCAAAGGGCAGATGTCAAACCCGCTAAGGGAACGCTTAACTCCAAAGCAGGAGCAACAACTTCGACAGGAAAATGGTGGTAAAGATCCTATCACCAGTGTGGATATGGCTCGCATAAATAATATCGCCAACCTACTCTATCGCTGTACTGCATGCCATAGGGCTTTTCATTCCGAGCATGTCTCCCCAGACTACGAAGCGACAGGCCATTGTCAAGATTGTTCTTCGGCCCCTGGAGAGATCGGTGCAATGGTCGCCTGGCGGCCAAAAGACCTCAAGACATATGTCACTAGGCACAGCGCCGATATCATGGAGGAAGTCGATAAAGAATACCTGATAAAATGGAAGACAATGTCTTATAATCATACCACTTGGATGCCTGGCAGTTGGGTGTGGGGAGTTGTGAACCCATCTATGCGACGGGCTTTTTTCAAAACGAACAAAAATTTAAACCCTCATATGACCACGGAGGAGGCGATACCAGAGGAGTTCCTTCGAACTGATATTATTTTCGACGTTCAGTACGCAGACGATGGTAATGATGATAGCTCGGATGGGCGGAATATCGAAACAGATATGTCACGGGTGGATAAGGTGTCGAAAGCCTACATAAAGTTTAAGGGTCTTACATATGAAGACGCAGTATGGGATTCGCCCCCTGAACCTAATAATGCCGAGAGGTGGGCCGATTTTAAAGCTGCGTACGAGGACTGGGTAAAGCGCGACTACACTCATATGCCAGACCAAAAGTCTCTCAGAAAGCACCTTGAGCAAGTCAGGAAACAAAACTTCAAGACAAGCATAGTCAAAGACACACAACCTGAGTCAATGACAGGGGGTGAGTTAATGGATTATCAGAAGGATGGATTGAGTTGGCTCTATTACATGTGGTTCAAACAGCAGAATGCTATCCTTGCTGATGAAATGGGCCTTGGGAAGACCATTCAAGTGATTGGCCTGTTTGCGACTTTGATACAATACCACAAATGCTGGCCATTCCTTGTTGTAGTACCAAACTCGACATGTCCGAATTGGCGAAAGGAAATCAAAGCATGGGTTCCATCTATCCGGGTTGTCACATACTATGGATCCTCATTCGCGCGTCAACTGGCACAAAAACATGAGATGTTCACTGAAGGGAGCAATGACCTCAGGTGCCATGTTGTTGTGACTTCCTATGAAACCATGGTCGACGATGCTTCTCGAAGGGTCCTTGCTAAAATACCCTGGGCTGGCTTGGTCGTTGATGAAGGGCAGCGTTTGAAGAATGACAAAAGCCAGTTATATGAATCACTCTCGCGAATTCAATTCCCTTTCAAACTTCTATTGACAGGTACACCTCTGCAAAACAATACTAGGGAGCTATTCAACCTTCTCCAATTTTGCGACCCAACGAAGAACGCGGAAGCTATGGAGAACGAATATGGAATTCTATCAAAAGAAAATATCCCTGAACTACACAACGTGATTCGGCCTTTTTTCCTACGCCGTACAAAGGCCCAGGTGCTCACTTTTCTTCCTCCAATTGTCCAGATCATTGTTCCGGTCTCCATGTCTCTGGTCCAAAAAAAGTTATACAAGTCCATCCTGGCGAAGAACCCACAATTGATCAAGGCCATCTTCCAGCGACCCGAGGACAACTACGGTCTTAAACAAGCCGAACGGCAGAACCTGAACAATATTCTGATGCAGCTACGGAAATGTCTATGCCACCCATTCATTTATAGTAGGGCTATTGAAGAGCGGACAGCCAATGCTGCAGCATCACACAGACATTTGGTTGAGGCGGCTGGTAAACTCCAGCTCTTGGACATAATGCTGCCAAAGCTCAAGGAGCGCGGCCATAGGGTCTTGATCTTTAGTCAATTCCTTGACAATTTGGATATTGTTGAGGATTTTCTTGATGGACTGGGACTTTTGCATCGCCGCCTCGATGGGAGAATGACATCTTTGGAAAAGCAGAAAATGATTGATCAATACAACGCCCAGGACTCGCCATACTTCGCCTTCCTGCTTTCTACCAGATCAGGTGGTGTTGGCATTAATCTCGCCACTGCAGATACCGTCATTATTATGGACCCGGATTTCAACCCTCACCAAGACATGCAAGCATTGTCTCGTGCTCATCGGATAGGACAGAAGAATAAGGTGCTTGTGTTTCAACTAATGACTCGGGGCAGCGCTGAAGAGAAAATCATGCAGATTGGTAAGAAGAAGATGGTGCTAGATCATGTACTAATTGACCGAATGGTCGCGGAAGAAGACGACGGAAAGGACCTGGAATCTATTCTCCGACATGGAGCTCAAGCGTTGTTTCAGGATGACGACTCTGGGGACATTAGATATGATTCCGCATCTGTCGATAAGCTTCTTGACCGGAGTCAAGCAGAGCAGGCGTCGCCTTCCGACGAGAATGCCCCCGAAACCCAGTTTAGTTTCGCTCGAGTCTGGGCAAATGATAACCAAAACTTAGGTGAACTACAAGACACAGAGGACACTATATCAGACAACGGTGCTGTTTGGGAGAAGATTCTCAGGGAACGCGAAGAAGCGGCTGCTGAAGAAGCCAGAAAAGCCGAAAACCTTGGTCGGGGAAAGAGAAAACGGATGACAGTTGACTATTCAAATGCTGTCACTGCGGAACTATCGCCCACGAAATCAGTTCGTCAGCGAGACGCCGAAAGCGATGCCGAGTTTAGGGGAGATGAAGCCGTGGAATCTGAGTCTGATAGTTCTCCCGAGCTTGGCCCTGACGAGATCGAACGGACTCCGAAGAAAAAGAAAGGTAGTTCGTTTTAAGATATATGATTTCATAGCATAGATGATTACTAACAGAAGATGCAGTACGCCCCTTCGAACGTGTCAATCCCATAACCGACACCGACATCGCGTTGAGCACGGGAGGCATGGATGGCCACATGGAGAGCCGTCCGTCGTGTTTAGCTTGCAACCAGAATCACCCGATCGGCTCCTGTCGTTTGAAACTAGCCGGCGTGGAGCATTGCGGTCTGTGCGGACTTGCGCATTTCGGATTCTCCCGCACCTGTCCACATTTACAATCGGACACCCAAGTCGCCAGGATGCTGGACGCTCTGAAGCGAAGTACTGAGGATCCTGGTCTCGTCCTTCAAGCGAAAAAATATTTGACCGGCATTCGTGGCGACCTTGCACAGCGTAAGAGGAGGCAGGCCAATAAGGCTACAGGGAGTCTCACGGCAACTCATGGTACACCTAGTGCGACTCCCACCGCTTCTACCACCATTGCCACATCATCCTTGGTAGTCGACTTGACAAATGGGAACGCACAGCCCTCTGAAGTGGGAACGAACTTCGACAACCTCTACAGTCAGAGGTTGTGAGGGCCGGGAGGCAGGGTTTTGATGTCTTTAATACGTAGTCACGAATCGCAAGGAATGTGAATGAACAAGGAACAGGTTTGTACTAAAGACGCTTCTCTGGCCTTGTTCGTTTCCTACTCCTTTTCTGGTTTCTCTTATTTTAAACGAACAGAACCCCATTCTCTTACCTTTTCAATGGCTGTGCAGGTGCATTTGGCGGTCATATTATTGGTGAATTAAATTTTTTTCCTGAATTACTATTTACCTGGTAGTGAGAATGATCTTGGCCACAACGAAAAGGCAAGAAATGTACCATACATACCAAATCGCATGACCAGTGTCGCACGAAGTGACTCACTATGATTAAGGATTCGAAAAGGATAATTAGTTCCCATTAAAAAAGCGATGGGGGTCACATGTCGTGGATTGTTGGTCGAGAACCTGTCGTTGCCTCTTCCATCATTTCAACCATGACAGCCAACACCACACTACCACCCACGAGATTAAAGGACGATGAGTCCTTCCAGTCCGTTTGCACCCTCCTCCCCCCCTCCCTTGTCTTGCGGAATAGGCACAGACACACGACAAATGTCGTTTGAAGGGTGTATACCATCGTCGTATTCCGTTATGCGACGAACCACTGACTTCAGGGAGACAGTCTGTATATAGGTCAGTATTTAGGATACTAACGGAGCCGTGAGGATGGTTAATCAGTACTAGACTCAGCGTGTATACTCCCTCGTCAATGTGACCTTCAAGATCCGGTCAGTTCAAAGTCTTCCGTCGGGGACGAGTTCTAATTCCAGACAATTTGTCGTGAAGACAAGAACCCAAGAGGAAATGGATTCAAAAGACAGGGACATTGGAGAAAGATAACAAAACAATTCACTGTCCCTAAAATAACTGGCTGGGTGTTTTCTGCAAGAAGCGGGAGACGGGCAATGAAAACATGCGCCTCTGAAGCTGCAGCCATCCGGGCAGACGGTTGTACTGACCAACATTATCGGACAAACACTGGCGGCATTGGGCTCTAGTCTACTTTTCTTATACATTTAGGACATTTTCCTTTTTGCTCTTTGCGCTTTAGAACCTTGTGTGAATTTCTTTTTTTCTCCTTTATCTGCTTTCTTGCTTTGTTATACTCGGAGGCTCTTTAGATTGCATTTGGTATTGTTTTGTTCAACCTCATTCATTCCTTCCGTGACTTTCTGATCAGAATGTTCTTATTGTCATATATAGCAGCACATTAGACTTGATTCTATTTTCTTCTTTTGTTCTTTGACCCTATTTGGCTCCTGAAACCCCTCGGACTGACACTGTCGCCCAGTGAATGTCGATAATTTTCACGTACGACGACATTGTCTGGAAATTCACTGAATGACAAATTTTCGGTCCTCTTTCTCATTCTCATTCTTTCTTCCTCCTCTCCCACTTCTGTTACTCTTCTTCTCTTATCTAGCTTCAACTCATTCCTCGCAGCTCCCCCTTTTCATGACGGTATACTCCAGATTCTCGCCAAAACACGCTTTATTACCTCTCTTCATTATATTCAAACAACTACAGTGATATCGCAGCAGGACTTCAGTTGGTTCGAGGCCTGAGTGAGCCACCATGTCCTCTCCACTCCGCCCTCAGTTCTTCTGTGCTCGTCCAAATGGCACGCTTACCCCCCTCATTGCTGTTGACGAACTGCCCTCTCATATTTCGATTCGCGGAATCCCCCGTACACTATCTGCCAATGAGACCCAGGGCATGACCAGCTTAGGCACTGTGAGTCCAAGGGCACAAACCTACGTCATTGATGGCCTGGCGCCATCTTCGACCCGTGCTTCGTCCACCGCTGCTAGCCCTCGTTCCCGTGACTTTGACCTGCAGGCCTCCCTCATGAGACTTGTTTCTGATGAAAATGTTCCGGCAAGCCAACGTCTGGCCGTGAATGCCCTCCTCCAGCAAGGTATTTCCCAGAACTGGTTCATGACCAACGCTTCGACTAGCGGTTGGTTGGTTCCTGGTGTCAGTGGTGGCACGGCTAGCGGAAGTTCGAGGCAGGTGAGTGTGACCCAATATGTAACCCGACAACGACTTGAACCAGTGAGTAACATCATACTGACCAAATTCCTTTCTAGGGCGCTCATTACAATACGAAAAAAGAATTTTGTTCGTACTGGATCCGGCATGGTGAATGTGACTATCAGCAACAAGGTAAAGGGGATACCAAGAGGAGTACTGTTTGGAGATCTGAAAAGCCAGCTAACGTTCTCTAGGTTGCCTCTACAAGCATGAAATGCCAAATGACTTATCTACCTTGGAGAAACTTGGCCTTCGGGATATCCCTCGTTGGTATCGCGAAAAGTATGGCATTCCCAGTCTATTGCCCAATGGGCATGGTCACCCACGTTCTCACACCGGTCATGGCCAGCACTGGAAAGACGATGCAGTGGACTGTGGCACTATGAAGTCGATTCAATATCCTTCCCGTTTAGAGATCAATGGAGCAATCGATCCCTCTGACGTAGAGAAGGCCTCTAAGCAGAAAGCTGCTCGCTATTTTTCTTCTCAGCAACATACTGTGGGAGTTACTGGATCTTCTCGGCATGTTTATCCAGCTGCGAGCTCGCCCAAGACCTCGACAACCCCTAAGCATGGACCAAAGAATGCCCCCAGCCAAATCAATCCAATTACTAAACGTATAGATCTCCTGTCATTTGACCCTCTCGCAGAATATCCGTCCCTAGATCATATGGGTGGAAGCATGAGTGGCTTGCCTTACCCTTGTCCAACCGAAAATGCCGCCACCGAGAATATTGATAGGATCCAACGCGATGAATTCGTCCGTAACATCCAGTCCCTTATGCCAGCTTCTCTGGCCACAAATACCGACTATCTTTCAGCTTCCTTTGAGAATGCTTCGCCCCAGCCTCGCTCCAGGAAGACGCAGAAGTCACGCCGTCTCTATAAAGCCCGCTCTCAGATGATCATGCAGGATATGGGTATGGACAGGGCCGAGATTGACTCCTTCGGTGGTTATCACAATCATGCGACTATAACCCCTAGTGCGGCTTCGGTCATTTCCAAGGATACTCCCGGCTCTCTGCTGGTGAGCCCTATCCCTGACACTTCTCATACGGGAGCCGCATCTTCGGAGCCTCCAACTCGGGGTGCATCTCCATCAACCCATTCGGGAACCTCTCTCTCCTCTGGTTCCAGTCCTCGAGCTCATCGCAGTCAGTTCAAAGAAAAGGATACTAGAACACTTCAGGCACCAATCGGCACCGGGAAAGTCTATCGCAACAGGTCCACCGGATCTCCAAGCGACGACTTCTAGGTATGAACTTTTGCAGTAAATACAAGCACGCGCAACGATGATTTCCCCTCGTTATCTATGTACGATCTTCAACCCACTCGCATGCCAGAGCTTTCCCCTTCCTCTTTATTTACGACTTTGTCCCTGTGATCACGAAGCATCTGGGGTTTGACCATATGATAAAGACTAACACCTACTTCGATAAATATACCTCTCTGCCGGACAGGATGTCATTTATGAACAGGTGGATAATTTGCAGTAACGAACCATACTGGGATACCTCGCGTTTCGGCCTGTATCCTGAAATCTTTTCTTTTCGTGTTTCTTTTCGCCTTTGTTGGATGAAATCACCGGCGGATATCCTTGAAGGTTATCGCAGGGGCTGACAATCTGGATAACAACAGTGCGATACGGACTACCTTTTTTGCACATCTTCAAAAGACTGGTTTCTGTGAAGTACTAATGGATATTTCCTTTCCTTTTCTTTTTCTTTTCGCTTTATTTAAATAAAGTTGTATCCATGTGTATTATAGGTTTACAACTATAAGTATGCGTGTACTGGCTGGAGGAAGAAAATGGAAAAAAAGAGCCTTAGGGAATAGGTAGAGCTGAATATGGAGTGTTTATAAGAATAGAATTCGTCTCCTATGCATGGGTAAACTTAGCCCATGACTACTAAGATTGAATGATGCAATATGATGGTATGTATGAAGATGAATGAGTATAATACATTGGATAAGTAAGTCTAATATGACATTGCGATTGCGCCGCTCCTGATATTTTAAGGCTGAAAAAGCGCCTAGACCAACAGACGTATAAATTGTACACCCCGCATTCGTACATTGCTCATATTCAGCGTAGTCTCTTCTTCTGTGCTTTACCGGTGACTCGAACAGCAACCTTCTCTCGTTCTTGGGTTGCTTGGGCCCTCAAAGCAGGGTTCAATGAGGGCAAGACCTTAGCCGCTTCAGCAACTACCACCTTGCCATCAACGATGCCGGCTTTTTCCATTTCCTGGCGTTTTCTCTCAGCACGGCGGGCTTCGATCTGTTTCTTGCGCTCCTCGGTCATTTTCCAGGAGTCTGGGAATTGGAGTCGGGTCTTGGGCTTATGATGGCGGAGATCAAGAGGAACGTCCTTGAAAGCATCTCCTTCCTTGGCTTCCTTGACCAATGTGTTTATGATATCGCCCAGATAGCGCTTGTTCTGGGCACGAGTGGTGAACTTTTCGCAGGACATCCGTACAATGTCGGTGTCAGGGTTATACCGCGGACCGACAAGCTTAAGGAATGTCTGGCGCTGCGCCTCGGAGAGATACTTGGGGGATAGATCTTTGGAGCTCAGCTCGACGACGACTTTATTCTCAGCGGGGTGCGACTCGCCCATGTATGTGGTGTAGCGGAAGCGGAGGATGTGAGTGTGCGGCGGGAGCGTGAAGGGCTTAGCGAAAGCTATCGAGGGATTAGTAGAGCTCAGGAACAAACTCCAACAGAGCACTTACAGCTCAGCAATGGCATATCCCAGGCGGCAATTCTAGCGTACTCTCTGATCTCGCGGTGTACTTCGAGTTCGGCATGGGCCATCGACGTGATATCGTCGTCGTGGAAGTCATCGTCCGCGTCCTCAACTAGGGCGAATTCGTCGTTCTCCTCATCACCCCAGAAACCAGGCCTCTTCTCTCGGACATCATCAAATCGCATTGGAACTTCCTTTTCCACGTAGTTCACGCTCTTCTCGAGCTCCGCAAACGCGGCCGCTCGCTTCGCTGGGTTGTTGTACTCCTCAACAAGCCGACGGTTCTCGGCGTCGAATTGCTCCCGTTCTTCGGGTGCCAACATATCGTACAGTGATCGCTCACTCTTGTTAAGTAGATCAGGGGAGTACTCCGGCATCAAAGGCAATTCCTCCGGACGGGGCTCTCGGGGTGCTGGCGGCACTGGCGGATCTTCTGACACGAAACTTGGCGTGGTGGCGGAGAATGAACGGTATGGAATGGAGATCGGGCCTCTCCGGGCCATGGATAAGGCTGACCGGCCCAAGTATCTTGCTGCTGAGGCCATTGCGATGCGGGTGTTGGGTTGGGGTTTGCTTGAACAGGTCTCGGCGATGTTTTTCTGCGGATTGAAGTTCGCACGGTGACACTAAACCCAATCGGGTGGGGGGAGGACATCCACCGCCTTGCGACACATTATCAATACATCTCTATGTTGCACTTCAATCAATTACTCTGGGTCCGTTTTCGAACTGATACCATCGGAAAAGATTAATATGCTTCTTCAGTCCGGGGGAGGCATTGTGCAATCGTCCTTGCCAGAGACAGGTCCTTGAAGCATACCGGTACCAGTCATGGCGTCGCACGGCCGGAGTCACCCTATGAAGTTATGCTTCGTAACGGTGGGCGCTACGGCTTCTTTTCATTTACTTCTGCGGGCTGTTCTGGATGAGAAATTTCTGGCCGCTCTGCACGAAGCTGATTACACTCATCTTCTGGTTCAATACGGGAAGGACAGCCAGACTCTCTTTCAAGAGCTTCTCAGCAAATACCCTCCTGGAAGCCCAGGTCGGCACGGCATTGAAATCGACGGGTTTGATTTCAATAATGCAGGTCTGGACGGGGAGATGAGGCTGGCCCAAGCGAGCCCCTCGGAGGGTCGAGATGGTGGGTTGATTATCAGCCATGCGGGTAAGTACTATGATTTCGTTAATGGATGAGATTGTGGAAGGCTGATGTCAATTGAAGGATCGGGCACTATCCTGGACGCACTACGGCTAGGTGTTCCCCTTGTGGTTGTTCCAAATACAACTCTCAAGGATAACCACCAGGTGGAGCTAGCCCGCGAGCTACAGAAGCAAGGATATGTCGTGGCTAGTGAATATCAGTATGATATCCTGTGAACCGTCTCATGAACTATGCTGATTTCTTTCCCTAGGTATGTGTTTGTTGCTGTTGAGCATGCCGAGAAGCTACGGACTCGCATGCTGGCTTGGCCGCCTGTGAATGGAGCAGGCCAGAAACGCCATCGCACGCTAGACCAGGTGATGTCGGATGAATTGGGCTTTTTGGATTAAATCTATTTCCTCGTGGGAGCGTTTGCGCCTTGAGTGTTTTGTGTTTGAACCCTCATACCTGTGGGTCCGTAGATGAAGTATATGATCGGCTCGAGCAGGCTTAAGGATTCGGGCATTTGCCTTGCTCTAAACCTGCAGTTAAAATGGCTAGAGGACATGTCGCTTTACGAGTCCTATACGCTGCACAGATGTCAGCTGTGCATATTTAACGTGCATATAATCAAGTGAAAATATCAAACTAGGTTTCAGTGCAAGAAAATAATATACATGTTGTATTGTGGTAGTGAAGACCGTTATGAAATGTAGACCGAAGTGGCCCAAGCTCCTTGATTTATTGTTGACAGGCACGGGAAACCATCAGATACACGCGAAAGCTGCGGCCAGGTATAACCTCTCTTTGTGCACACCTTCCGCCCTCGACCTCCCCCAAGGCTCTCGACACCAAAGCCAACAATTAAAATCAGATAGTCGGGAAGCAATCTCCTCCACCCTTGGAACCTACGTGGCACAACTTCCCCGGCCGTGGGGCCATCTTATAACAATCGCGCTTCACCCAAACAACCGCCCTTAACCAGCCCGCAACCCCGAACCACACCCCCTTCTCTCGCAATGGCCGAGGCCACCCTCCACAACGCCCCAATTGTCATCGACAATGGCAGCGGGACCATCCGCGCCGGCTTTGCAGGCGAAGAAATCCCCTCATGCTTCTTCCCGTCGTTCGTCGGCCGCCCAAAACACCCGCGGGTGATGGCCGGCGGTCTAGAAGGCGACGTCTTCATCGGACAGCGAGCACAGCAGCTGCGCGGTCTCCTGAAGATCCGGTACCCCCTCGAACACGGCATCGTAACGGACTGGGACGACATGGAGAAAATCTGGCACTACGTGTACGAAAATGAGCTGAAGACGCTGCCCGAAGAGCACCCCGTCCTCCTGACTGAACCGCCGCTCAATCCCCGCAAGAACCGCGATACGGCCGCCCAGATCATGTTCGAAACATTTAATGTCCCGGCCCTGTATACGTCTATTCAGGCGGTGCTGTCGCTGTACGCGTCTGGGCGCACGACCGGTGTGGTCTTGGATTCAGGGGATGGGGTCTCCCATGCGGTGCCGGTGTTTGAGGGTTTTGCGATCCCGAATAGTATACGGAGGATTGATGTGGCGGGGCGAGATGTGACGGAGCAGTTGCAGTTGTTGCTTCGGAAGAATGGGCATGTGTTGTATACGAGTGCTGAAAAGGAGGTGGTGCGCATGATTAAGGAGCAGGTGTGCTATGTTTCGTTGGATCCGAAGCGCGAGGAGAAGGAGTGGATGAATAGTTATCACAAGTCGGAGACGAAGGCTGTGGATTACAGGTTGCCTGATGGACATCGGATCAAGGTTTGTTTCTATACATCTACGGTTTGTTTTGGGTGGTTCTAATATCCGGGGCTAGGTTGGACAAGAGCGCTACCGCGCTCCTGAGATCCTTTTCGACCCTGAACTCATCGGTTTGGAGTACCCCGGTGTTCACCAGATCGTTCAGGATGCTATTACCCGCACGGATCTGGATTTGCGCAAGGACCTATATCTCAACATTGTTCTTTCGGGAGGCTCAACGCTGTGCAAGAATTTCCCGGACCGATTGATGCGCGAGATCAAGCGGTTGGCTGTGGAAGACATGAAGATTCGAATCTCTGCGCCGTCCGAGCGGAAATACACGACCTGGATCGGTGGAGGAATCCTGGCCGGTCTGAGCACGTTCCGCAAGGTAAGTCCGCTTCAATCTGCGTGGTAGAAGTCACATTCCTCGTACTAAAACAACTCCAGATGTGGGTTAGCGCAGATGAATGGCACGAAGACCCGGAGATCATCCACCGCAAGTTCGCCTAATGTTGCATCCGTATATTGAACCGCAAGACGGCATACGCGACGCCAGTCATTCACCATGCGCAGACAGCGCAACAGTCACCGAATGAAGCCGAAAATACATTAAGTGATATTACCGAGAAGCCACGAACCCTCGATAGAAACGTCAGCTGCTGTTGTCTGCAGATCAGCAGCAGCTTTTGATACCCCTCTTTTGTCTTCTTCCATGCTACCAAGGGCCATATCGCTCCTACCACCCTCTCATCCAACCCTGATATTCCCATGGCAGACAGATAACGTCATGTCTTCATATCATTCCATTCCATTCTTCACGATCACGGATGAATCGGCCGTGTTTCATCTTCTCTGGCTTGCCTAATTGTTATGCCTGACCCCTGTCAAGTGGTCGGTCGACTTGAATTAAGCCTTGTAAATATCGGAATAGATAAATGAATCTTTATGAATTGCACTCCGGAACTGAACTATATGACTAGACGCTAAAGTTAACCAATAATTTATCCACAAAGATCAATATCCTGCATGTGAACAAGCCAATATCCCATGGAACATACCCACCCCTGCCCTAATATTATTTGATATCAAACGTATCATTTATGCAATATGTAATAAGTAGCATAACAGAATCCGTACCCAATCGAACAAGGACATCCACTACACTATACTACCCCTGACCGCACCCTCATAAATGCCGATCCACCATGTCATCAACTCCGTGTCCACCGTCTATTTCCGTCAGTCACAATTGGCGCATAGATAGAACTATATCCAAAACCAAGTACTACTCCATATAGTATATTACTAGACTACATAGGGCATGGCTATGGCTATGTAGCCCCGCAGTAAAGGGGGCTACCACGTATCGTCATAGGACTCAGGGGTACATGTATGGAGTACAGTACAAGAGTATACCAGGGATACCAAATATACATACGGTCTACGCAAAGCTACTAGTCCTGCAACGACGGAAAGTAAAAAAAATATGGGGGGGGGGTCTGAACTTTCTTGTTCCTGGTCATTTATTCAGTACTAAATAGAGATATAGGCGGGCGATGCCCCCGAGCCGATTCACAGAACCGGGCCATGCGGATTGGAGACACGAAGATGAGATGTGTTGAAACAAGAGTAATATGACTCTGAACAGGCGGTCAAGAAAGACAAAGGAGCCGATGCGAGCAAGGGCATGGGTATCAATAATCGACGTGGGAGCCGAGAGGGGAAAAAAAAAAAGGAAAACAAGAGTTTCCATGCTCCTCAGATATGAAGAGAGGTGAGGCGTAGCGGTTATTAAAGTGTGGTGTCGATGTAGGGTTGAGATTTCGATTTCGAGTTCGAGTTAGAAAGGAATCGCAGTGAAGTGAAGAGTATCAAGAACTTTTTTTTGTAGTGGTCGTTAAGGTCGTGAGTCGAATGCGGGAACGCTTCCCAAGTTGGATCAAAAAGGCGCTCGAACGCATGCACAGTTTTGCAGTACGTCTATGCCATTCCCCTCAACTTGCCCCAGCCCTTTTCTAAGCCGCGCAGGGCCTTCTCGCGAGTGGAGCTGGTCGAGCCCGCGCTACTTGATGTGGTATTGCTGCTGATAGAGAACTTGCGGCTCAGGGAGCTCTCGTTGTCGCTGAAGACCATATTGCCGGCGCCGCCGCGGCCGACGTGGTAGACTGGTGCGGCGCGGCGGAGATCCCGTTCGAGTTCCTCGTCGAAGCTAAAGATGGCCCGTTCCGAGCTGCTGTGGACGTTTCCTGCGCCGCCCCGGCCGGAGATGAAGGCAGTAGGGGCACGAGAGTCCAGGCGTGTCAGTGAGGCGGGCCCGGTGGCTGTCTGCGATGGGGTGGTCTTGGTGTTCTTCAAGCTGATGATGTTGCCTGCGCCGCCGCGAGCTGTGTGGAGAGCCGGGCGCGAAACGGAAGGGTGAGGCTCGATGACTCGGTAGTTCATTGTTGAAGGCATGATTGGTGTATGTGTATGTATATCCGATCTAGACTTGATGACTCAAAAAAAAAATTGGACGATCCTGTCAACGATTGGACCGAATGCAACGAAGGGTACAATGCAAGATGTTGGAATTGAGGAAGTAGTAATGAATTGAATATGGAATTGAATACGCGAGAAAGAAAAAGAGAGGGTTCCAAAGGTTTTAATGTGAATGAAATTTTTTCTTGATGGGACTCGTCATTAATCGAGTACCAGACATCGTGGCGGGGAAGGTTTTATATAGTAAGGGAAGTATGACCCCCCCAGGCCTTACCAGGGAAAGCTCGCCATTCCCCTTGTTCTGCTGTGACGAACGCCTATGATTGCACCATTGGCTCCTCTCATTTCCAGGCACAGACATTTTGGTCCCAAGGGTCACACGCAGTGCATTGGGCGGTGGGTTGGCGTAGTGGAGCCCATTTGTTGTTTCTTCTCCATCGCCATGACTGGGAATCACGGGATGCGTTGAGAATTTTTTAATTTCTTATTGCTTTCCATTTTCAGGCACCTTATGTAAGGCCCCCTACGGCCAACCAACGTCCGGCACGGGTTATGCGCGCGTTACGGCGCCATCATTCTGACAGTTGCTGTAAAAGCGGCATGAGGATCAGGCGGCTGTCTACGCCAGTCCCATGGCCCATTGGTCCCAGTTCCTCGTCGGCCATTGGAGGAAAGGAAATCCACTGTTCGCCTGGCCCATGTCGCTGCTTTTACTGGCTCCGATCATCTGACGTGGATCGCGCCAATTCTCCAGCCGTGGCGAAACGTAATAGAAACTGGACCAAAGGCCAATGAGAGGCTGTGGCGGCACACATGGTGGTTTCCTGGGGGTAATGGAAATCGCTGACTCGACGGTCACGAGTCGTCACCTTTTGTTGGCTTTCAATTGCGAAAAGTTGAAATCCTTACTGTCATCTCATCTTGCTTCAGCCCTGAATTTTGCGGTCAGACAGGGTGGCTTTGCGTCACTTCTAGATGTGGTTACTGGGGAAGGACTACAGGTCATAGTGGGTTGTGCATCATTCACCTCCTAGTTTCCCAATCTAGGGGGGAGAAGAGAGGTCAATTGCTATGGTAGAGAAACTGTGTACACTTGGCAGAGAAAATTCTATATTATTCCTTTTTTTTTCTAATTATTTTTCGGGAATGTTTCACTCCTTCTAGACAAGGAAAGAACTTCCCCGCAAAAAAAACAAAAATGAAGCACGATTGCATCATAAGGAAAGGAGGTTCCATGTCGTCCGAACTTTACCAGTCAATGATATTCCGTTCCCGGTACATCGATGCGTTCTTTAGTGGCATCTAGACTAGATGCTCGCATCTCACCGTTTGCCAGGCAGCAATATCCGAGAAGAAATGCCTCAAAATGATGCTCAGGGGGATAAACATCAACGGGGTATTGTTGCTATTGTTATAGCATAGCGGCCATGATATCGTCCAGGTTGTGCTGCTTGGCAATCGGACTATCGAACAACGTCTATAGAATGATTTGATCTTGCCCCAATAGTCTACACAGTAAATCTCTCGGCGTCTGAAGTTCGAAGTGACACATTATTAAGACGGCTGCATTGTCCATCCGGTCCACACTCTCTTCATACCCGAGACTGTCTCCCTCATTGCTTAGTATCACCTCATCGATCACGACCCCCGCATGGGTGAGGAACTGAATATCATCATGTAACGACTTTTTCGGGATCCATGGACTATCCCATGCTAACCCGAATCAGGACAGCTTCCCCAGACTTACTGAGGGCTGGACTTTGCGGCCTTTGTCAGAAATGCCTCATCCCCTTAGAAAATTCTGATGCCCCACTGAAGCCCTGGAGGAAGTCGTACGCTGAATGGCTCATCCCACCGACCCGGTTGAACCGGTGAGAACACCCGGGAATTTCTTTCTTTTTCTTTTTGCTCCTTCTTTTTTTTTTTTTTTTTTTTTCCTTTTTCTTTCTTGGAAGCAGATCCACTGGACAACAAAGGCCAGAAAAGAAAAAGGGAAAATGCCATCCTTCCCCGGATTTTTGCCCCAGGCAACCAGCCCTGCAGGTCACACATCACGCTTGCAGTATCAAATGCATTCTACCACGGGTCGTGACTTTTCTGTCATATCATTGGGGTAACAGAAGACTACATTCTTTAGATCAAGGCGGCCTGAATCAGGAGAACATTATTTCCGCTCATCGCCTCCTGATCGAGACCCGGAGTCACTGACCTCGGTTTCCCTCGGATGTTCTGTACCGAATGACCGCGAATCCGGATCACGTTGCAACTTGCGCGAACCGAGTCCTGCACAGCTCCAATCTCAATGTTTGATGCTACATAGCACGCGATGTAGGATCTTCCGGAACCCTGAAGAATTTCTAATCCAGACCAAGGCAACCGTTACCTGAATGGCCCAAACCGCCACGAGGGGCGTTTCAGCTGATACGTCATGGAATCAATTCTAGAACGCCAACGAAGAATGCTCTGCCCCTTGAGCCACTCCGTGGTCAACCGCCTGAGAACATCGTGCAGTGTGTTCAAATCTCTGCCTTGTATACATAGTAATAACAACATGCATTATATCAAGATCTCACGTCAGCAACTGTTGCTAACAAAATCCATAACTCATGAGGTTTCATACCCAGTGAGAGACAGTCCTGTACTAATAGACAGACAGCCTCATTCCTTCATGCACACTGCCTCCTACTTCCGATGGCATGCAGGGTATGCGAATGGCAATCGCTCCAGGGAATTATTTCTCTCAGTCATACTTTTTGACATGACTGCATGAAGTCAACAAAGCCAATCGGAGAACAAAGCTAGGTAGTTGTCTCCGTTGGCTTGAATACCTTCCCCATGAGTCGGTGCTTTGATGATCAGAATAGGGGTATTCCCCCTCATTCTCCATCATAAATTCCGGTTATAAGCAATGTGATGTTTCTCCTTAGATTACCGAGCCCGTCGGCATCCGATCTAGATATCTAGCGCATATGCAATGCAAGGCAGGGTTCTAGGTTTGGGTGGGGATAGAATGGCTTGTCTATACACCTATGTCCTCAGGGTGGCGCAATATCACATCACTATTATACCGATTAGAGGGACACATGTAAAGGAGGGAGATGACTCGGTAGAGGACTAATCATGTACGGAGTTACTAAATCCTAATTGCCCATTTCTTCTTCGGTGTTAGGTGTTAGGCACTGTTAATCAAGCAAAGTGTCCACTGCATCAAGTGCCGAGGACAGGTCGTTGTTCTGGGCGCAATGGATATCATTCCCGACTAGGGTCTGGTTAACAGCCGTTGTGAGTATGTCTATTTGCGAAATGATTGATGTATGGTTAGTGTTCAATGGATGGGTTTCGGTCTCGTAGATTTGAAATAAAGGCAACGAGGGTAACAATTGAGTCTGAAAACCGTTTATCTGAGTTGGGTGTTTCCTAACTTTCGATACAAGAATAATGACTGCACGGTTATGGCCAACTTGGACTATGCGACTGTCCGCTACCTACAGAGTCCAGGTTATTCGCCATGGCCATTCCTCCCTCACATTTCCTTTTTTTTGGTGTTGGGG